ATGCCTGTTAAACAGTTAATTAAAAGATGATCATCATTGCTGTTTACCTAAAGTATAAAATTATAAATTCAATAAAGCTTCAGATAAAGAATCTTAATTCGATGATTTATCGGTATTTACATCTGCATACTAATACCAAACAGTTACATTAGCATAAATTTCGCAATAAATAGGCAAGATTAGCATATTTATGTCATCTATTCTACTAATGGCTAATAATTGATTTCATAAAGTCAGTCTTCGAAAATATTTACAAAATTTGGCTTCATAGCCCTAATGTTATGCAAATTTCTACCATTTGCGATATTTTGTCAATTCGAAACATCCTTAAATGCGTGTATTATGTTAAAAGACTTACATCACTTGCATAATTTGCTTTCCAAATGTGTTAAAAAATAGTTATATATTACGCGCAATTTCATTCAAATCACGTTGTCCACGTTTATATTACACAGATCATCAATTTTTACATGACGATAATCGTATGACGAACACAATTTAGTCACATCATGAATTGTTCATGCCGATAGGGATCATAAAGTTTTAAGTGCGAAAATTCTCTCAACAATTTTGATTATTCTGATCACAGCTTTAAAATTCATTCACCGGAAATTCCAACAACAGTTGTTGTCATGAATCTTGGCAATTGACTTAGCATTAGGTTGGTTTTTTGCAGATAATTGAATCAAAATTCAATAAGTTTCTTCTCACCACACTCATTAAAATTAAATTTCCAATTCAAGCACAAAAATAGAAGCAAAATCAATAACTCAAATCAGATCCGTTATGAAGTTAAACACTCGAATGGAATCAGAATGGAACAGATATAGCAAAAGTTTATTAAACTGATTGAAATTTCATGCAATTGTTGTGGAAATAAAATTAATTAAGAGAGCAATGAAAGACTTTCGGCCGAAATTTCATGCATCAATAAAGTTGATTAGCTTCTGAATTTTTCTTATTCTTCTTTCTCTTTTTTTATTTTGATCCATGTTGTGTTTTTCATTTTCGTAAGAATGGTTATTAAAAAGAAGATTACAGTGAAGAATGAGATGAAGAGACTGAGAGAAAAGGAATATTGAGAATCTCATAGAAGGTTTGTTGATTTTGAGTAGACTTAAGCGCAGTTTCTGGATGATTGGAATATTAGATGTTTTAATTGAACTTTAGTTGCAGTGAAACTAGCTCTGATAATGAAGCTATTGATAATTCTAGAGATCAATAATGATACATCTTAAGTTGTTCTTAGGAAAACATCGCAAATGATAAACTTTGAAAGAATCTTGGACATTCAAAGACATATATTGGGATACAATCAATGATATACTTGAATAAACACCATAAGATGAACCTAAGAATGCTGGAAACAAAAACAAATAAGATTTCAAAATCAACCAACTCAAAACATTCCAATAAGACAAACAGAATCAGTACTTTGCGCTCCCCCTTTCAAGAATGATGTTCAAAAGGCAAGAAGAAATGTAGAAACAAGTTTCTTTAATGCTCTTTTTTAATTCTTCTTCTTTCCAACTTTATTTTTTATAATCCTCAAAGGCCTTATAATCACTATAAAAACTATCTTCATACATATAAAATATATAAAATTCTTGTGTTTATGTTTTGAGATTGTCGGTTTTGATGTTGGATTATGCCAATTAAGAGCGATTCGTTCCTACAATAACTAGATATGAGCACGAAATGAAAGAAGAGAAAGAAATGCTTTTAATTTAAATTTAAATTCATTTTTATTTTTTGTTTTCAACATGAATGATACAAAATGAAGCAGAAACAATCACCAGATTTTAATGATAGGTTCATAAATTAAGTTAAAGCTTGTTTGTAAACAGCTTACAATGTTTTTTTGGAAACTAAAATAACAGCAAAAAATTTCATCAATTTCATATTGTTAGCAAAATAAATGTGTGTAAACTTTGCAGAGTGCCCCGAAGAACAATTGAAATGAAAGTGAAAGAGTTACACAATTTTCTTCGATAGTTTCTTTATTACTTAAAATAATTTCACGCACGATTTTTCGAGGTGTATTCTGTCAAAGAGAAAGGTGCTACTTAGTGCCGATATGCCATTCAACCCCTGTGGCAGAATGTAAGCTTGTTGATAGTTTTTTATGGGGCTTCCTTCTTAAGCACCCCGAAGGTAAATACTTCAAAGCAATCCTGCAGTCAAATGACATTTTATTAATTTTTTGTGGCTTCAATATATTGAATGTGTGTTGGATTGTATAATCAAAAGCCAAGTATGAGGGTTGTAATATATACATTGGAGGATAAATGACCTAGTTGGTGAAGTTTGTATCATATTACGTTTTTGGACAAAGAACTTAAGCCACCTAGTAAGTTTATGCCTCATAAATAGCTTTTAACCAAAAAAATGCGCATACATCCATAAATCATTTCAAACTCACTCATTTACAGCTAATGCAATCACTAGAAACAACAACAATAATGAAGACACTTGAAACGGTCATTAAATGGTTGTTGAAATAGCTTTTAAATGCTTTTTAAGAGCATCAAAATGTTTCGAGATCAAAACTTTAATCTGTTCACATGGTTTGTTAATAAAGATTCAGTTCCGTTCAGCATCCAGCATGAGATTAACGATGAGAATCAACATGTATTTCTGGTGATTGTTTTACATATTGTAGAGAGTTAGCTTGGGTTTTCTAATTAAATCCATTATTACAATTTTCAAAGTTGAGTATGCAAATGAAGTGGATGAACTTCCCATTTCGATCATAAATATCGATGGCGATAGCTGGAATAAATGAAGAAATTTTCGCTTTCGTTTCTCGCACAAAAAAATATAAAAATAAATACATTAAAAATGTATATGCGGGCAAATTATGGCACTAAGTTACAGCATGTTGATCACTTTCTCTGTAATTTGCCATCATAAGCACCTATTATCTTATGCGAATGCATGCATGATTGATTACCTTTTCGCCGTGTGTGCAGAGAGGAGAGAGACGAAGGAAAAGTGTAAAATTATTTAATTAATAATGATAATTCGATAACGTTTGTCAATTTAAAGGGAGGTCGTGCGTGTGTAACGTCTGACATATTTTTTTGAGGATTCATGACGCCAAGTTATGCTCCAATTAAATCCAGGTCTTCAAAAACTTAAACTCTTTTGTACATCATTAATGAACGACCACAAAGAGCATTATTGGGTGAAATATATTGCATCATGTATGCAAACATGCCAAAACCGAAAGAAAAAACCTGATTTATTCCATGTCCTTGTGAAGGCCGAAGTTCTTGATTTTCTTCTTATTCTTCATGCGCTGTTGCAAGCATTCCAACACGTTTTTTAATATAAAATGGAAAGAATTTGCAACGCTTTTTTGCATGAAATGAAATGAACGAAACACTCGACTTCTTCTTACTTCTTTCTCTCCTTCATGTTTGATTTATGTTGTAATCTCCTACAAGACATGAAAATAATGGCAAGAATGTACAAAAGTTCAAGGTTAAAAACATTATCTTTACATGCAATATCAAAACATGATCTCATTACAAAAATGATGAAAATATATGTGGAAGAGATGTCAGAGATCATCAAGTGGTAATTACTATTCTTACTCATTAAGAGCATAAGTTAACCAGACGCCAGATTGATTTCATAATATTTATAATTGGATGGGTGAATAGGGCTTCTGATGGGGAGGGTTATGTATGATTTGTCTGTACATACTTTTGACTTTTGGAATCCTGTAAATGCCTTTTCAATTATGACTTGATGATATATAATCAAAACAATGTAATTATAGTTATAGAGTTGATTTGGAATTGGTCAAAAGATTTGGATAGCCTTAAGGTACTCTTATGGTTACAGGTTGTTGATGTTATATTGAACTTAGCTTTTTATTTAAAATTTTAAAACTTAGTTTATGCATCAAAAAGCTTCGACAGTCTTAATTATAAAAGTTACAGTCATTCTTGATTAGGCTAAACTGTTGAATTCAGTTTGCCTGATATCGATCCATAGGTTTGAAATGAAAGGCTTTCTCAAAAATCTTGGGTGTTCGAAAATGAATCTTAAATTCACGGAAATCTACCAAATCACATTCTCAGAAGCCAAACAAATGAGCTTTGATAGATTTGGGATAAAAATCAATAGAACCTCTAGCCATTGAGCCATAAATACAAACTTTAGAGCTATAAATTTCTAATCTTTTGTAGATCAAGCAACTACTTGAAGTTTTTTATGAACACATCTAAAAACATTAATGTCTATGGATATTTCATACATAGAAATTGAGAGTAAATCATGTTTAATTCATTTTAGCTACTTCATAATCACCCTTGATCTTACGAAAAGGAAATTCATTTAATGACCACACTAGACTTGCTCTACAATAATAATGATGGATCTATTTCAAGCTATACAACAAAGAATTCTTTAAACAAAATATTTTAAGGTCAAAAGAGGCTTTATTTTCTTCTACTTATGTTGAGAAAGAGATCTGAGCAGAGAAGCCACGATATAATTTCATTTTGATTCTTCCACAATCTCTTTTTTATGATTTTTTGTTCTTCTTATTCTTCTTTTGCCTTTATTTTCACTTCATTGAAATTTTTGTGTATACCTTCTTCTTCTTCTGCTTCTCGTAAGCGCGTTTTTTTGGAGATGAAGAACAATGCAAGCTGATGATGATAATGATGATGCAATTATGATTAAGCAACAAGTTATTATCGTTCTCTCTCTGATTTCATTCACTTGAAAAAAAAAGACTTTATTATTATTTACGGAACCAAAATCGACACAGGTGTACCACATTGAAGTATTTTTATTCAGTTTGGGAATAAGAAGAAATTTTTTGTTTTTGTCTCGTATTTATAATATGCACGGCTACTGGATTTTTGGACGAGAGGGAAAAATTTTCTGGTTATTCACTTCCTGTTCTGTATTTTAAATGTCTTAAAAATTGGAATTAAGCACGACATCTTCTCAAAATAATTTTTTTTTGTTTCTCTTTTCAGATTCATTAAATCTGCCAGAATGCGTTGGCTACAAAAGTCATCTCAAGCACCACAATTGCTGGGCCTCTCACCGCTCAAGGTCGATGATTCATTAACAAAAAGCAATAATGCCATTGATTTGATTGAACAAAAGAATGAGCTGATGACAAATTTACAGCAGAACCAATCAGCGAGAAAATCGAGAAAAGGTAAGAATTGCCACATTTCTTAATAATATCATAACCTGTTATGCTAATTTTATGCTTCATAATGAAAGTGATTTTCTATTTTATCTTTTTGTGAATGTTTTATCCAAGTTTTATCAACAAAAAATTATCTTGAAGGAATTTTTAAACGAAATTATAAAATCAAATAAAATTGATGAGTGGGTTTTGGGGATGTTGAACTTTATAGCGCATTTCTATTTAAAGTTTTCGATAGATTCTAGGAATTATTGAGTTTGTTCGATTTATAAAATATAAAAATTGTCAAGTGTAGGTTAGATTGTTCTTATAAACGTAGATAAAGGAACACATACAACCTTATCCTTGTCATAATATAGTCTGGTCACCATGGCAACAAACTACATTGCAAACTATGAAAGATCATTTCAATCATCCAAAGAATCATAAATCAAAAAGGTCACCAGCGTCAAAGTGATACAAAATAAATCTTCAATCCCTGCTCTATAAAGACATAGAAAGAAGCTGGAATAAAAATTAAAAATGCGAAGCGGAGATGCCTGAAAGAAAAGATTCATTTTGGTAGTAAAAATTTTCATTACGATTCTATAATAAGCAACAATTTATTGATACAAAGAGATGTTCCGTTATGAATGTGCACAGTAAAATGTCATTTTTGTAGTTAATAAATTCTTACTTATTTACTTATTAATCTTTCAAAGATCTTCTTACCCATACACAAATACCATTTGAAGCTGTGCCTTCAAATGCAAAAGTAAACAATCTCAAAATGAGAGTAAGATCGGATCAAAAAGAATTCTTTCTTCATATTATGAATTGCTTGATTAGTTTGCATTTTTTGCTTTCTGTTTTTATAAATCAAATCTGATTTAGTACTTAACAGTCGACTAAAAAACATACCAGAAAATTCAATTTATGCTGTTTCACAAGAAAAATATTCATGATAATTTGATTTATTGTAAAGTATGCGGTAAAAATTTTAATTTGTTGGTATTTATTATATTCCTTACTTGTTTTGATCCATTTTTAAAAACTTTCTTAACACCATATTGAGGCTTGTGATGGATTTTGTAAGATATTAAGTTGCATTGTTGATTTTGAAAACTACAATTGTTGATGGGAAGCCTTAGAAAATCTGACTCAATGAAGTAGGATAATCTGAGTTTAGATTTTTTGATGCGCAGTTCAATTCAATATGATTTTGATCACCTTTGGTATATCCGATATCTTCATCTGCTGAGAATTTTTTATGCCCGATTTGCATATTAATGTATGCAAATGTCCTCGATATTTGGATGGGGGGTAAAATCCCCGAAAGATATTAATTCCACGATCCTGCGGGATAATAACCCCGAAAATCGCAAATTTTTAAATGTTCCCTGCGGGATAATATTCCCACTTAGAAATACACGTGGAATTATTATCCTTCCGGAAAGATAATAATCCCACCTATAATTACAAGTGGGATTATCATCTCCCAGGTAGATAATAATTTCACTTACATTTCTAAGTGGGATTATTATCTTTATGGAACACGATTAAAATTATGAATTAAATCAAATCCAAAAACTTATTTGTCATAGTGGATAATAATTCCACTTGTATTAATAAGTGGATTTATTATCTAATAGGATTTTCATCCAAAAACTAGTGTATCGGGTAGAAACCCAATGCGGATTATATTCACACCGTACTATCATAAGTCTTATGGATAGACCAAGATTTGCCCATCATAAGTATGAAGGTATGAAGCTTAATAAGTCAACTAAGCTTCGCTCAGCATAAGTTTGAAGTTATAAAGCTATCGCGTAAGCTGAGCTACGCTCAGCATAAGTTTAAAATTATAAAGCTAGAGTGTCAGCTGAGCTACGCTCAGCATAAGTTTGAAGATATGAAGCTAGAGAGGCAGCTGAGCTTCGCTCAGCATAAGTTTGAAGTTATAAAGCTATCGCGTAAGCTGAGCTACGCTCAGCATAAGTTTGAAGATATGAAGCTAGAGAGGCAGTGGAGCTTCGCTCAGCATAAGTTGAAGTTATAAAGCTATCGCGTAAGCTGAGCTACGCTCAGCATAAGTTTGAAGATATAAAGCTATCGAGTCAGCTGAGCTACGCTCAGCATAAGTTTGAAGGTATATAGCTTGACGAATATGCCAAATATTCTTTAAAAGTTTTTAAAAAAAAATTTTCATCCAAAGTTGAATTTTATAAAAATCACAGTCAACTTTTGTTTTAAAAAATTCGTAAGAAAGGAAAGTTTTTTGCCATTTCTGAAGCAACGGCTGTTCCTACCTTGCCCAAAAACAATACAGCTCTTCTATAGAGCAGCACGGATCAAATGTAAAAAACTAGAAGTCTCTACGATGTCTCGTTATTGAGATTTCTTGCTGATTAACTTGCTTGCTTGCTTGCTTGCTTGTTTGCTTACAGAAAGCGTATTTGAAATCTGTTTTTTGAAAATGATGTAAAATTTCAGACACAAACTTTTGTTCTGTGACCTTTTATAACCAATTTTTCTTCGTTTTCTCAAAAAATGAGAAAAACTGAATTTTCAATCTGAACAAAACCAATAAATTCACACGTGAAAACGGTGTGAATATAAAAAAATTTTATATCCTAAAATAGATTTTATATTCAGTTTGTTCAGTTTGTTCAGCTTGAAAACAGTTTCGTTGCATTTTGAGGAAAAAAGCAAATGGGCAAAAACAGAATTTAAATTGGCTGTAGCATTGATGGAAAAATCGCATGATACGTAAGCAAACAAGTATCAAGGCAAGTAAATCAGCAAAAATCTCAATAACGAGGCATCTTAGAGACTTCTAATTATTGCATTTTGATTCTTGCTGCGTTAAAAAGGATAAGGCTTTATTTTTTTATTGGGTAAGGTAGAAACAACCATTGCTTCCAAAAAAGCAAAAAACCCTGCATCCTCTATCCTGCATCACGTGAACTCAAATTTTGCCAATGACAAAAATGATAAAAACGTGATTTATTAGTTCCGCACGTTTTAAATTTTGAAAGCCTTCATTTCAAAACTAAACATCTAGGCTCTAGGCTTTTAAAAAATTTACAAAAGGCATAAAAACCAAGTTTACAACTTAAACATTCAACCTATATTTATGTTTTCTTCATATTCAAGTTTTTGGAATAATGAAATTGACAAATTAATAAGTGGGATTTTTTATATTCACACCGTTTTCACGTGTGAATTTATTGGTTTTGTTCAGATTGAAAAATCAGTTTTTCGCATTTTGTGAGAAAACAAAGCAAAATTGGTTATAAAAGGGCAAGAAGAAAAGTTTGTGCCTGAAATTTTACATCATTTTCAAAAAACAGATTTCAAATTGGTTGTGGCATTGCTGAGAAAATCGCAAAATACGCTTTCTGTAAGCAAACAAGCAAGCAAGCAAGTTAATCAGCAAGAAATCTCAATAACGAGACATCGTAGAGACTTCTAGTTTTTTACATTTGATCCGTGCTGCTCTATAGAAGAGCTGTATTGTTTTTGGGCAAGGTAGGAACAGCCGTTGCTTCAGAAATGGCAAAAAACTTTCCTTTCTTACGAATTTTTTAAAACAAAAGTTGACTGTGATTTTTATAAAATTCAACTTTGGATGAAAATTTTTTTTTAAAAACTTTTAAAGAATATTTGGCATATTCGTCAAGCTATATACCTTCAAACTTATGCTGAGCGTAGCTCAGCTGACTCGATAGCTTTATATCTTCAAACTTATGCTGAGCGTAGCTCAGCTTACGCGATAGCTTTATAACTTCAACTTATGCTGAGCGAAGCTCCACTGCCTCTCTAGCTTCATATCTTCAAACTTATGCTGAGCGTAGCTCAGCTTACGCGATAGCTTTATAACTTCAAACTTATGCTGAGCGAAGCTCAGCTGCCTCTCTAGCTTCATATCTTCAAACTTATGCTGAGCGTAGCTCAGCTGACACTCTAGCTTTATAATTTTAAACTTATGCTGAGCGTAGCTCAGCTTACGCGATAGCTTTATAACTTCAAACTTATGCTGAGCGAAGCTTAGTTGACTTATTAAGCTTCATACCTTCATACTTATGATGGGCAAATCTTGGTCTATCCATAAGACTTATGATAGTACGGTGTGAATATAATCCGCATTGGGTTTCTACCCGATACACTAGTTTTTGGATGAAAATCCTATTAGATAATAAATCCACTTATTAATACAAGTGGAATTATTATCCACTATGACAAATAAGTTTTTGGATTTGATTTAATTCATAATTTTAATCGTGTTCCATAAAGATAATAATCCCACTTAGAAATGTAAGTGAAATTATTATCTACCTGGGAGATAATAATCCCACTTGTAATTATAGGTGGGATTATTATCTTTCCGGGAGGATAATAATTCCACGTGTATTTCTAAGTGGGAATATTATCCCGCAGGGAACATTTAAAAATTTGCGATTTTCGGGGTTATTATCCCGCAGGATCGTGGAATTAATATCTTTCGGGGATTTTACCCCCCATCGATATTTGTCATATTGAGTATTGTAATCTCCTTAGATATCTGTTATCATGAACTGATCGTGATGTTTATAGCACATCAATAATAACCAGTCTATTGAATTCCGTCAATCGATTGACAAGCTTCAGATAGACACGTGCCGGAAAAAAACTTCAAACAATTTTAATTATTTTTGAATATGTAGTACAAGTTCCTATAAATAGGAACTAATTCAGAACACAATGAGTCAGTCAAAACTTAACCACATGATCAAAACATAACTCATAAGAAAATGACACAAACTAGCGAAAATTGTGTGTGGCATTTACGGAATGCGTCGCAAAAATCCAGGCTCATTTCTTTTGATATATTTTTTTTCGCAATAATACAATTAATTGTTCATAATGATGCAAACAGGCATGGCTCGTTTTCATATCAAATTTCAGCCTCACAAGTTCAACTTGAAGTATCCATTGATCTTGAGATATTTCATCAATGACGATAAAATCACTTATTAATTTTTCATAAACGAGTTATGCAATTTTTAAGTTATCGCCAAAACAAGTTCCAAAATAAAATGAAAAAGAAACTTTCAATTTATGTCCTAATCCACAATAGAAATTAATATAAAGCGAAATGATCATGTCGGTTAATCAAATTAATCAGAAAGAGTTGAATACTGGATCTATAGTTGGATCAAGGTCAATTTTGGTGATCAATTTACAGTTTTATCAATTTAATTGATTACAACCAGTTTAGCTGTATTCGGACTTAATTTGGATTCATATTAGATTTACATTGAATATGGACGATCCTTTGATTTACGAGCTGTGTCAATTGATGATTTTTTGAGCTCAAGTTGTCCACATTTATCAACATGGTTCCCAAAAACAACACATGACATTAACTAGAGTGAAACTAATTGACATTCGTGGCTCCAACCATTCATTACCACCTCTGCTGAAAGCAATCAAATCAAAATTGAAATTTTATTCCTTGAAACGCACAATCAACCAGTCAGCGAGTCGAATTAACCTATCAAAATCTATTCTCACAAATGAAAAACAATTCGTGTCGAAGGAATTCACGAGAGCCTTAAACGCATATCGCATCGAATCATGATCATTTCCGTTTCATTAGTTGGCAGAATAATTGCTTTGATTTGTCACTTCTATAATTCGAAACATCCTGTCTTGCATGCACTAAAATGTTTCAATTCTCGTGCAATTTTTATATCTCTCGCTGAATTAACCTTGACATGCACTTTGCATTGGCCAAATGTTCACAATAAACTGAAACGAAAGAGAAACGTTAAGAATGAAAGAATAAGAGAATTAAAGGAAGAGAAATTTTATTTAGAAGTAAATGTATGTCCATCAATGTGTGCATTTGATTTTAAAATTCTCCACATGAATCAATAAAACATGTGATGTAGACATAAGAACTTAATAGAAGGAGTAAATTCTTAAAGAATGTCATGTAACATAGAGAAATGGGTTAAAACAGTGTGGGTGCAACATGATAAGAAATTCTAGTCATGTCGTTCGCTTAATGCATCGCTAGACAAATTGAATATGAAAATGGTTGAAGGAATTGTGTGATGGAATTATGAATGGATTAATGTCGTGATTAAAATGTTTTATATTAATGATGCATGTCTCTCACTCATGGTCTTTCTTTCATTGATTCTCATACTCATGTGAATGTCTGTGTCGAAAAAAAAAATTGAATTTTTATACGCAATCTCGTTAAAGGAAGAGGTTAGTTGATGGATATTGTGTGAATTTGTTGGAGGTTTAGTTTGTCTGGGTGTCTAACTTGAGTCTGAGGCCGCTTTATAAGTATGAATTAGGATGTCGATCATTTAGCATCAAAATTCCTCATCTAGACCTTAAACTGCACTTAAGAAACTAGCAAAAATTATGAACTTTCCAGGGTACTTTCATTATGTCTACCGCCAACCATATCACCAACCCTGCGACAATATCATTAAGAACAAATCCAAAAACACTCTAACAAGCACTTCTTCATTTAACATTTCATGGGATACAATAATTCAAAACAGACAGCATTCTTAATCCATCTGGTACACAAGTGAAAGCCATATGTCTCAAAACATTTGCTATTTTTGCTACTTTACATCCATTTCGGTTAAAAAATAGAACATTATTCTTTTTGTGCCGTTACAAACAAATGCGCTTCCTTATTGTCTCTTCCCTTTGAGTCATCATCATGCCTATTATACTCAAATGTAAATTGAACGTTTGGATGTTTGAATGAATATATAAAAATTATGTGAAATGCAATATTTATATACATGCACATATGTGTCGCACAACAAATACTGACGAAAAAAAACAGATTTTTATTTTAAAAAAGACAGTAAAAAACTCTCAAATTCATTTTGATGAGGATGATATTCAGTATTTGTTTGGTATTCATTTTGTGCAGACGTTATTAATTGCCTTTAATTTTTGTTGTGTCTCGTTAACAAGCAAACACTAATGGCTTTATTAATTTAATTTATAGACATATCGTCATCAACGACGTCATTAACGTGGTCAAAGAAACTGACAAAATCAACAGAAAATTGTTATAATATACAAGAAGGAAGGATCATAGATAGAGCAAAAGGTCGCTTTATATCGCCAATCAGAATTAAAAATAAAAACACAAATCGGTCATCGTCGCCATCTAATCAATCAATAAGTAGTGTAAAAACAATTTCAACGAGCACACCCACACAATCAAGTCTCGGTCAACTGCATCGTAGTAAATTTGCAAATGTGCTCGACTTCGATAAGGAAGTATGGAGTAACGCAAATGACGATGATGATAATTTAAATCATAAAAGTATTTCAGTAATTGAAACCACATGCCATAAGAATCATCCATATTACAAGAGTGAATTAAGTCGAACAATTTGTGGAACATACAGTGTGCCTTATCGAGAAAAACGAAATCCATTAAGCAACACAAGACTCTCATGCTATAAACCGCTAATCATAAGTGATCAACAATTTGATAGTCAAACACTCAAAAATTACAAGTCTGTTGACGATTTTCTATCCATGGACAAGACAGATGGTTTTTGTAATGACATAAAGAATAACATAAATGAAAATAATAAGGTTGAAGTGACTGAAACACCAAAGATGACTATACGACGTGGTCTCAGCAGCAAATTTCGATCAATGTCCGATAAGACACAAAAACTTCTTTCAAGATTCGTTTCTAGTTCAAATTTAAAGTCATCAAGTGAAGTGTGTAATGACTTTACACTCATTCAACCATCATCAAAGACTATGGCTAACAGTCGGAGAAGTTTAAGCTATGGAACATTACCAGAACTTAAAGATTTTGAGGTTAGAAAGATTGAGACGGAAGATGGTGATTCAGGCATTCTTGTTAATGAATCCGGAGCATCGTCAATGATTGAGACCGAGACGAATGAGAAAGCAGAAGTAGCAAAAGACGAGAATCGAAATTTAACATTACCACATGAGAGGAAGCATATCCATAGGTAAAATATTATCATTCATAAATGGGCTGTAAAAATATTTTAAATATTTTTTTTTGGTATTCTTTCCATCTACAGAATCGAAGTGAAATATGAGGAGAATGAAAAAGAACTTAACATTTCGGAAATCGAGCCAAAGATCTGTTCATCGTCGGAGCAACAAAATATAAACAGCAACGAGTCATCAACATTAACAAAATTTATTGCAAAAAGACAGAGAAATCGTTCCGTTGATTCATGTCTGCTGGATACGCCCGCAAATGAGCCGTCCAAAAGAAATTCTGTTGTGTCGGAAATTGTTGCAATGTAAGTAAATTATCGTGTTAATTGTTCTCCATTAACGTACTTATGTACTTCTTTTAAATAGGCTTGAAAGGAACGAAGCTAATGCGAAATACAGTACACTCAATCATCCAAGACGATCGAAACCATTAATGATTCCAAAGCCAATAACTGATGATGAAATTATTAAGTCATGTGCCACACTCAACTTGTGTGATGATGATAAGTTAAAGCTTAAGTCAGTCAAGTCTAAAGAGAAAATTACCGAAACTACAACGGAAGGCAGTCATCACTATGAAAACTTTACATTTACGTCAATTAGCAAGAAACCACAGCCAACATCTAATTTCTGTACTTTACCACGCAAGACGAAGGCGAGTCCTCATTGTACATTCCATACAATTACCTTTGAGAAAGGACAAGGCAAGAAGGCACTCGGCTTTACAATTGTTGGCGGTGCTGACAGTCCACGTGGTGCTCTTGGTATTTTCATTAAAAGTATAATGCCAAATGGACAGGCTATAGACGGTGGACAGCTTAAAGCTGGTGATGAAATTTTAGCAGTCAATGGACATGTTTGTCACGACTTGACACATCAAGATGCTGTAAAACTATTTAAAAGTGTCAAAAATGGTGAAATTGTTTTGAATGTCTGTCGACGTAAGAGTTCGATTGCTGTAACTTAAAGCTTAATTTGAAAATTTAATGTGTAATCTAAATTATTGTGATAAAAATAAAGCAAGCTAAATTGAAATCTTTTAAAACTTATTTATTGAAGACTTTCAGCACATTCTTCATTAATGACATATGGTGCACATATACAACTCGGCTCTAAAATCACCGCAAGGTAACTGGACTTCTCATTAGGGTTTTCATGTTTGCGTCTCAACATTGAAGAATTTACATATATGTGGGCTATGTTTATGAGCTGCCATTAATAAACGATTAACATTAGTGATGAAAAAGAAGACGACGTCGTTGTTTTATTGAATTGCATACCCAAAAAAGTATTTTTATCATCACATTTATATTTGCTTAATTGCTTACTCTACTATATGAATTTCCGCATTATGTCGATTTTATTACCTTTGTCTCATGCTTTAGGAAATCACAGCTATTTACTATACACCCACATGTTGATACTCTGTTGTTAAAGTGTTAAAATTGAAGTTTTTACTTTATACGTAAATCACCTCAAACAGATTAATATGTCGTATAAGAGTTCGTGCTTCCATTTTTTACGGTTCATATTTCTTATTTGGATTGGATGGTTATTTAAAAAGAAATATTGTTATGGAAGAACTAGCTTAGAATCTCGTCAGTATTTATGGACTCAATGATATTTTATTGACGTATTCTTCTGCCGTTTATTGTTTCTGCTGTATAGATCTTTGAGGATTAAAGATAATGAAGTTTTTAAAGACGTTTTTGTTAAAACAAAAAATCGCAGTAAACATTACAAAATCTTCTTAAATTACCAATATATTGAAAAGTAAGTGTTTAAAAAGAATTTGTGTCATCATAAAGCTAAATATTCAGTTCAAACAAAAGAGGTAAGTCTTTTAACCTAAAGAATTCACATTCTTAATATACAAAGCATTCATTTCTTTAGAAGATTATTAGATAAAATATTTTACAGACATCTTCTTTGCTCTATCTTCTTACTCTTTACTTTTGCTTTCCTCTATGCAATTTAGCGCACTTCCTTTTTAAGACAAAATTACAAAAACAATTTACTTCCCAAGAACTATATAACCCTAAGAATATTCCATAGTCTGTAAACAAAAATCATTTTCTCAAGAAGTTTTATGAAAAGTAAAACTGCTCATGAGCGGAATCACTTTACTGTAGTCCATAGAATTTAAACAAACATGATAAAACTCGTTTCCTCACGAATCCTTTTTTGTTTTCTTAAAAAACATCGAAATACAAAATTCATAGGCATAAAACACATGTGTGAATGGAACTTGTAAACTACTAGTTAGGCACCATAAATATACAGTCTCAAATAAGACATCACAAGATATCCAATTACAAAATTATCGAAGAAAAGTACTCGTAGCAAAAAAAAAAAATTAGAATTTTTAAGAACCAGTTTAATATTTCCCGTCCAGACGTAATATAAAGTGCACATATTGTAACCTTGAACTAAATTTATATTTCGGACAATTTATAAGTACGACATTTGCTGGCGTATCTCTTTTAATGGTGATGAAAATGGTTTTTTGGATGATTTGATTCTTCATTCACATATAAACTGAAATTGATTCTTCATATCCGGCAAAAAGGTATTAAATTAAATTGTGCAATTAAAGCTCATATTTATAAACGGATATTGCTTTAGTGAATGATTTTTGTTTGGTCACTTTGACTTCAGAAATGAGACTAAAGTTGCTTGGTATTAATTTGTCTAGCATTTTGTTTCTTAAAAACTAATATCGAGCTATGTGAAAGCCAAGGGTCAGACACTCCAAAAGAATTGTAATGTATTGTACAATACTTTACAATACATATGAAAGTATTGTAAGTATTGTACAATACCTACAATACTTGAATGACAAGTATTGTAGGATTGTACAATACTTACAATTCTTACAATACTTGTATTGAAAGTATTGTAAGTATTGTAGTTTTTACAAGACAGTTTGAGAAACATTTGTCATATGAATTTGATTATAATTGACGGTTTTTGTAGTTTCTCGTGTTTCTTTACAGTTTTTGAACCAATATTTGATAAAAATACATAATTAGCAATTTTGAACTAAATATTTTTAAGTTTTTAATTGAAATTTTATAGTTCTCCAAAAATATTTAGTCTAAAACAAATACAAATATTGTAAAAATATTTATATACAAAATTTTTGGTAATAAAGTCATTTATCAAAATTGTCAATAGCAAGAAAGTATTCTGACTCGAAACAAAGGCGAATAACGCCAGATGTAGCCAAAAATATCAAACATTATTATTGAAAACATAGATAAGATGAGAATATTAGACATTAGTCTCCTCATTTTAGAGGAACTTTAACGTTTGCTTCAGTTTTATAGAGGTTTAGTTTTTTTTATAAGTCAATTTTAAGTCATATCATAACATTGCTATGCCTCGATTTAAGTTTGTTTCTTTAAAGTTTACATTGCTTTTATTAAGGACATTTTTCATCAGAATTTTTCAGTGAATTTTCCTGAAATGATATATATTTTTGTATTAACCAGGCATTCAAGATTTACCGGACCCAAAAAATTATCGGGAACTGCACAAAAAGTTAAACTAAAATATCAAACATGCTCCTGGAAATTTGGAAGATTTTTTTGTGTTTAAATGATGAAACTTTTCAATTGAGATAATTTGACATTAAAATTTTTTGGATAACTATTTTTATTCATCGAGTTTCTGTTTCAAAAATTTCAAAAACAGGAAATCGTGAAAGTCTAGTATCAACTATAAGAACTAAAAAAAAATAAGAATAATTTTGACAAAGAAAGAAGAAAATATACAGTTTTATATTGTCTTAGAGATGCAGTTGTTGAAAATATGTATTTTCAAAAAAAAATGCTATAAAAACCATTTGATAAGTTTGTTAAATTTGATTCCTTCTTAATCGCCTTCTTGTCAGAGGTAAAAAAATTCAAATCGTCAAAGTAATGTTTGAATACATTTAAAACCTTATACTTTGATCAAAAACTTTGTATAAAACGTAATGCAGTTTGCTATAAAGGGTGATAAATCTTGTGAAAATGAAACCAATCTATTTAATTTTGATTCCTTATTGACATTTAATATTAGTTTACATAACAAACTTCGTACCTGTACGGTTTTATGCATGAGAATTATATGAAATCAATTCTTGATTTGCATCAGTCTAGCTTTACAAAAAAATTTTGAACTTTTTACCATTTTCATAGTCATTACATAATCAGAAATCTTTCTTTTAATGGAAAACTGAAAGTTGTGCTAGTTTTTCATAAAATACCCCTGCTAATTTTCAATAATAATGTTAATTTATCAAAAAAAATGTTATTTATCAATATTTGTCAAAAAAAGTATTAAATTTGGTTTTACAAATTGTTGAAAACTCAAAAAATATTAAATTTCTTTAAAAATTTGGTTGTTGAATAATTAAATTTCAGTATTGTAAGTATTGTAAAGAACTGTAAATTTATATGAAAAGTATTGTAAGTACTTTGGAGTGTCTGATTCTTCATGATCTGAACGGTTAAAGGTTTTAAACAAATCTCAACATTGACACACAAGCTTAACAAATTAACACATAACATTCTTACCTTAAAATGACTTAAAATTTAATACTACACGATCATATTGCGCTCATGTCGGTATTCTATCTAGCTCAACAAAATATGCTACTCACTCCTCATATTAAATTGTTCTACGGAACTCAATACTTTTCATTTAATACCAAAAGAATGTTCATCATGCAATTTCAACAAAAAAAATTATAAAACTCGAATAAAAAATTCTCACGAAATGAATGCAAAAAGGCTCGAGTAATAAGAAGAGTTTTTCACTTAATTCCGAAAAGTAAAATTCAATCAATTTGTTTTTAAGACCATTTTGCACATGTTAATGGTGTTTTAAGATTTACATGCATTTCTTTTGAGTATTTGCTGCTTAATAATGTTCGTACATGATTTTGAGTTGTTCTGCAGTTTGAACATAACTTTCTGAACAGACTTGTTGCTCTCTTGGAATTTAGTGACTCTCTTTTGACGTATCTCTGTTACGTATGTCGATACTCTTTACGTGCAGTCGCTTTTCTCTCACGAATCAATTATTGTTCCTCTCTGTTTATATTGCCGGCAAAATATAAAATTCAATGCCACTTGATGGTGTGTTTCATAGTCAGTTTGAGAGCAATTACTATACGATACATAAAAGAATGTAAAGAAGATGAAACATGTAAGTTAATCATTTTATAATACAATAATTGATGATTGATGATATAATACAATGATGATTAATTTTGAATCTATAAATTTTGAATACTTGAAAATATTTTGAAAAGGGTTTTTTAATTTTTTTTTTGATGATTTATTTTAATAACCATTACATCATGAATTAGAAGAATTTAAATCTTGAATTGAGAATCAGTTTTAAATGAAGATTTTATGTTGCTTTGTTTAGCAATGTTTACATCTGATGTTCATATTTTTTATGGATGATATTAAACATAACTGAACAATGAAACATATTTAATTCGTTTTTGTGTTTACTTGATTAATTTTATTATTTATTAACTAGAGTTACAGCATATTAAAGTAATTTTGCTGATTGCAATAATCTACTGAAGGTAACTATGTTACAAATTCGAAAGTTGATGCATCCATCAATGTGTTGCAGATTGTGATAAAGTTTTTAATGAAATATTTGAAAACTAGGTTTAGTTTAAATAAAATAATGATAAATTAAAACCATTTGGATTCCATTTAAACACCAGCTCCGGGGAAATAATAATAATTATTTTGTTTAAATATCTTCAAAGTAAGATTAAATCCTAATAATTGTTAATCCACAAAAAAATCCAACATTAAGGTTGTATGCTCAAAAACCAGACAAAAAACTCTGCAGCGAATCATGCATATTATCTTCCATTGAATTGTCTATGTGTAACTTACATAAAGGCATAGTTGTGCATTGCAGAAAGAAAAGACACAAAATCGGTTAATTTGATACCTTGAAACCATCTCCCACTAGAATTATCGATGCCCTCGTAATGACATTAAACATAATAAGCCGACGGCAAGTAAATATTAATTAGACATAAGTATTCGACCAAAATTGACACTTCGGTAGTTTTTCAAGACTTACAATTTTGTCCACAAATAAAAAACGCAATGATTTGTGGGAAAACTTCCCTTCGTAAATTTTTCATGATATAAGGTCAACAAAACAATACACATCATGATTATACGTCAATGAAGACATTGAGACCAAAAATTGTATTGCTACTTTTTTAATGTAAATCTCACAAAATTTGTATTAAATCAATAAGCATTGATGCTATTAAATTATATTGGCATAATGAAGAATGTTAATGGCTATTTAATTTTTTTGTTAATTTCATTTCATGCTGATCATGTTGAAATAATTATGAAAGAGAAGAAAAAAAATGTAATAATAGTAGCATAAAATTTTCAATTTGAGAAAATTAGACAAAAAGAAGAAAAAAAAATCCCTTCGATCTCTATTTTGGTTTACACATATGAACACTGGCTTTTGTGAAGGTTAAATGTAATGGCGTCATACGGTTTCATTTCTTGGATACATGATGGCCATTATTCAATAGAACATGTTGAAAAATAGAGAGAAAAAAAATAATGAATAAAAGCAATTATAATTATTTAAAGGTACTTAGTTGATACTTGTTGATACCCAATGCTAGCAAACAGAAATTTTTGAGTTCTTATTATTCGAACTTCGAATTTTTGAGGTATTTATTTTTCGAAAATCGAATCTTCGAAGTTCTTATTTTTAAAAAAAAATTCGTTGTGAATTATTATTTTTCGAGTAATTTGTAATTTTAGTGAACATTCCTACTAGTTTTTTTTATGATTAAGATAATCACTGTGATGAAATTGCATTCCTTAAATGTTTATGCTTTAAAAAACAGCTAGTTTTAAAAAAAATAAAAAGTAACGGACTTTCTTATTTTGAAATTTTAAAAAATACCGCGCGAAAATTTTGAATTTTTTTTGCTTGTAACGGACTCTGTTCTCTTTGCTAACATTGGGTTGATACAAAACGAAATAAAATTATTTTTGTAATTAATACTTTGTGACGCTCTTAAAAAGGTATAGCTAATCATATGAAAATAATAGATTTGTTTATATTTGAGTTCTTAAATTAAAACAATATTCAAGACAAATTCAGATTCTGTAAATAACTTTAAATGTCCTTTGGGGTCATTTATAATTTATGCCATCAAAGTTCACATTGACTACATTGACATTTTCTTCACAGCTAAAGTATGGCAAGTATATTGCCAATTTTTGCCATTTATTTCTTTCGTTGTAGAACAACGACTGCATTTTATCGACAGAAAAATAAGAGCATTTGAAATTATAACTTCTTAGTGGTTAAAAGAGACACTTGAAGTTTACAAAAGTCGGTTGCCTAGGTACACTATAGCTATTTCCAACCCAAATTCCCACGTATACACTCACTAAATCTTTTAACATATTGACTGAATGTGCCCATTTTAATGGTGATAATTAAGAATAATGATTTTTCAACTTGAAGCCCTTTGTACTTAATAAAAAGAATTAATTTTTGAGTACAATCATCAAAGGTGGCAGTCAAATAATGATCCATGAACTTGACTGAATAATTGAAGTTCTTAGATTAGGAAAAATATTTTTGCTTCAAGCCTATTAACGTTATTTAAGGAACATTACGCAGTAGAATTCCAAAATACGAGAGTTTTCCTGCTCATTTCATCATCAAACGAATTCCGTTGTCTGACGTCAGTGTGATGAAAATAAACTTGAACTACTAACATGTTTGATATCTTTGTACAATTACAGTAGTAAAATACATTTTTGATGGTAAAATGTTATGCGCATAATTTGCTAGGCATGATGATTTGATCATAACTTAATGTAATGAGTTTATCTTTACGGACTTTGAAAAACAAAAAGATCTGACGTAACTCGCACACTATCATCAAAACAATTGATTTTCTTGCAAAAATGATTTCGCAGCTTTTGTTTTTGGTTTAATTTAAAGAATTCTGATGAAATGTTTTCCTTGATATTCGCACCGAGAATCTTTCGTGTAGATATGAGATTTAAGATTCATTCAAAACAATGTTGGAAGTATGAATCAGACGGACTGAATATGCGGCAAAATTACTTGATACTTCATACTCATTTTTATTGTCAATAATCTAATTGGCACTTGAGATCCCGACAATGTATTAAATACGTATTTGACTGAATAATTTGGTTATAATATTGTTCAAATCTAAAGCACTTAACATTTTCAAAAGATAGTTTTGTTTCGATATTTACATTCGAATTATGCGAATTGATGAACTGAATTTATTCAAGAGATTAGGTTCTTTAGATTCAATAATATTACCTATAGATCTAAGAATCTTATAATTAGTATTTTGAGTAACAGGATTTACTTGAAAATGAGATGCTTCAATACTGCAAAAGTGTGCAAGAGCATGCACTCAAAGTTGTCAATCGCAATACTCTTGATTCTAGTGATCAATCGACTCCTGGTGTTCAATTTAACAATGAAAAATGTCATTGATATTTTTAACAGAAGTTCTATGCATAATTATGCAAAGTTTATTTTCTAAGCATTTATATACTCGAATCCCACCATTGTGAAAAGTAACAAGCTTATTAAACTTATTTGTCTTATTTGCTTACCAAAGTCCGAAATGTAAATAGGAAGTAGCAAACAGTTTTGGTAACCATGTAAAAATTTCTTACGGAACTGCGAAAATCATCTGAGTACGCACTTAGAACTGTTTGTTTAACCAATTTAAATATTAGGAAAAATGATAAGTCGTTTTTTCGGAAGAGTTAAGCAGTTGTTCTTGCCTCAAATCAAGCATTTAAGAACGGACATGGATTGTGATATCAAGAATACTTTATAAAACTTATCATTTGTTTAGTAAGCGACTGAATGACTGGACTTTTGCTTGGAGGAATCATCAAGTAACAGTCTGTGAGTTTTGACTATTAAAATGTCTAAAAATCGTGCATCAACCAACTGTAACTAGTTTGTTGATCTACAAGTGAAAACTTGCCGGCATTGTAAGAAAAAGTAAACTTTCAAGTTATTGTCCTGGTTCACGTTTCAAAACTTACAAAGAAATCCCAGTTCATTCAGTTAAAGTTTGTTTTTTGTAAAATCACAATAAATGATTTTTTTTCTCTTTTTTCCAGCACGAGCAGTGATGATAACACAGCTATTGGCTCAGCTAAGCCTACAAAAACTGTATACGATAAGTAACAAGTTATAGTCAATATTACACTTTAGCTAACATTTGGAGGGACATACAGCATATAAGAAGCAAATGCGTATTCATCAAAATTAAATTAGTAAAATAAGCAAATCAACAATAAACTTTACATTTCACCTTCACCACATGCATTGAGTAAAAGAAAACGTAAGTTATTGCTTAAGTACCATTGCGTATCTTACAATTCTTTACAAATCATAACTAGAGAAGACGATAGAGATTTGAGAAAATAATATATGATGAATGTAATTACGTAAAAGAATACTTATTTACATTATTCGCGCAATTAAATATACTTAAACTGGCCTTACAATCCTCAAATAATTTTTTTTTGCTCTGAGGGCTGTCGTACAATACAAATAATTCGGTTTCATACAATACAGCTTCTAAAAATCTGTCGATGATTAAATGCTAGCCCTTCAGTCCATTTGTGTAAAATTTATCGCTTCAATCAGTTAAAGAATCATTAAAAAGAATTTTTTTTGCGTACATCTAAATGAAAAAATATTAATCTTGCCGCGGATAATAAATATGAGCTAGTACTTAGCAATAAAAATTATTTTGACGTCACAGATTTTTCATACGTTGAAAAGTTTTCGCTTGTCATTATGACCATTGATCTTTATTTTTGAGTACTATTAAGAACCCTTCTTTTTTGATCATCTTTATGAGAAATTATTTTCACGATTTGGACATTGGACTTATTGTTGACTTTGAAGGAACATAAAGGAACAGCTAATATTCCGTCCTTCTCCTACTTTTACCTGCATAAAACTTTAGATTCAGAGCACTTGCATGACATAGATGGTATCAAACGAATCTTGCTGCTCTAAAGACTTTAAAGTCGCAAGTTAGTATCGAAATCATCAAACTGTTAAAATAAATTCCAATAAAGCTAATAAATTTTGCCAAAAAAAGGTTGCAAATTGTCTATGATATTGTATAATTAAAGACTGACCTTACGATATGTGCGAAAATTTGTAATAATTTTTAAAAACATTGATAATGCTTTTGATTCACCATTTTATGTTTAATACCTTTATTTGCCAAGAAACATCCTCGAATATTCGCGATAAAATGTTCCGCACTACATCCATAATTCATGAAAAAATTTGTAATTGTAAATTTTATTTTATTGTTCCTTAAATTCACACAAATACATCCATAAGTCAGTAATTAGGTTTTAAAAAGAAAACTTCAATCTATTAATAATGTTTGGGTTAAAAATGAGAAAATTTTTGGACATAAAGTGAATACATGCATAATCATGATCAAATGTATACAAGTCGTCAATAGAAATAGCTTTGTAAAAAGCTACAGTGTGAAGTTCAGTCATTTTTCTTCAGCCAATTATACTGTACCTTTTGATTTTCTTCATAAGCCCGCTGTGGATATCCATTTGGGTGTATATAAGCTTTACAGACATCGTAATTACACTCATTCGTTTGTTAAAAGCACGCTGGGACGGTTCTCGTGGTGAAATAAAAGTTGATTTTTTTCTTTCTCTAATTCGGTTGAAGTGACAAAAGTGAGGAAAATTTAAAGTGAAAAAATAAAAAAATTTAAATAAACTTTGAACAATTTATGGAATAAAAAACTTTTATGTTATTTGTTAAGTGCTCATAAGGATATAATCGCTATAAATAAGGATTATTTAAAATAAGTTTGAAAAAAAAAAATTTAATTTGTGGATTAAAGTTTGCAAAAACTATAAAAAATGGAAGCTAAATTGAACGGTGGAAATGAAAATTGTGATTTCGATGGTGAAGACATCGTGGTTTCTGGAATCTCAGGACGGTTTCCAAATGCAAACAATGTACAAGAATTTGAGCACAATTTATACAATAAAATTGATATGTCTGATGAGGATGAGAGTCGCTGGAAGCACTTTCATCCCGAAGTCCCTAAGCGTACGGGAAAAATTCGGAACATAAATAAATTTGATGCTTCATTTTTCTCAATTTTAAATAAACATGCCAACTGGATGGATCCTCAATGTCGTTGCTTACTTGAGCACACATATGAGGCAATTTTGGATGCAGGAATTTCACCTCAATCGTTGGTTGGAAGTCGCACTGGTGTTTTTATTGGGTGCTGCTTCTCAGACTCTCGTGATGTGTTTTTCTATAATGTGCCAGCTAAAGAAGGATATGGTGTTTTTGGGTAGGTTAAATAGCAGTTTTGTGATAGCAATGTGATGTGAAATTTTTTCAAAAAATTAATCAAATATTACGAATGAATTTGCTGACAATTTTTCGTAGATAAAAATTCAAAAGTGAAATTTTTGAAATAGGATGTTGAAAATGAAATCAAATCAAAACTTAAATATTAAAATGTTGAAAAATTGATTTTGCTTTGCATAAATTTGAAAAATCATTGAGTTCAAAAAAAGTGGTAAAAAAAGAAAATTATTTTAATTCAAAAGTTACAATTTCCAAAAAAAAATATGTTTGATGAAGAAACATCAATAGTTTTTTAAAAACTAAATTAATAAGCTTCGCAGATTTGAAAAACACATAATACAAAGCTTAAAACAATCAATTTATCTAAAACTCTGTATATTAAGCTTTAAGTCAGCTAATTTTTTCAAAAAATTTGTTTAATATTCATTTTGGAAAGTTCAGTTTAAACAATATAAAAAATTTAATTTTTGGCTTATTTATCAGATTTCAAACATTCAAGTTTGCCAATCGCACTCTAATTTTAGAAAAGAAATTCTACGTAAAATTTATGAAAACGTTCGGTAATATCTGTCAGATTTTCAGTTACCGTGACCTTGACAAATCTTTACACAACTTTGTTCAACAACCTTAGAGATTCTTAAAGTACTAATCCAATATTATCTTAGTAATTATATGAAAGCTGATTGTAACAATTAAAGTTTTAATCCTCGAAAAATGACATCATTTAGAAAATTCATTGACTTTGAAATTTAGACCCTGATTTAAACTTGAGAAGTTTCCAACAATAATAATCACGATAATCCAATAAAAATTGCTACTTTTGTGGATTTATTACATTCATGCTAATTACCCAATAATATAATAAGTATAGTCCTAAGAAATCATTTGTTTTTCTCACAATGTCAATGACGCAAAATTGCAAAATTAAATTTTTAATTTTTTTTAATTTCTCAACACAGGAACGCGAATTTTTACCTCTCAAATCGTCTCTCATACGCACTTGGCTTGTGCGGTCCATCGTTTACAGTGGACACTGCATGCTCAAGTTCAGCGTATGCATTAGACTGTGCATACAAATATATTATGAGTGGTGCTTGTGACGCAGCTATTGTTGGTGGTTCACAATTAGTACTCAATTTAAAGACAACAATTGAATACTCCAGGTAAGTTGACGATAAATGGCTATATTAAATTCATATTTTTTATTTTTTGTCAAGAGAAAATCGCGTGTGCTTGTAACAAGTGTATCTTAGGTCAAATATTGACACACCATTAAAAATGAGCATATAGAATTGTTATGTGAAATCCATGACCTATCTCAATGGGCTAATAATTTTGACAAAAATAAATCTGTGCACATGAAAATAATTTTTTCAATTATGTGCTTTTGTCGGCTCTTAAGTTTGAAGAAGTTATGATCAAAACAGAAACTCACTTATTTTGGAAGTTTACACAGTGTGGTCATGTCCATTTAATTTATGTATTTATTAGACAACTATATAACTTAGCCCTTACAGTCATACAGTTTTAATTCCATGGTTCATGTGTAAAATATTTCGAAAAAATTTATGGCACGTTTATGATTAGAAGCAAACAACTGAAGTTCAATTCTCTTAAGCTTAATGATTGATAAATATTTAATTTAACAAAAGCCTTGAGATGAAATTTCAAAATATCCAAATCCATTTCATTTTCAATAATGTGCTGTTATGAAATTTATCTCACTTAGGTTACGAATTTTGGCACCCGATGGTGAATTTTGTCGACCTTTTGATGAGAATGCAACTGGATTTACTCGTGCTGATACTATTTGTTGTGTGTTTTTACAACGTAAAAAAGATTCAAAGAGAGTTTATGCTAAGTTATGCTATACAAATTCTAATAATGATGGCTTTAAGAAGGAAGGATCTTCATTTCCAAGTCGTGTAATGCAACAGAAGTTAATGGAAGATTTCTTCAGAGATTCAAAGATTGACCCAGGTCTTGTAGATTTTGTTGAAGCTCATTCTACCGGTACACGTCTTGGAGATCCAGAAGAAGTAGCTTCAATCGATCAAGTTTTCTGTAAAACTGTGAACCGTAAGAAGCCATTACCTATAGGATCTGTAAAATCAAATATGGGACATGCTGAAGCTTCCTCAGGTGTAGCATCAATAGCGAAAATTTTATTGGCTCTTGAGAAGCATAAAGTAGCTCCAAATATAAACATCACAAGTATGAGAAACGACATTCCCGCTTTTGCTGAAGGAAGAATCAGAGTTGTGACTGAAGTTGAGGATTTAACGGGTCCTTACATTTCTATGAACAGCTTTGGTCTTGGTGGTGCAAATGCTCATGCACTTTTCAAAGGAAATTTAAAAGAAAAAGTAAATTATGGAATTCCAGCTGATAACTTGAATCGAATGGTATTATGGTCAGGCAGAACTGAAGAGGCTGTACATTCAATATTTGATGACATCACTAAACGCCCACTTGATGCTGAATATGTAGCTCTTCTTCAAAATTCACAGATTGTTACAAATCCTGCTAATATTTATCGTGGATATGCAATGTTTCAACATGATCAACAAACACAAAAGGCTGCGTGTATCTCTCGTGATATTCAACATTTTAATGGAGAAAAGAGACCAATTGTCTTTGTGTACAGTGGAATCGGTAGTCAGTGGGCTGAAATGGGAACTGATTTGTTAAATATTCCAATTTTTGCTGAGACTATCAACTATTGCCATGACTTACTTGCACCAAAAGGAATTGATTTGAAGAATATCATCACATCGCCTGATAAGTCTTTATTCAACAATGTTCTCAATTCTTATGTTGGAATCATTTCAATCGAAATAGCCTTGACAAACATTCTTAATGCCTTGGGTATCAAACCTGATCATATTATTGGACATTCAGTTGGTGAAATGGGCTGTGCTTATGGTGATGGCTGCTGGACAGCTAAAGAAACTATTTTAGCAGCTCATGCTCGTGGTGTTGCAAGTTGTGAATCTAAATCTATCAAAGGTGCTATGGCTGCTGTTGGACTGAATTTCAGAGATGTTGAAAAAACCTTGCCTGCAAGCATTGACATTGCTTGTCATAATGGAGTTGATTCTACAACAATTTCAGGACCTGTCGAAGCTGTTCGTGAATATGTCCAGCAATTGAAAGAAAAGAATATTTTTGCAAGAGAAGTTGAAAGCTCAGGATTTGCATTACACAGCAGATACATCACCAAAATGGGAGAAAATCTTCTTCATCGTCTGAAAGAAGTCATTAAAAATCCGAAGAAACGTTCAGAAAAATGGCTTAGTTCCAGCTATCCTGAAAATGATTGGAATATTGTCAACTCTGAAAGTCAATTATGTTCTGCAGAATATCACACTAAGAATTTGTTAAATCCTGTGCTGTTTGAAGAAGTAACTGAAATGCTACCAAAGAATGCTTTAACAATTGAAATTGCTCCTCATGGACTTTTAAAATCAATTCTTAAACGTTCATTAAAAGAAGGAATTCACTTAAATTTGACTCAACGTGATAGTAAGAATGGATCTCATTTACTTATGGATACTCTTGGAAAGTAAGTACATTCTTGTACAATATTTGAATAATTTTACTGATTATCTTTATTTACTTAGAATATTCGAGAATGGTGTAGATATGGATATTCAAAAATTATATCCCGCAATACAATATCCCGTATCTCGTGGAACACCAATGATATCACCAGCACTCAAATGGAACCACTCAGAAAATTATTTTGTCGGAAATTTTGACACGTATAACATCTACGAAAAGAGAAATGTTGTCATCAACTTGAGTGACAAGGCATATGAGTTTGTACAAGGTCATATTATTGATGGAAAAGTGCTGTTCCCTGGAACTGGATGGTTATATTTAGTTTGGGAAAGCTTTGCTAAGATGATGGGAGTTAAGCACACAAAACTTAAGGTTATATTTGAAAATATTAAGTTCTTGCGTGCTACATCTTTAGCTAAGAATCAGGATGTTCTTGTCACGATCTCAATTCACAGAGGTAAGCTCAGTATAGTGTTAGAACTTTAAGTAGAGATTTTACATTTTGTGTTAATCCACAGGTTCTGGAAGGTTTGAAATTATTGAAGGCAAATCAACAATCGCTCATGGATACATAAAAGCTGGAGAAAACATAGAAATGACCAATATTGAAGTGGAAGAAAAAGAAGATGCTGTTAGATTGGCAGAACCAGATTTTTACAAGGAAATGCGTCTTAGAGGATATTATCATCAAGGTCTTTTCAGAGCAATTAAAGAAATTCGTGACGATGGATTGGAAGGAAAAATCAAGTGGAACAACGAATGGGTGACATTTATGGATTGTCTTATTCAATTCCAAGTTGTTATGAAAGACACAAGAATGTTGATTTTACCCACAAGTGTTAGAAAAATGGTCGTTGACCCAGCACTTCATTTGCAAATTATTGAAAACTCAACCGAAGAAGATATCCTCTTTGATGCAAAATGTTGTCCATATATGAATGTCATTCAAGCTGGTGGTATTGAAATTCATGGTTTTGAAGGAAGTTTAGTAAACAGAAGACGTCCACCATCAGATCCAGTTCTTGAGTCATACAAATTCATTCCATATAAAAATAGATCAAAAGTATCAAAACGTGATGCTGCAAAGATTTGCGTTCAGATTGCTTTGGAAAATGCTCCAATGAAAAAGCTGTCGTCTGTAGAAATCGGTGACGATAGCTCACCGTTGAGTGAGTATATCTTCAAGGGTCTTGGTGATTTACCTTTAATTACACCTGAAGTAAATTATTTGACATCTCAAGAAGTTGAATTGGAAAATGTTGCAGTACAAAATCAAGACTTAACCTCATTCAGTAATGTCAATTTAGTGATCAAATCTAACTGTACAAATGATGCAGCATTCATTGAATTAGTTAAGCCCACGTTGCATGAAAATGGTTTGATCATATCAAAAGATTCCACAAAAATTACATCAGGTGTAAATGAGAAATTACAAGTGATTGCGGAAATGGAATTAGACGATGGATATCTTCATGTGATGCAATTCAAAAAATCTCAAGTTCAAGTGCCAGATTCAATAATTCATGTTACATCTAATGTTGATGATTGGCTCGAACCGTTGAAAGCAGCAATTGCAAAAGGTTCCGTTTTGGTTTGTGCTCAAGGTGATGATACATCTGGAATAATTGGACTCATCAACTGTATTCGTAAAGAGCCAAACGGTGAAAAAATCCGTTGTGTGTTTATTGATGACAAATTTGCACCAAAGTTCAATTTCGAAGATTCATTCTATCAAGCACAACTGGAATTGGGATTAGTAATGAATGTGTTTAAGAACAAGCAATGGGGAAGTTACAGACATCTTGAATTAGTTGAAAATGAAGAAGCCAAGCCTCGATCAGAACATTGTTATGCAAATTGCATCGTTAAGGGAGACTTATCAACTCTTTCATGGCTTTACGGTCCATTGAATGTTAGAAACGATAAAGAAGCTATAAAAATTTCTTATGCATCTCTCAACTTCCGAGATGTTATGCTTGCAACTGGAAAAATTACTTCTGATGATGTGTTGGACAGAATTCAGCAGCAATGTGTTTTTGGATTTGAATTCTCAGGAACAACAAAAGACGGTCGAAAAATTATGGGAATGGGACCAACAGGTGCTATGGCTACTCATTATGATGCTAACAAAACAATTTTATGGGATGTTCCAAATAATTGGAGCTTGGATGAGGCAGCTTCGGTTCCATTGGTCTACTATACAGTTTATCTTGCATTCTTCAGAACAATACAAATTGAAAAAGGCAAGTCAATTCTGATCCATGCTGGTAGTGGAGGTGTTGGTCTTGCAGCCATTCAAGTAGCAATATCTTATGGTTTAGAAGTTTACACAACTGTTGGGTCAGAAGAAAAGAGAGAATACCTGCGAAATAGATTCCCCTCACTTAAATCGCAAAACATTGGAAACTCCAGAGACACATCATTTGAACAACTGATTTGTGTTCGTACAAAAGGAAAAGGTGTTGATTATGTGCTCAATTCATTGTCAGCTGATAAACTTCAAGCATCAATCAGATGTCTTGGAATGAATGGAACATTCCTTGAAATAGGAAAGTTTGATATAATGAACAAAACTAAAATTGATATGGGACATTTCGCAAAAAGAGTCAACTTTAAGGCAGTTTTCTTTGATGATTTGCCAGTTGAATCTGAGGAATTGAAGGTAACAAATTTAATTAAAAACAAATCATTGAAAAACGAAAAACTTAATTTTATCACCCATTTCAGATAATTCATGACCTCGTAGAAGCAGACATTAAAGCTGGAATTGTTAAACCACTGAAAGTAAATGTATTTGAAGCATCAGACATAGAACAAGCATTTAGATTCATGGGATCTGGCAAGCATATAGGAAAAGTATTGTTGAAAATGCGTGATCAGCCCAATGATGTTCATTCACTTCCTATTAAAATGCTTCCAAGAGTGTATTGCAATCCAAATGATACCTTTATATTGGTTGGTGGATTAGGAGGATTTGGACTTGAGCTCGCAGATTGGTTGATTTTAAGAGGATGTCGAAAACTAATTATGAGCTCTGGTCGAGGTGTGACAAATGCATATCAAGCTTCCAGAATAAAGTAAGGATAGAATTTATTGTTTCATGACTTGATTGCTAATTTTTATCTTTTTCACAGAGTTTGGAAATCATATGGCGTTGATGTCCGAGTTACGACGGTTGATGTTACCACAAAGAAAGGTTGTGAGGAACTTCTTATAGATGCTGTGAAAATTGGACCAGTTGGTGGAATTTTCAATCTTGCTGTAGCTTTGAGAGATGGAATCTTCGATAATCAAACATCTCAAATGTTCATTGAATCTTTGGCACCAAAAGCTGATGCAACAAAATATCTTGATGAGCTATCGAGAAAGTTATGTCCTTCACTTAAGCATTTTGTAATATTTTCGAGTGTATCATGTGGTCGTGGAAATGCTGGCCAAAGTAATTATGGTATGGGAAATTCAATCATGGAGCGAATATGTGAGAAACGACAAATGGCTGGATTACCAGCTAAAGCCATTCAATGGGGTGCAATTGGAGATGTTGGACTTTTGGCAAATTTACAGGAAAACAATATGGACATGGAAATCAGTGGAACATTACCACAAAGGCTAAATTCATGTCTAGAAGTTTTAGATAATCTTCTGACCAATAATGATGCAATAGTTGCTAGTATGGTTGTAGCCGAGAAACGTTTTGATGATGTCAAAAAAGGAAATATTATTGAAGCAATTATGAACATTATGGCAATTAGAGATAGAAAGCAAATCTCAATGGAGGCGAGCTTATCAAAACTTGGAATGGATTCTCTCATGGGAGTTGAAATCCAACAAATTTTAGAAAGAGATTACGACATTGCACTTTCATCCCAAGAACTGAGATCACTTACTTTAGGTCAACTTGAGAAACTTGTTAATGCAAAGAATTCAGGCGAGTCAGGTGATGGAAAAGCTGTGAATGGACATTTACCAATTGGAATTGAGATGTTGTTGACAAACTTTGGAGATGAGAAGACAAGCCATGAGACAATATTAAAAATGAATGAGGCTCCATCTAGTGATACAAAAGCATTGATATTCACTGGATTAGAAGGAATGACAAATGATGCATTGACGAATTTAGCAAGTAATATTAAATACCCAACATATGCTCTCCAGCTTGGAAATTGTGTAGAAAGACAGACGTTAGACGAGATATTTGAAAGTGTAGCAAATGTAAGTCAATTAAACAATTTATTGAAGTTTAGTTTCTGATTTTCTGTTTATAATTCACAGGATGTCCTCAATCTATTTAGTGGGAACGAGAAATTTGTGCTAATTGGATACTCCTTCGGATCATTATTAGCAATCAAATTTGCAAGCTTTTTAGAATCAAGAGGAAAATCAGGAAATATTGTCATAGTTGATGGATCACCTAAATTTCTCACAGAAATTGCCAATCAATTACTACCAGCAGACTTTAATGACGAGCACATACAAGGAATTATTTTACTTAGTTGTATTAAGCTCTTATTCCGTGAATCATCTCAGGAAATAGCAAAGAAGGTCTTCACAAAACCAACAATTCAGGAGAGATTAGAAGAATTTTTAGAGAATGCAGCTACACGGAGTGTATATAGTATAGATTATGGACGTAAAATGATTACAGGATTAATGAATAGAATAAAGATTTCCTTGAATGCCGAACAAATATCATTCCCAGTGCTTAAGAGCTCACCAATGAAATTTGTGAAAGCCTCAGAATCAGCTGTAACAGGACTTGGCGAAGATTATGGATTGAATAAATATGTAGAAGGTGATATTCAGACGAGTGTAATAATTGGTGATCATTTGTCAATTTTAAGTAGCTCTGAATTGATTGACATCATAAACTCGAATCTATAATTATGTATTTAGAATACTTTAATTATTAAGGAACTATTCATGCTTATTGATGTGAATTATAGAATTAATTAAGTTAAGAACCATATTTTATTGCTAATTCCTTAAGTGAAAATCAAGAACGAAATATTTTTGGTAAAGGTTGAAAAAAAAAATAAATTAAAAATTATCAAGCATAAATGCCAATCACTCTCATTTCAATGTCAAGTTTAATATTTTCAGTCTTCACATATCTCGCAACTACATCAGAAGTAATAAATAATTACAGAAGCAACAGATGTCAAAATAGTGTTAAAAGTATTCATTACTAATAAGTGAATTATTCATTGTTACAGAGGTCAAATTGCCGAAAGATGCGTGTTATTAAATTATTTGTAAAGATGTAAAATTGTTACATATTTGATTTCAAAATTAATAATTCATGATCATGCATGGTGAGCATTTGATAATTTAAGTGAGTCAAGCTGAGAAATGAGAGAATGCTCAGCTTTTGACTACTTACACCCTTAAATAACTTGAGTAAAGCTTGAGTGGATTTTCCATTTAACCACAGTATTTGTTATCTGTATGTGTGAAGATCAAAGCTATCTTTAAAAGCTTGATCACTTCCAAAGCTCGCGAAAAAATTCAAATATCAAAAGTTCGTTACGAAAAGTACTTTTTATTATTTTCTAATTTTAACACTTTTTATAAGAATCGGTCTGATCAATATTGTAAGGTAATAAATTATACAAAATACACAATTAATCATATAAAACATTTTGTTATGTTCAGTTTCAATTATTGTCGAGATTATGTCAAATATTATCTTTGGAAGTTGTAATACTAAATATGTGATGGTTATTATTAAAGTTATTTGAATTATTTCTATTGGATTCTCATCTATATAATGTTCTTCTATTTTCTTAAGCATGTTCCTCTTACGAAATAGAATAAAAATTGTCGGAATAAAGACCAACATTGGAAGTATAATTTTGACAAAAGTTGTAAAAACTTCTGCAGCACCAAACGAGCTTCTTAAAATAATGCAATAATTCTCATCAAATTCACGATTTAATGCAGAAATAATAATTGTTGGCATTGAAATAGAGAGCGAAAGTATCCATATTATTAACGTTGGGAAGATGACATTTATACTTGTCTTCCATTTCGGACCAGAGTAATCGATCGTTAATGTCCTCTTTTGTTCTAATGTATCATACGTATCACTAGTCGACTCAACTTCCTCATTTATAAAATTACTTTTTTCCTCCTCACTTTGAATTATTTTTAATGCCTTACACGCAAGATTTGCAGTTGAAACTGCATGTAGATTCATTGTTAACAAAACGTACGTTATGGCTGTTGATGAGAAATTTAAAAGTCCAGACATGATACCACATAAATCATCACCGAATATCCACTCGTGTGAGAAAATGTAGAATATATCAAAATAACATAAAAGTAAGTTTATTACATCGGCGAATGTCAATTGAAGAAGGAAATAGTTGAAGCCTAAAAAGGTAAATGACAATTGGTAATTTTTAAAGTAAATAGAAGTTAATTACCGTTGTTATGTGCACTTCCTATAAATTGTAAGAACTGAATCAATTGAAGAATAATTCCGCCAATAAAAATCACAACTAAATACACCCACAATGCTAAATTCATCCACTGATCGCTGACTATCCAAAAAAGTTCAGAAGCTACACTAATTTCACTTTTATTCATCGTGTAATGTAATTAATTAAGTGAGAAGTAATATAAACTGCACAGATCCACACATGCTTGACAACTGAGTGCGATTTTAAAGAAAAAATTGACACAAAGAAAACTTTACACGAGACTTACTCAAGAATGAGAGAGAATTTCTTCTTTTCTTATTTAATTTTAGCAGAATTTGATTGAAATTGTGTGAGGAATTTGGCGCAGATTGGGATGGTGAGGAACAAGAACGCAACTAAGACTGATCTTAGAAAATTGTATTTAGGAATCGTCCGCATGTGACGGAACGCTTAGTATAGCTTTTTTAAGCCTTTATAGTATTCGATAGAGGAAGTTAGTAGAGTTCCGATTTCCTTTAAGTCTAATTCACCATGTAATATCCAAGTTCTACTTTACTCAGCTCTTATTGCTCAAAAAACGTTCCTTTAGATGAAATATCCAATAAAAGTGTCGTTTCCTATCAAAAATATTCAACAAATGCGCTAAAGCTGTTATAGTCCGGAGCAGAAGCCTGTTCAACCGCTTTATTAACGCCCTATGATTCACAGTGGATCAATAGGAACTAAACATCATCATCAAATGCGCTAAAACCCTCAAGAACTTAATAAACACTTGATTTTTTTCTTTTCCTTTTTTGCATTTCTTCAATCATTCTTATAATATTTTCTTTTGTCTGTCTCATTCTCGCAGAGTGGCATTAAGGAGCCTCTTACATAAGGCAAATTCCTCATTAAAATATGCAACAATGAATGACTGCAAGAATCACAAAAAAATGCGAGGACCATATTTAAATAATAACAATTTCGCGACATGAATTAATTTTTTAAAGACGGGAAGAAGAAAAACAGGCAATAAAAATGTGCATTGAGAGCGAGTCGTATGCATCCGAGAGTGTGTTTACTCACAATCTTTTGTTTATCACATTCTCTTGCATACACAATTATTGCTTTCTGAACAAAAATATATCTATATATTTCCTGTAAATTATTCATTTATTCTAGTGTTGTTCTTTCTGGATCAGTAATGTATCATTTGTATTTCCTTGAGAATAATTTTGACATGTTATGATGAGCGAATGTTGATTAATGTAGATTTTATGCATGGCGACCATATGTGTTGATGGAGGTTTAAATTGGATTGGATAGGATTTTAATCCAATTCTTCCTGTTGAATAACAAACTGTTGAGTAGGCAAGTAGTCATTCAAGGACAGTGTTGCAAATGTAGATGTCTACACTAGATGAAGAATGTAGATTCTTCAATAGTTTTTGTCTAGCTAAGAAACTTTCTTCATAAAGATCGATTCTACATGTAGAAAGAAAAAAACCATCTACATGTAGATTGTGTCTACATGTAGAATCTGTCTACATGTAGATTCGATGTAGATGTCTATAATTCTACATTTTTTCCAGGTCTACATCAGAGAAGAATGTAGAATCGTAGACATCTACATTAAATCTACATGTAGACAGATTCTACATGTAGACATAATCTACATGTAGATGGTTTTTTTCTTTCTACATGTAGAATCGATTTTATGAAGAAATTTCTGTCTCAGAATTTATCTGATCCAGACAAATAGCCAGAATGCAACACTGTTCAAGGTATTTGGTCTTTAATAGTTCCCCTAGTTGATAAAATTCCAATAACTTAAGACAGCAAATCACCGTAAATAGGAACTACTTCAAGGATGCATCAATTAAAATTAAATCCTCACTTTCAATTCTCAATTTTTACTTCTTTTCTCCACATTCAAGCCACTTAAGAACAATATAAACATCACTTTTTCTTTCACTGCCTTTAAATTTCATCCATTTAACTTCATTAAGCACAATTTATATGCGTTTGACCTGATATTTTAAGTACCGACATACCCTTATTACACATTTGAATTAATAACACTTGAAAGACACACAAGAAAAAGAAATGAAGATTGAAGATCGCTTCTTCAACTTAATTTGAATGACACCTACTCAACTTCTCGTCGCCGTTTCAGTTTCACGAAAATATGTGCAAATGTCTTGAATATACGAGAGAAAAAAAATCACTTGAACTCACATTTGCATAATTTTTTTTTTCTAATGAAAGAAAGTTGTTTAATTTTAGAACAGATTGCGTCGTTAAAGTTGCAATTAAACGATTCATGCTCTCGCGCCTGCTTTCATGTGATTTATAATTGACAGTTATTGCTTGTAATATAAATCTTTACGATAAAATAAATTTTGTTTGATATATTGTGGATTTTTAAAAAATAATAAACAGAATCATATATTCAAACAAACTATTTCACATGCTGGTCATTCACACGAGCTTTCATTTGATTTAACAGTCAGCTGTGAATGACATAACCTTAACCTCCATGGTTTGATTGTATACTTGCAAGTAAATAGGAAAATAAAATTCATTCAGCAAAGTATGTAGAATGCAATAAATGTAATAATGAGCCAAGAATTCTTTTTTTGCGCGGGAAATTGCAGCATGATGGAAATGCTTTTAAAGTTGGAGATTGGATTTGGAATAAGGAGCATTTATCTATGCAATGAAGTTGATGTAAAAAGAATTAGCATCAAAGGGGCCATTCACTTATTACGTAACGCTTTTAGGGGGAGGGGGGGGGGTCTAAGATTTTGTTACGGTTCAAACAAGGAAATTTTTTTTTTCATACAAATTTTGTTACGAGGGGGGGGGGGGTCTAAGAAGTGATTTTTTTGCGTTACGTAATAAGTGAACAGCCCCAAAGGGAATTTAGAAAGTGAAATTTCAAAATTTAAATTATTGTAAAATCCGTAAAATCATAAATGTTAATTAGCCGTCATAAATAACTTTAAATAATTGGCTTGTAGTCATTATGTATTTCAACAGATCACTTGTTGTTTATTGATTATTACTACTGTTTAGTAAAGGCTGGAGTCAATTTCTTGAGCTACCTATGGTAGCTAGCCTAGGAACAGTAAACTTTTGTTTACATCCCAATTTAAGATTTTAGATTAAAAGGTTCCGAACCTTTGGATAATCGGCCTCTGGATCTGAACTGAAATTAAATCTCACTATTCATTCTCATAGCTTACCCATGACATATGTATCTCTTGTTGATTTTTGTCGCTCATATGGTTAGCTTTAGTTCTTTTACGAATTGAATTCTACGAAAATTAATAATAAATCCATTGACCCAATTAAATTCATCCATTAAGATCTAAAGTAAAGATTGTAATATTAAAGAATCTAGTTATTTTTAAACAAAATAGTCATTAATGTTATACTAAACTAAGTTTCAGTCTAAACACATGAAATTCTTCAAAATAGCTTCAAACTATGTACGTGACTATAAGGAATAACAACCTTTTAAGTATGAGCAATATTCCAATTCTTAAGAACAAAAACTAAAATTCTATTTAAGACAGATGTTTCTTCTTTTTCAGAAGTAGCACACAAGCTCATGACTAGGAAGTACTGATGATGCATATCTAGGGTTACCATCTAATTTTCATGAAAATACAGGACTTTTGGTAAATTTTTTCGAAAAATACAGGACATAGAGTAAAATTCGAAAATTAATGGAAATTTTCGTGATAAAAATACAGGACCTGGAACAAAGTTTTCAAATTTATACGGGACAGGGTTTTGAAATACAGGACTGTCCGTTGTAAAACTACGCAGATGGTCACCCTAATATCACCAAAATTTCCCAGAACAATTTACCGTCTAAAATATCCCCATAAAATCAGACGAAGTGACTATCCAAAGCTATTCTAACACATTAAAAGTTGCATAATATCCATGACATGATAGAAACAATGTTAAAAGGAAATGAAAGATCACGAGTAAATTACGATAAAAAAAAATTTCTCGATGAAGAAGAAGCAAGAACTGCAATTTTTTCTATTCGAGACTTTCACTACTTGCAATTTGCTGTTCTTAGTACTGAATAAAATGAAAGAAGAGCCTCAATCACATCCCAAAAGAACCGTTAGTAATAGCCGCTAACCTATAAACTCATCGAATCCAATATTGCCAATGAGTTATAGCCCGCATTGTCATCGTCGATGATCAGGTTGTTAGTCTGCCTCATGTAAAATTATTCTAGTTTTCAACTTTTACCATTCCATGCCTCAGCCATTATAAAAAGCCGAACAATCCATGATCACAAGTTTAATAGTACGCGAGACGTTTCCGAGTGAGTGTATCCGTGGTGCATTACCGTTTCTGTTTATTTATTTATTTTTTTTGTCGTTTTAAAAAAAGAAGCAACAAGAAAAGAAGAAAATAAATAAAAAAAATTTCGAGTACGAAAAGTGAATGAAGATGTCAAAAATTTTAACATTGCTGTGTCTGTGCTTAAATTTCATTTTAACAAAAACAAATTCAGTGTCGATGCGCAGCTCATTACATAAATTTATGGATAATGAGGAATTACAGTTTTATTTTGGGACTAACTTAATAAGTTCACTGCCAGATTATGAAATTGTTGACTTGCCAGAATCTTTATGGAGTGGTAGAGAAAGTGTTACAGCAAATGCCGATGAGGATGACTCAAAATATGTGAATTTTAAAGTGTTTAATAAGCAAGTTGAATTGAATTTATTTCCAAATAAATACCTTATATCGCCATACACAAGAATTGTTAAGAAAAGTGGTAATAAGACATTAAATAAATATTACGCAAATAGTAAGCCTAAATTTTGTCATTACATCCATAACAATAATTACTCGACTGCCGCAATAAGTAATTGTGAAAGGACTGAAATTCATGGATTAATTTTCCTTCCGGATGACTCATTTGAGATATTGCCATTAACAACAAGATTAAAATCATTAATGCCTGAAAATTTACCTGAGGATGCGACACGATCCACAGCATTCACAAAAATTCCACATTTAGTAAAGAAATCGAAATTTACGATGGGCACATTTGAAAATGATTTTATTGTGACAAATTTTCGTAGACCGTCAGGTAAAAAGCCTCAAAATAACAACAAGAACAAACGTGAACGTGGAATTGATTATGATCGACCAACTGTTGAACTCGGACTCTTCTTTGATGAGGAATTTTATAAAATATTCTCACCATTCTTTGATGATGATGAGAAGAAATTGGAAGACTTCATTCTGTCGTATATAAATGGTGTTCAGTCCCTCTACCATCATCACTCATTAGGACGTAAAATTGACTTAACGATTGTTTATCTCGAAATAATGGAGAAACAACCACATGATATGCCACACGCATACGGCGAGAGAAACGAATTACTTGATAATTTCTGTGACTATCAAAAGAAAATAAATCCGAAAGATGATCGAGACCCTCAACATTACGATATGTCTGTTTATGTTTCGGGTTTGGACTTCTTTGCGTGGGATAAGAACAACAATAAAAATGGTGTGACTATGGGACTGGCTACAGTTTCTGGCGTGTGTCAAGAGAATTACAATTGTTTGATCGCTGAATTCGGAACTAATAATCAATTTGGGCGACCGTATCCATCTGCTGGATTTACTTCTGTTTACATTTTGGCGCATGAAATCGGACATAATTTAGGAATGGTATGGTAAAAATTGTAGGAGTTATTACAATTTTTTTGATGATCAAAGACATTCTATTTGTAGAACCATGATGCTACCGATAATTCGTGTTCCAAAGAAGGATATGTAATGTCACCATCTCGTGGAACTCAAGGAGAAACAACATGGAGCTCATGTAGTGCATCAGTCATGAGGAAATTAGAGTAAATAGCTTATTATTATGATTCTTATCCACAATAATAAAATTTTATTTTCAGCTGGGCTAAATGTTTATTCGATACACCATCGGTCACAAAATACGATGCCTGGAAACATCACGGAAAACCAGGAATAAGCTACACAGCCAAAGATCAATGTGAGATTCTTCTTCGAGATCGTGATGCAATTCCATTCATTAATGGACAAGAATCAACGCTTTGTGAAAATTTGCACTGTCGGACACCAAATAGGAGTGGATTTTACTTCGCTGGACCTGCTTTACCAGGAACTGACTGTGGGAAAGGAAAATGGTGTGATGGTGGACAATGTGTGACTAAAAATCTGAATTCTCTTACTTCTACGACGAGTAGAAGCACAACTAAAGCAACAAAAGCCACAACATCAGTTACGACACAAAAGCCAGCATATAAGCCTACAACCAAACCTGTATCTAAGCCTACAATAAAGTCTACAGTGAAACCTGCATCAGAGCCAACACCAATTCCATACATGACTAATAATTGCAAGTCTCCATGCTTAAAAGCCAGCAAGGGTGTTCAACCAGCAATCAGAAGTTGCATCAAAGGATCAAAATGTGATGGAACTCTAATAAATCTAGAAATTTGTGATGACCGAAAACTTTGTTCGACTCGTAAGACAGTCGTTGAATATGGAACGCAAAAATGTAGAGAATTCAGCAGGAAGTTAAATAATGTTGACAGCAAAGGATTAGGACTTCAAGCATACTACGAACCATTACGACTTTGGATGCCATGCACAATATTTTGCAAACATAAAAATAATACGTCTTATTTTACACCGAGAGTTGAACTTAATAAGCTAGGAATTGATGGATATTTTCCAGATGGAACGTGGTGCCATAGAGAGGGAAATGTAGATTATTATTGTTTACATCATCATTGTTTACCACAGGTATAGTAGTGTTGAGTAAGCTACAATTTCGCATGAAACTCGATCTTATTCAATGGCCGTGTCTCTAGTAAATCTTAAATAAGGATTGCTTATTAAAAATCTTTAAAAATAAATCATCCTCTTAAAAAATTAAAACGACAGCTAAATGAATTAGGATATATCCACAAAAGTTTAACATATTCGATCTAATTTCCAAAAAAAAATTAAGACAATGAATATTTTTCGTTCTAGGACACACAAATTAGCAAAACTCAAATCCATCCACTTACAAATGTTGTGCTACCAGAAGAAGCTTTTCGACTTCGATTTGACAGTACGGGAAGTGAAGAACAGAATGTACAATTTTTTACATTTAGACCATAAAGATAGCATTAATAAAATTTATAATTGAATTTCCCATTTAAACTTATCAAATGAAATTTTATTTCGACCAAATTTCAGTTAAAACTTGATAAGAGGCTTAATAACATGACAACGAAAAACATTGACGTTAAGGAGATGCTCTGAATTGTAAAATAATTAACTTATCAAATAGAAGTGATCTACGTAAGTTTTATTTGTTTTGGCAAACGAGATCTTGCTTTATCGCCACTTCACGTGATAATTTTTCAAAATCTGAACAAACAAAAATAAGGTAATTAAACGTCACAGCAATTTGAACTTGCTAACCAAATGAGTGGCTGATTAAAACTGACACAAAAAATCTAGAGTTGTCAATGAATTAATTGTCGAGTTGGTTTTATCGCTTCCTTCCGAAAATGTTTAAAAACCACTTTTTAATTTAAAACTTTTAAGCTCATGAAATACAGGCTCTGTACTTGATTTGGCTAGCTTTTTGAGGAAAGATGCATAAAATTTTCATAATTTCAACTTTATTTCTTAAAATCTTTGCAACTAAAATTTACTTTACAAATGTTTTAACAAGTTTTGATCCAACATACACAACATTTTCAGTAACAATCAGCAAAGACAGAGATGTATTGAACGGAACAATTGACTCATTTTATGACTTATCAAAAATGACGGTAAATCAGGCAACATTCACAAATTTAATGATTCATCAAAATTTTGAGTTATTTCAGATGACTTTCATATTTTCAATACCTAAAAGCAGTCAAGATAAGAACTACGAGTTGACTATCCTTAATTCGAAAATTTCAACATGCAAATTAATGCAAGGAACAAGAGGAAACTTCCTTGTTCGGATGTTATTGGATGATTTTAACAAATTTGTTAATACAACTTTTCCATGTCCATTTCCAAAACAAATTTATGGATTTTACAATTTTAAGCCAAGTATAAAATATCTTCCATCACTGTTGACAAATCGTGACATCAAATTTAAATTGATTGTGAAGACAGATGGGAAGCTTATGAATTCCAGTAATGCTGTGTGGTTGTATTCGATGAAGCTTCATGGAGAACTAAGGAGTAATTGAAGTGGTTTTGTAGTTTCTTATGTATGTTCTAAGGTAAAGATGCCTAAGTGTAAGCTCAAGTTTAACTAAGATTTACTGAAAGACCAGTCTTAAATTGTTGAAAGAGTTGTCTGCAAAAATATGCAATAATAAAGCTTATATTCAACTTTATAGCTTCATTCAAGTTTCTAAGCCTGAATTTAATTATGTCTTATTTATTTTTATCAATTGATGTGTCTGATCTCATTTTGAACTAAGTTCCAAAGATCATTATCACATTTTTAACTTAGAGAGTAGTTAAGGAGCATAATAGCTTTCCGCTTGTTCTTAAAGTCGGCAATAAAAATCTCACTAAAGACCGTTAAAAATGTTCTGCGATCTTAATATTTTTTTTAAAAATAGAAACTGTGACCTGACATGATGAAATATCATATACAGCAAGAATACGATTCAGCCAAAATAAGCAATAATATTCAAAACTGATTTTTCGTTCATGTGTTTTGTTTACAAAAATGCCGATGAAATCTTAATGGCAATGAGTTTACAATTGATGTACGCAAAACTATTTATAGCTCTTAATAACTTTCACAAAAGTTTAGTCTGTGTATTAAAAGCTCGTAAAGTCATACAAAGTGCGATTGCTTCTCAGATGTCCAGAGTTGTTCGATTTAAAATCAAGCTTGTTGATGTTTCTTTTTGGTTTTATTATTTATGACATCCAGACATAGAATAGCAACGAAACTTTTCCTTTATAATTCTAATTGCGAAATTCCATCTGAATTGAGATAAGAGAACCCAAGATACACGTCATTCCAAAGAAGGTTCCAGAAAAAATCACACACACTCAAGTAAATAAATCAACCTTTGTTCATTCCTATACACTCATCATTCACAAACAACGTCATTAAATAATATTTGGATATTGGTTAAAAATGAGAGATTTGCGTGTGTGTATTGGTAAACAATAGTCATGCTACTTAATTAGAGAAGCTATGCAATAAACAATTGTATTGAGGATTACATGCATTAGTATTGAGATTACATCTTGTCGAATTCATCAAATTATTATCCAATGGGAAAAAGAACATAGAACAACCACAAAGGTGCAAACAAACTCATAAATAATCATGTCCTAGGCCAACAAAAAAGCTACGCACATCGGCTTTTCCGATTGTTGAACAATGATCGTATGATCTGATTAGAGCACTTATACATAACATTCTCACCAGTCACTGAGAAACAGAAACAAATGCTCCATAATAATATTGTATTATCACTTATTTACTCACACAGACATGCATGTATGCTGGTTGTAATGGAAAGAGAAAAGCAGGCATAGCAGAAAATATATAAGTTTTGTTGAATTTACTTACTCTTTTATTTTGTTGAAGTCATTTAGTGTGAATATAGACACCTCTAGAAGAAGTCGATCGTTTTCGGAATGCTTTTCGAAGTTATTGAATAATAATTGTTTTCACTTTAATCGCTCACCGTTCTCATTGTAAATAAAAAGCAACTGAAGCAATTTTTTTAACTTCATTCACAATTCGCCTGTTAAGTTCAATAAGTTGAAAAAAAAAATAATTTTAAAAACAAAGCAAAAAAAAATTGTCGTGAATTAAAAAACAATTTGATAAAAATCAGCAAAAAATGAGCCACGATTGGGGATACACAACTGAAAACGGTGAGTTCATAAATTTATTACATTTCCTCCAAAGTCTCGACGCAATAACTCAATCCATTAAATTATTATAAGAACAACAAGTTTATGTTTACTATTTTTATCGACAACCTTTTCATATTTTTTTGGATGCATTACGACCAAAAAGTAAATGTATTAGCCTGTACACGTGTGCATCAACGGTCTTTGTAAACATATTTGAAAGTAATGAAACTAATGGAGAGAAATAAATCCACTTCCGGAGCAACAATGATAGATATAAGTGCATTTTTTGTAGCTAAATTGTTTTTTACAATCGCAAGCTTTCATTGTGATTAAAAAATGCACATTACTGCACATCATTTAATTTTTTGTTTTGTTTTCTGAGAATTATCAACCGACTAGTACAATTTGAGTTTTGGCTTTAAGTTGTCACTAAGAAAAATTTAAATTTCTCAATTTTTTTTGTAAAAACAACCCAAAAAATTTTAATTAACTTTTGGGGAAACACAAAAACAAAATTCTCAGAAGTCAAACGTGCAAAAATGAGTTGCCGCAAGAAGTTATTAACAAATTTACTTTACGAAATATTGACTAGAATATAAAACTTGCAAAAAATACTTTAAAAACAACAACAGAGAGTTTCATTGTCAAATGATTCATGCGAGGAAAATTTATGAGAAGTTTAGCTGCAAGTGTAAAGAATTATTCATTTTAAAATGGATAAGGCGGATGATAAACAAATGTAACGACAATGCAAATTAAGTGAGCTATACTGGAATTTATATTAAATTATATTGCGTAATTGACATTCACACTTTCTGAATTTAATTGCATAGAAAATTAGAAAAAAAAGTAAATTAAATAAATTTATAAGCGGTTTTGACTTGAGGCTCTCCTTTTTTACATCCCTTCGGATGTTTAATGTCTCACGTGATTCGCAATTTTATAAACTTGTTCTCATTTCATATATAATGTCATTTTTTTCATGCAAACTTATGACACATCATTATAGTGATGTGATATTTTTAACGCTCATTTGTATTATTGCCATATAAAACAATAAGCAAGCTTGTCATGTTTATAGCCCTACGAGGATGAGATAAAAGCATATCGTCTTATCAAACAATTTAAACGTCACGTTTTTGAAGGTATTTTTTTAGAGACATCACGTTGAAAACAGTTTATTTATCAGAACATTGATCTACATTATTAATGGAATGTACAATGGCAATATATGATATTGATAATTGCATGATGACATGATGAGTGCTACTTACTTTACTTCTGAGTGTCAACAAGACATAACATAACTTCTCATACCTATTCGGACATATATTTCAGTACTTTTCCTTTATTTTGACACGAAAATTGAAAAAGCAATTTAAAAGTTTTTGATTGATTGACAAAAGTCATCACAAAAATGGCATCTAGCATGTGGGCATTAAATACACATTTCTATCATTTAAGATCTCAATCAATTGACAATTGCAATTTTCATTCCTTAATGGCTTTTAATGACGATTCTAATTTGAAGTTAATACTTCAATTCCAATAAAATCATCAACACCTCTAATGCCATTTGATGAAGATGTTATTAATTTATAGACTAATCAGTCATTGAGTCTTCTGACGTAGGAAGACAAAATAAATAGACTTTTTGAAGTGGATTGAAAAGTAAATTAAATTTTTTTTTCTATTTTAAAATCTGCCAGAGAAAAAAAAACAGCAAATCAAGTTCAATTCAAAAGCCACAATAACGATAAATTGATTTTTATATTATTAGCAATTGAGAATTGCACGTGGATATATATTGAAAGTAGTTAATTGATTTGATCTGTTTAGATGGGATTTTTCAGGGTTTCCCTTTCAAATTCATTCCTATTTCATGTGATATTCCTTGAAAGATATCATGTGACTAAATATTTATTCAGTAAGTTCCTAGTAAAAGTACAGCTGGAAATAGATTATTACTAATGTGGACTGAGTAAGGTTTTTTAGTATTCATTAAGCTTAATATGATCTTAAATGGTTGAATTTACCATTTTAGTGCAATGGCAATGCTATTGCAAGAGCGGAAATAGCCAACCGATCACCGAAGGGGATGTTTGCTTATTATGTTTAAAAATAATATGCAGGAAGTGACAGCATAGAAAGAGTAATACGATAAGGAATTTGGTCTTATGTTTATTATCTCTCTATGATTAAGAATGTCAGTCCCAATGTAGCCTAGAAAAAATTCCTTTAAAGATCTTGTGACTAAAATCAACTTTTAATTTCCATCATTCACAAACAACCCAATTAAATGTTCTTGAAGCTTCATTGATCATGCAGTCAACTTCCTTTAAATTATTTCCTCAAACCACAAACAGTGTACGTGATTTGAGCCCTCAATCCTCCACTATTGTATACGTGCAAAATACTCAAATTGTTCTAGCCCGCCCACAAAACATGATAACTGATTGATAGGATCTCCTTGAACATATGTTTACGAATCAAGCGTGTAAGTGAGACTACACAGAACAGCGATTGAAGAAGAAGTGAAAAAAGATAGCGGAAAATCTTGTGAAAAGTTTTATTTTCGTTGCTCATTGTGCTGACAATGTCAAAGAATCCCCCATTTTTTATTATCAATTAGTACACGAAAAGATCGTTAAATTCGCATCATATTTCATCCACGAATTTTTTTTATTTAACTATTTTGAGGCAGTGTGCATTATTTATGAACAATTTGATGTTGTCAACGAACTTTTTTATTTGAAAGATCAAATTTTTTCGCAGGAAAATGTTTATAACTCTTTGTGAATTTATATAAGCATATGTAGCTTGTTGAATTGTTTATTTCACGTCAGTCATCCTTTAAATTGATCATCTTCAACGTTATTTTTTATAAGATTATCACTGGATGTGAAATAGATGAGAAACTCATCGTTTTACATTAGGGGGATGAGAGTCCTTACGTTAGATTATTAAATCATGCCTTTTTAAGGAATTACTGCCTTCTTTGTTACAGTTTCAGACTGAAATTGATCTGTCTCAATGTTGAACGTCACTAAATAATGACATCCATATCAAATGCAGATAGAATTACAGAAGCTATAACTTGATACTCAGTTTAGCCTCAATTAAGGCATAATATCGCTAATTCTCATTCAATTACTGTCGATGTCGATATATAATTAAATGCTGGAGAATGTGTTAATTGTACTATGCGTTAGAACACACGATTTTATTTTCAAGCGGATATTCAAAACAAGATCATCAATTCACAAGCTCTTCATAAAAAACAACTTTAATTTGAACATCTGTTGGGGGAGCTCATATGAAATTTTAGGCAACTAAAACAGAGTTAATTGACTTCACAGGTTTTGCGAATTTCTGATAATCAACTACCGTAAAGTGTTAACAAATAGATCTATTTGCATAACTTCATACGTCAATCACCTGCGTATTCATGTACCCCCTAGAGATTCTATTTAGATAACAAATAATTCTGGACGATAAAATCAAATTACATCGCAATTAAATTTCAATCAAAACACACGAACTGTAAGAGAATAAAAGATGAAAGCTATTCACTCCAAAAAGTTTGCTATAATTAGCTATGCTATAAATAATTCTCTCATATGATCTCTTCATTGCATTCTGCTTTCTTTTTACTTCGCAAATTGTTATTGTATGTGGAACAGTTGATCTTGATCAGGAATTTTTATGAGTTAATCAGCATTGCCAAAACATTTAATTTTATGGAGAAAAATGCATTTCTTCGTGGCACTCGTGTTCTGAAGGAACTTTAGAGATGTAAGGCTATGCGAAATTTGTTGTCACTTCTCTGAAAGCTACACAAAGACTTATGCATGTGTTTTCAGGGTCCAAGGATTTTTTTCACAAAAAACCTTCATTTATTTTCCATCAGAGTAGGGGCTACATCCTTGCAACTTCATTTCTAGAATATTGTTTTGAGCAAAAAGGCTGTTGAGAAGATGTGCAGGAAAATTGATATTTGATATTTGTAAAGTCATTCAAAAGAACTGACAAACAAGTCATAAATTATACACAGTAAAATCTTAATAAAAACAAGGTTATTCAGCAAATATTAACAATATTAAGGAACTAATGTGTAAGATGGGAATTTCCAGTATTAAATTGCGTACTGTATTGCCTCCTGAGTAAATGTTCGTGTTAAGATTAAGTCAGAGTTGATATTTTAGTACTAAGGTTGTCTAATAGTCACAATTAGGCTAACACTCCTTTAGATCTTCGAGAAAATCCTTACAAACTTCATCGAAACTATAAGCTCATTGATTTATGACTTCCTTTACCATTCTCCAGAATTAGAAGATAATGATTCTTAGGATATTCTATTATCAACCAATCCTTAGCAATCCTTAGTATCAATTCTGCTTTTTTAAGTCAAACAAAGTTTAAACAGAATTTCTCAGAATGACTAAAAATCCCCTTATAAAGTATATCTCAGCATCACAGGTAATTCATTATTTAAGATAAGAATGTCCATTCTAAAATCAGGTTGCGTTCCAAATATTAATCAGTCTATATATAAAACTTGTTAGGATTCATTAAATCACAACGAATATTCAAATTTTTTGCGAATACTCCTCATTCAAACCTGATCTTGTGACAATGCTCTATGTTAATTTACATTTGTTTTCCTGATGTCATGTGACATTCTAGTGAAAAACTAAATCCAATTTGACTTGTTTAAATCAAAAATACACGATTCAAATGCTTAATAAAAAAATAGTTGAGTAGACAATACGTCGCCAATGACAGAACAATTTGTTCTAAAAAGCTTGTTTTAAGCCGCCTGATTTCCATTCATCCTATCATGATAGAGAATTGAATTGTGAGGCACAGTTTTTTCATTCCATCATTTAAATCACCGAGTTCCGAATGGAAATTAAATTAATTTTGCGTTGATAATTTTTTATTACTTTGGCTGTTTAAAGCTTCTGAAAAATAACAACTGAATCTATTTTTAAGTTTAACACGAAAATAAATTTACAGATCCATGGCTGATTTAATTTTTTTCTGTGAAAAATAAATAATAAGATTTTGAAAGTCAATTTAGCAACTTATATTAAACTTTATTGACGACGCAAACATTTTTTGCTTTGACAAGCCATAAAACAAGATTTCTTCTTCTTTATTTAAACATTTCTTTGCGTATCTTTTGTGGTGCAACGTTAAGGTATGCAAGAATTTCAAGGATTGTTAACTTTTAAAAATTATTTTAAACTTTTTTCATGATTAATTTAAAGTTTGGAGCACTCTTATGGGAATCAAAGTTCCTCCAGTAATCTAATAACTTCCAAAAACTTTTGAAAAAAATCGAAGAAATTCTTTTGAAATTTTGACAAATTTTTAACTACATGAACAGAGAGTAACACTCATACATACCAATATTACATGATATTGCCAATTTCTTAATATGAAACAGCAGTTCAAGATTTCTTCTTTCACGCATCAATACACATGCAACAAATTACATAAACAATGAATAAATAACACAAATGAGCAGATAAATAATGCAAAAAGAGAAACATCAACTGCACATTTTTGATGCCATAAAAATAATTTTTGTCAGTCTTTGCGCCTGTGCTTCTTATTCGTTGAATTTTATTGTCTATTTTTTTTTGGCAATCAAGTAAGAGAGAATGAATAAACGCACACTAATGCGATTTAACGGTCATTGCATCTTTCCTTCATAACTATTCGAATTGGTTTTTGTATTTTGTTTACTGAACATATTTACAATAAATATTGAATGTATGGATGTAGAGTCACGAGACATAAGAAATCTCGTTTTGGCGCACGATTTGTCATGCCATATGACGACTTCTCTCTTACTCATAATGATACAGATGAAATTCTTCTTTATTTACGAGATTTATGTGCTAATACACATTCATGTATGACTTTCGTTAATCCACTTGACTGTATTTGTGGCATTAATTATTTCCGCGGAAAGAACTTTTTTATTATTTTTGCAGCAAAGCTTGTTTTTGAAGAAACTTCCAGATACTTATAACAGCTTATAACAGGTTTCATTTTACCAGTTTCTCGTTACTGTAACCAATACCATCAATGTTGCAGAAAGTAAATAAATAAGCAAGCATCTAAAGAAGTAAACAGATTGAAAAATGGTCGTAAACTATTGCTAATTTTAGCGCATTTATTATTTTTGTAAATGTTAATTTATTAATGAGCAAAAAATGGCTTTTATGACTAATAAGCTGCTACGCGTCTGCAAAATTTCGTCGTCAAGTTCCATTTCTATGTGTTCATGGAAATGAGAGAATGCGAAGTTTTAACTCGAAGTATAAATTTTATAGTACGGAGAAAAGCTTTAAAAACTGGATTTTTATTAGATGTAAATAAGTCATAGTGATGGTTTTAAGAGTGACTTCATGTTTTATGGCATAAAATTTTATTTCAACGGGTTTCAAGTATTGCGAAAATAAAGGTTATAGCTTGTGGTTTTAAGGAAAACCATTGAAATTTGAAATGCTTTTAGTTCCTCGCTTTTTGGTGTTTTCCTGGAAAAACTTAACTTGCTTAAATAAATTCCATATTGATCGAAATAGTGACTCCTACGAATCATCAAATTCATGTCAAAATTCAATCAATTAATTGATAATTCAATTGTCCCATTAATCTACCTCTTCCTCAAGAATTTAGACACGCAATGATAACATCAAAACACTTTCACGACAATAAATTAACTTTATTTACTCTATTTCAAAGGACGATTCGGTGTCTTCCGGTTTATTGTTTTACCTACTTTACCTTCAAGCACTTGCGACGTACTGACATTCTCATCAAACAACAAGGAATCCGTTAATTACACAAATAATAAAACGAAAACTTTTAGATAATCATTTATCCAATAATTAACAAATAAATAGGCAAAGTGCTGAGACAAACACTTCCTTCCTCAGAAAACGTCTCATTCCATAAAAGGTTCATGCTGTCTACGATGCGATGTAAAAGTATTACTTTAATAATCACGAGGATTTAAATAAATTTTGAACTCACACTTGAGTATTACTCATGTCAGAGACAATCAAGAATAACCGGAGTTCAAAAAACTGCGAAAAGGTCATTAGTGAAAATAATTTAAATTTTAATGATAAATTTTCATGGCTATTATGAGGTTGCTTCAATTGTTTTGAGTCTATTACTCATAAAGTCAACATCGGAAGTGCTGAATCAATAACAAAATTCCTTTAGGTTCTTACTACGTCTTACAAAACATTCTGTCACTAAACATTTCATCAATATCAGGAAATACCAAAATGTTAATTGTATTTTAATGCTCCGATTTGTTCATTACGTGTTGTAACTAAAAGCTCTAATTGTAAGTTCTCGTGGTTACAAAGCTCATTCATGTTTGTACATCTAATTGATATTGAGAATTGATTCGAAATTAATACTTTACATAACAAATTGTTTAAAACGATTTTTTTTTAATTATTAAACAGCCAACAACTAAGAATCGTCGTGCTAAGTTTGTGGCGACTCTCAATTAAGATAAACAAAATGTGCTAATTGAGCAATAAATAAATGAAAGTTTAAAAACATTTTGCTGTTATCGTTCAACTCGTAAAAAATTGCGGTGGGCTATAAACATCTCCGGATTCAATTGAACTCAATTGCCCCTAATGGATGTGACAAATTAAAATGACCATACGAATTCATTTTGTTCAAAGTTATGGGACATGGTTGGGTAATGAACTTGTAGATGAAATCGAGAGTTTTAGTAGAATTTAATGTTAAATTAATTCTGAAGGATTCTATTTTGAAGAATGAACATAATTGATAGGAATCAGGTTTGATTTAGTATGAACCAGTTTTGTTCAGTGAAATCAGAAAGCAATTAACTTCATTTAAATTAAACAATCAATTCTGAACAATTTACAAAAAAGTTTTAATACTGTTCAGCTGAATTTAGAAGATTCCAATGTTTATTCAGCATATTTTAGTATACAAACGCTGAAGCAATACCAAGCTGAATTAAGCCACAATATATTTAAGTCATAGTGCTGAATTCAGCATTATTCTTCATTACTAAGCTGAATTCAGAACGATTAAGGTGAATTCAACATTATTAGGCTGAATTTCAGAAAAGTAAATTCAATTCAAAATTCTTAATTCAGAAATATAACCAATTTCTTTCCAAAATATCCAACTCTGCTTATGAAAATTTATGTACCCTCCAAAAAATCTAAATAGCTAAATTTGTATTTCGTCATTCATTTTCGTGAATTATTTATATAAATTGCCCTAGTAGACAGTTCACAATTTATATGAATATTGTCAACAGACAATGAATTAAACAGTCGATCACGCAATAAATTAAGATTGCTTTAGTACTCGAAAGATATTTGTTGAATAATTAGTGTAAAATAATTTTAAGCGATACAAAAAACATAAATTAAAACGATAAATTGAGTGGTAATTGAGAGTGTATTAAGCTATAGATGTATTTACTACAAGGTTGTCTAAGAATGTATTCAAAAGTGAGTAAGGTAATGTTTACTTTAAGCGACTTGAGTCAGTCAAATTCTATTTCATTCCGGTAAATCTTATCACCTATTAAGTTTAGCGTCTGACTGATAAGAATTTAAACAAAAAATAGCACAACCAAAAATGTCGTAATCCAAAAAATTTCCTTAATAATTTCAAGTATAAAGCTTATCTCAATTGGAATTAATTAGTGCTTATCAGCAATTTCGCGGCTTTTTTGTATTAAAATCAAATTTAATGATTGATTGAGTTATTTTCGTTCACTTTTTGTAACTTCACGTGCTGATAACGAACGGCGAATCTGCACGGGAATTGACATCTCGTGCTTAAATGATAAGTGTAAAATAATTTATGTTCCTTTAATTTCAGGCCCAGAAAAATGGCACGAGAAGTTTCCATTAGCAAATGGCATCCGTCAATCACCAGTCAACATTATTACATCGCTGACAAAACAAAGCACGGACTTACAAGTTAATCCATTACGTTGGACTTATGTACCTGAAAATGTCAAATGCTTGATCAATCCTGGATATTGCTGGAGAGTAGATGTCAATGCAAAAGGCTCGGAACTGACTGGTGGACCACTAAACGATGATAAATATGTGATTGAACAATTCCATTGCCATTGGGGGTAATTAAATGCTATTTTCGGTGCTTAACTCTCTTTAATAATTTAATTTCATTCATAATAGATGCTCTGATGGTCGCGGAAGTGAGCACACTGTTGATGGTCAATCTTTTTCAGCTGAACTTCATATTGTTCATTGGAATTCTTCAAAATACAATTCCTTTCAGGAAGCTGCAGGACATCCTGATGGATTGGCAGTGTTGGGTGTCTTTTTGAAGGTAAGCATTGTTATCCTTATGGATATAGAAACAGTTCCTGTATTCAAAAATTTTTGTCAACTCTCGATTCCAAAAATTACAAAAAATCTTTTTTATTCAGGTTGGAAGTGAACATGAAGAATTGGACCAAATTGCACGATTGATGCCATACATTGGACATAAGGGTGATAGAGTAAGTAAACAATTAATTTTCAATAAAAAACCAATTAATTTCAATCAATTTTTATCAAATAATAGATTACGCTTAAGTCAGTTGATATTGCCAAATTTTTACCAGAAAACAAAGCATATTGGACATACGAAGGAAGCTTAACGACACCACCATTTAATGAAAGTGTCACTTGGATTTTATTCAAGGAGCCAATGTATGTCTCATCTGAACAAATCACCTTGTTCCGTGAGCTAAGACGCTATGATGTTAATGATGAATGTCCATGCAATGAACAAAACTGGCTTGTCTACGACTCAGTCGAGGAAGATCCAGGCAAGATTGTCAACAACTTCAGGCCACCATTAGAGTTGGGCAACCGTGAACTTCGCGAAGTTGGTGAACATTAAACAAATTAACCGCAGAATATTATTATTATTTTAATCGATGTCATGTAGTTTGTAGGAGCAAAAAGAATCTAGTGCTAACATTTATTCTCCACTTATGGAAAATGAATTCATCTTTATTGAAAGAAAAAGATGCTGATTTGTTGATCAAATTCTTATAAAATACGCCTTTCTCTAGGAGACACATATGACATAGCATCACAAATCTGTCGTTACGATATCAATTAGTGAGCATGATCATTGCTTTTTTTGTTAGAGGTCTATGTTTGCCTTTTGAAAAGGTCTTTAAAAAAACTTTTTAATTGCACTGTTATTCAAAATATTAGGTGCTATATCATCATTATTATTATTATAATACGTATGTAGAGATCTAGACTTATGCATTTCTAATTCGAAATATTACTTTGTAAAAAAATAAATGTAGAAAAATGTTAAAATTAATAAAATATATATAATGTAAATGTTTTTGAGCTAGCAGAGAAGATAAACTTGAGATTTGTTGAATTTTACAGAAAAATGAACTAATGTTCCTTATTTTCAGTCATAAAATTTTAAATTGCGCAGCTTTCAATCCAAAACTTCGTTTTTTCTAGTAAGTTCTATTTATCTACAAAATATTATGATTTTCGAGTATTATTTTCAGGAAATTATTCACTGATGTTGATGTTAAATGAATTAACATGGAAATTTCTATCGGTACAAGTAGTTAAATTGTGTTCAATGAGATTGTAACATTCAAAAACAGGAGATCAAGTAGTTGTTATTCAATATTGAAATGTAATTGACTTAAAGGTTGGCTATCTTGTTGGTTTACTTTAATTTTCGATATTATGATCTGACTATGCTTCAATTTGATCGATTCGAATCTGAAAAATCTTAAGAACCTCACAAAGTAGATTTTTAAGTTCCTTAAATTCTGCGACTATTGAAAAATTTCGAAACAAATATTTCACAATAAAAGTAATAGCTTTCAAGTTTAACGATTCTCAGATTTTCAATTTATCAAGTTCATTCATGCGTCAAAAAGCTTCTAAGCTGAGCGTCACAAGCTTTATGAAAAAAAAAAATTTTATGAAAAATCTTTAACGGGGGAAAATTTTCACCGATCATCTTGAATTTTTTACTCGACTCATGCCTTGATGTTTTTCAGTTTTTCTTCTTCTTCTTCTTCTATAAAATTTCAATTTTATATGTTTTCGTGTTTCAAAAAAAATTGTAAATTAAATTTTTGTGTTTTATATTTATACGTGTGTGCTTAGACATCTGGCTCATTATCAACTGAGAAAATGTTCTTTAGAAAGTGTCGTTGCTAATGTTGGTTTGAATTGAGGTAGGTTTGGATGTAGATCTTGAGTAGAGAAGCCAAGTTTAATTATTCTAGAGTATTGTTCAGGCAACTATAGCAGATTTAGAGCTCTTTTGTGTTAATATACAGTTTCTAATTTAAAAGGAGTTAATAATTGTCAAAAAATGAAAGCAACTTGCTTGAACAGACTCAATTGGTGAAAAAAGCAAATAAATAATCAACGACTTTTGCATTATTAATTGTTTTGACATGTAAAATAGCTAAAAACGACTAAGAATGAAAATTTGATTTATAAAATATTTTATAAACGTAACAAGTTAAGCAAAACAAGCTGGCATCATGAAAACACGAGAGAAGCGACATCGACCAACTTACAAAAAAATGTTTTTAATTTTTGAAAATTTGTCATGAGTAGAGTCGGTTTTAATATCAAAATAGCTTAGCCGTTAAAAACATCAACTTAAAATCCTCAAAATAAAAAAAAAACTAGTTTTAACCAACGAAAGGAATTTTAAATACGTGTCACAATGAGTCAAAACCAGAAAAATTTCAATACAATCATAACTTCGATGAAAATTTGTCCTCCGAAAATAAATTATCGACGATGACACTTATCACAGAAATTATCACTAGAAAATTTAAAAAAAAAATATTTAATACATTTAAAAACCATAAATTCTGTACGCACGCTTTAGCTATTATGTGGAAAAAGCAGAATTTTTATGAAAAAATCTCGTGATTATCGAAACCTAAGCAATATTGACTTCTAATTCATCTTGTCTGTCCGATGATTTAAAACTAAGTTTGAAAATTTTTGAGTCACAAGTTTGATGTTTTCACGACTGAATAAGAATCTATTGAACTGAGCAAAAAATGAAAAACAGGTGATTATGTCATAGTTGACTGACACATTAATGTATTTTGCTATAGATATAGATAGAAAGTATAAGATTTGCGTAAATGAGAGTATTTCAAGAGTTATCACGTAGTTACCAGATTTTTTGGTATTTTTGAGCACAACATTTGAGTTTGGCTTTTGTGGGTCGTTAGGTTTGGTTCTATTTATTGGTATTTGTTGTAAAAAACAGAACTATGATCACGTACCTGCAAATTTAAAATAAGTTATTTTCCCGGGAAACAACAGGATCAACAAGACTACAAACTACTTGACTCTATTTTCTCCTGCTTACGCATTTCAAAATGATCCTGCCAAAAAAAAACCTGTGATTTTCTGCAACTTATTTATGATATTCAAGCTTGCACACCCACGTAACCAAAATCCCATAGATGGATTATACATGTATTACGCGAATATATTCCATGTAAAGTCCACGTGTATCATCCATGGATGATACATGGAACGATATTGTCCTATGGAGATGGATGATTTCATGGACGATTTGGGGACTCTCCATGTATAGTACATTAGGTAATACAAATGTACTACTTTATGTATTTTTAATGGATTGATGCACCTGAAAAAAAAATTGCTTAAATTTTATTAATTAATTCATATTATTGTATATATATTCTTTACACTATTTACTTTATTAATTTAAAAATTTGCATAAAGTTATGCTAACAACACTCAATCATAAATTAAACTACAAAAAACATAGCTGGATTTCTAAAAATAGAGAAATTAAAAAATGATTAAAATCCTGAAAATTAAAACTAAATGATTATGAAAATTCTTACAATACCTATAAATAATGAAAGGAAAAGAGAACGATAATTAAATGATTTTAAGATGTCTAAAACATCTCAAATTTTTGTGAATTTTCTATATTAAAAACTCATTTTTCACTTACCTTAAACATTACTTTATGACTTATTTCACATTCTTTACCATTTTTTCGTCAATTTATCACCATTTAAACATTAAATTACATTATTTAAATTAATTTTTCACTTCATATTAATTTTTCTAAAACACATTTCACAATATAAACAAACAAGAAAAAATACCAAAATGTTTTTAATTGTCCGAATGACCAGATTTTTAAAATATTACATAGATGTATTACACATGGACTATACATGGAAGAACCATTTATGTAGTACAAAAGTAATACACAATGTACTATTTTGTGGAAAGTACATGAATCTTTCATCGATGTCAATGGAAAATGTATGGAATACTTTGGTTACGTGGGCATGATAATTGACCCAGTTTATGATACAGAGTTCTCTCATACGATGAAAACATTCTTCCATCAAGTGCGCGGGATTTAAAATTTATCCAGCCCAAATCATTCGTTTTTAGGACCAACTTAGAGAATTTATTTCAATCGTTCCAATTATTGAGAGAATCTGACATCATTGACATCCTAAGTCCTGTATTCAATAATTAATTATTTCCGCAGACCAATTCCTCATCCATTAAATAAATGATTTCACTAATTAAAAGTTCGTTCCTCAGTTCAAGTTGCTCGCAAAATTTTCCTACTCATTTTCATTTTCTCGAGTCCCAAAAGAAAAGAACTCTGAGCTCACTCATTTGTGTTTGTTACATTCAAAACGATTCGTAAATTTTCATTATATTTTGACTTTCCTCAATATATATCTCAGATGTACATCAGTCGTTGGAAAGTAAAGACATAAGAAGACGACAAGTAAATTACACGAGTGATCAGTGTTTTTAGGAGAAAATTTTATATATTTTTTTTGCTGTTTTCGAAGTAATAAATTGCGTTTTAATTGTGAATGATATTAAAAAGTTGTTGACATTAAGTCGTGCATTTCAAAGTTACTTGTTTTAAGAGAATTGTAAATTGTGTCCTTGGTGAGTTGAAAAATTGGAATAACATGGAATTGATAAAGAATAATGTTAAAGTGTCAAAACATGAAAATTAAGGAACAGTCAGTGATTGATAAATATTTATAGCTGCAAAGCTCAAAAAAAAACAAAATATTTGTTTTACGTAACATGAAAAAAGAAAAGTCGTCTCTATTTTCAAAGTCATGTTAAAGAAACAAAATAAAAATTTATGTTTTCTCAATTTTCTTAGCAATGTCCCCAAATAAGTCTGAATCAGCGATTGTTTTGCGAAAAAATGTCTTAATTTAATCCAAAATATGCGAAAAAAATGAGAAAATTTTTGGTGCAAAAATAAATTTTTGACCATTACATGAAAAAAAAGACATTGGAAAAACGCAAACCTTCTTCATCTCACTCTTGTCGTATTCATTTATTTTTAATCTCTCCTTACTGCTTGCTTGTTATTTATTTTTTTTTTTCTTTCTCTTTCTCGTATATGTACGGGGCTATCTTATTTTAAAAAAAAAATATTCAGACTCAGTGGCTATTAATAGGTAGATTTCAAAATTATATTTGTGCAACAATAATCAGAGTCCAACTGATCACTAGAAAGTCGAAATATTTTACGAGTAAATGAAATTTTCATCTACACCACTGACTCGCGCCTGTTCTGATATTAGATGTGAAAAAAAATAATGAAGAAAAAACATGAAAACTCACATGACAAATGCGAAATAGAAAAAGAATGCTGTTGAAAAAAAAAAATACAAATGAAAATTGTTGTAGGTTGTTAGCGAACTCAAGCGATAACTAGTTTATGTGGGATGATTGATTTCTGTTGTCTTTACTGAATTTTTTAATGGTTTAATGGGGATGGTAGTCGATTAATTTATTAAATATTCCTTTGGGGGACAATTTTGTACAATAAATGCAGCTCATGAAGAACACGAGCAATGAATGAGAGAAAATTTGAGTCATTGATTATTCAGCTGTTGAGATGATGCTACCCAAAATTGCTTTTTGTGTTTTTTTTTCGCATCATTTAAAGAACCTTTTAAATTTTTATGAAGAACATTGTATTACTTGGCTTTATTTTGATACAAATGCAAATCATTAAATCGACTTTTTGGGAATAATTTAGATTTTGAACAGTTTTTGCGTCAATTTTTTAATCTCCTCGCGTCATTTGATGACATTTGGAACTTTAATCTGCTCGCGTCATTTAATGAAATTTGGAACTTAAATCTGCTCGCGTCATTTAATAATATTTGGAACTTTAATCTGCTCGCGTCATTTAATGATATATGGAGCTTTAATCTGCTCGCGTCATTTAATGAAATTTGGAACTTAAATTTGCTCGTGTCATTTAATGACATTTGGAACTTTAATCTGCTCGCGTCATTTAATGATATTTGGAGCTTTAATCTCCTCGCGTCATTTAATGACATTTGGAACTTTGTATAACTTTTCGCGTCATTTTGACAAGTTTTTGCATCAAATAATTTAAACTCAATCAACTTAATTATAAAACATTCCTATTATTGGTTAATAAAAGCAAATTACTTACTTATTTCGTCAACATTTCAAAGAACCTACGTCTATATAATCATTTACACACTTGTTTACCACATAAGACACAATAAACCTTAATTAATTGTTAATACTGCTTTGTTGAATAAACAAAAAACTTCCCACAAATAAATTCGAAACACCAACTTTGATGTATTTTAAAATATACAAAAACCGTTGATGCTTAAAATTTCTTCAAGTCATTAAAGCCTCAATTTAAAATACAGTAAAAGTCAAAAAATGCTCATGAATTTATCGCTGTGAAAATCACTCTTACATGAAAATCACGTTAGACACATGAAAAAACAAGTTGATAATTATATATTTTGCTGCTTTACATTTACACCCATACGAAGAAAAAGACAGATTGTGATCTGGCGCTTGATACATTTCTCTACAGTTAAAGGAAGACGTTGAAAAAACATGATCAAGATAGCAAAAAAAAAACAAACATAATAATGGACGCAAATCCTTGTTTTTTGTGTGTCACGTTATTTTAATCACATAACAAACACTGATCGCTGATGACGAAAATGCGACACAATGTAAAGAGAGAAAGAGAGAAAAGAAAATGTATCGAAAATAAGAATATTTTGATGACATTGGGCAATGCTTAGTAATTATTCGAAACATTAGGTTGTTAACGCAAATGAAAATGCCAGCTAACACGAGTTTATTTTTAAATTTGAGGCGTTTTTTGTTTGCAAACTTTTTTCTCCTGTTTTTTTTTTTCTGTTGTATAAAAAAACTTTTCATTTGTGAATGGGAAACAGTTGTTGCTGATCAGCAGATTTCCTCGATGCAATTTCATGTTTTCTTCTTGCCTACAGACACCTGTAAATTATTTTCTATTGTTTCATTTCTTTTTCTTATTTTTCTATTCTTTTTTTAGAAAGACTATCTTCAATTGCGAATTTATAAAATTAGTTAAAGTACATTATATTTTTCTATAAAGTCTCAATTACTTTTTTTGAATGGATAGCATGAAAATGAGACCGATTCGTATAAGAAAAAATTCTAGGTCGGTAACAAAGGGATTTCTATTTTTTTTTTCATCGTGTGATGTGCTCCATATAGTCGTTGTGATTTGAACTTGATATATTGGACTTAACAACTCTCAATTAGTTGATTTGATGAAAATTTCAGTAGTTCGTGTTTTTGAACATTGAATACTTAAAGGAACTTGATCAAATGTGATTATTTTAACAATACAAGCTTAAAAGTTCACTCTTCTGTATCTTGAAGTCTTTCGATATGAGATAAGAAGGATTTCAAAGTTCCTAAGCATGAACAAATCTCAAATATTCGATTTATTACAATTTAACTGTCTAGCTTTATGGAGAGTTGTTAAACTTCAACATTTTGATGATCCAGTAAATAAACTTCAAATGATAACGATTATGTGGATTTTAGTTCTAACAAAGAAGTTTTGTAGTTTTTCGCGTTTGGTTTCCCATAACAACTAATTTTGATAAATTTTCATTTTAATGCTGCATAGATTGACCATTCATAAATACTTCACGTATGGTTTGCTTCATTTCTGTATGGAATTTTAATGCAGACTTGACAACTTTCTTGCAACTTGTAAAAATTCTTTACTTTCTTTATAGAAAATCGTGGACGCAAAATGGTGATTCAGACAGACCAGTTAAGAGACTCTTTACACCTGAAATTAAGAGATTATTGAAAGATTGGTTGGTTAGACGGAGAGACAATCCATACCCAAGCCGAGATGAGAAGAAGGCGCTTGCAGTTGAAACTGGTGAGTTCTATAAATCCAACAATAATTCATGACTTTTAAATTGTCATTCTCATAGGTCTCACATACACTCAGATCTGCAACTGGTTCGCAAATTGGCGGAGGAAGTTGAAAAACACAAGCATGCAAAAGAAATCGTGGGGGAATCTCATAAAAAATTACAATTTTTCAGCTCGTGGAAATGTCGAGCAATTTGAGATTAACAGTGGCGATTCAATTTGGGGTGAAGGAAATGAATCACTTGGCTCTGATTCGTTTGATCAAGACTCAGAAACTGAAGCTCAGGATTTATCGAAACCCACAAATGACATGCATTTTGATGATCAGCAATTTAAAGCAGCACTAACATCAATGGCACAATCGCTGCCCAATCGATCATTCTTTAATTCACAAAGTTCAACACAATTTGCTATGAACTTCCTGGCGCAAGCTCAACAATGCTTCCAAATCTCATCAACAACAAATGACATGCAACAAAGTGATCAACAGAAGCAATTCTTTGCTAATCCTAATAAATTTAAGAATCATATTATGGAGAAGTACCTTCGTGGCTTAGACGACGAGACAAATAACAATATGATTATTGATAATGACATTAATATGAATAACAATCAATTACCTGAGAACTACAAGAAACCTGAGCTATCAAAATGGCTTGAAAGTACAGCAAACTTCCAGCCTAGCAAGAATAACTACAATATTGATTTTGACAAGAATGAAAAGAAGAAGAATAGCAAGTCATGTTCTAGTCTATGTGAGAAAGAACTAATAGCTGCTGAAACGCTAGTCCTCCTTAAGAATAACTTTCGTACCAAGTTTTACAACAGCTAGGGAGTCACGTTTTTAGAATTAATTGATAATATTTTTTGTTGGAGTCAGTTAAATGTGGTCAATGCTTATAGAAGGACTTTGTTTGATACTGGATCTTTAAATGACTCAACTAGATATCGACTCCTTTGACCAAACTTTTACTTCCATCCTTAATAATCATTACAATGATAATTAAATTTGTTTTTCTTATAGTAGAGCATTCCGAGCTTTGTTGAGTTAGAAGATGAATATTATTATTTTTTGTTTCACATGAATCCATTTAGAATGAGATAAGAATGTTAATTGTGTGATGTTATGTAAAGAAATGAGAACAAAAAAACTTATTTTCACATTATTTCAGATTCTATCTTGTTGATATTCAATAGGAAAGATTTTTTTTAGATATTACTAGATTTGTAGATGAAGACATAAAGATATATATTGTTACATAAAACAAAGTTGTCATTTAATGCCTTCTTTTCAGGATCCAGTAAATTTTAAAGGAACTTCATTTTTCTTTTAATTCAATTTATTAATTCTACTATTATTAATTAACATATTCACGATTCTGTTGGCTCAATATTTTCATTTTTTACTTCCTTAACATCATCGCTTTTCGTGTTTTTACGAGCATGAGCATCAAGTATGTTGACCAAATTTAATTGATGACTTTGAAGATTTTGTACGAGCTGACTTCCGGCTAAATTGAGGACGTTGACAAATTGTGATCGTATAATTTGAATATCTGGCATGTTTCCATATGCAACAAATTCATTTTTGGACAGCAATTGACCTTCAGCGATTCCACAGAGTAATGTCATTTGAGGAATCTTTTTCAGCACTTTCAACATTGTAGTAACTTTATTATGTTCTGTACAGAAAATGAAGCCAGTCGAAAAAAACTTGTTTTTATTGAGTTCCATGATGCATTCGTACTTTGTGTCCTGGAGGGCTAGTTTAAGAAGTGAATTTCCGTACTTTTTGATCTTCATGCCTTGTTTGTGTAAAGCAACAGCTGCTTTGAAGTACTCTTCGCCATTGATTGGATTTATATGTACAATACCAACCATTTTAGATTGATCAAACCAATTTCGAGCTTCCTTTGCCAAAATCACTTCGTATGGATTTACTTCTACTGCCTTCTTCTTGAATTTTGACTCATCTATTGGACATGGAATAACTCGTTCCCTTTTCGGGTATATAGGCTTTGTCATAGCTATAATAAGTGCTCTGTGAAAATGTGGCTTCCTTGGGTGCTAAAATAACAAAATTAAGGATAATTAAATTTCATTTCTGGATGTTCATAACAAAATGTTTTCAAACCTGGATATTTATTTTTCCTCTAAATCTTTTAAATGCCAAATTAGGCAGTTGTGCTGTTAGGAATGCTGTAAAATTCAATGAATAAACGTGTAGCGGCATGTTATAAACAATAATAATAGGTTACTACTTACAATTCCTTAATATACTCGTCATTTTTATTAAATGAAATTATTTTCGATTAATTTTCACGTTACTTATAATTTCTCAAGGGTCAGACACTCCAAACTATTGTACGGTATTGTACAATACTTACAATACTTACAATACTTTCCATACAAGTATTGTACGGTATTGTACAATACTTACAATACTTTTCATATAAATTTACAGTTCTTTACAATACTTACAATACTGAAATTTAATTATTCAAGAACCAAATTTTAAAAGAAATTTAATATTTTTTGAGTTTTCAACAATTTGTAAAACCAAATTTAATACTTTTTTTGATAAATAACATTTTTTTTGATAAATTAACATTATTATTGAAAATTAGCAGGGGTATTTTATGAAAAACTAGCACAACTTTCAGTTTTCCATTAAAAGAGAGATTTCTGATTATGTAATGGCTATGAAAATGGTAAAAAGTTCAAAATTCTTTTGTAAAGCTAGACTGATGCAAATCAAGAATTGATTTCATATAATTCTCATGCATAAAACCGTACAGGTACGAAGTTTGTTATGTAAACTAATATTAAATGTCAATAAGGAATCAAAATTAAATAGATTGGTTTCATTTTCACAAGATTTATCACCCTTTATAGCAAACTGCATTACGTTTTATACAAAGTTTTTGATCAAAGTATAAGGTTTTAAATGTATTCAAACATTACTTTGACGATTTGAATTTTTTTAACCTTTGACAACAAGGCGATTAAGAAGGAATCAAATTTAACAAACTTATCAAATGGTTTTTATAGAATTTTTTTTTGAAAATACATATTTTCAACAACTGCATCTCTAAGACAATATAAAACTGTTTTCTTCTTTCTTTGTCAAAATTATTCTTATTATTTTTGTTCTTATAGTTGATACTAGACTTTCACGATTTCCTGTTTTTGAAATTTTTGAAACAGAAACTCGATGAATAACAATAGTTATCCAAAAAATTGTAATGTCAAATTATCTCAATTGAAAAGTTTCATCATTTAAACACAAAAAAATCTTCCAAATTTCCAGGAGCATGTTTGATATTTTAGTTTAACTTTTTGTCCAGTTCCCGATAATTTTTTGGGTCCGGTAAATCTTGAATGCCTGGTTAATACAAAAATATATATCATTTCAGGAAAATTCACTGAAAATTTCTGATGAAAAATGTCCTTAATAAAAGCAATGTAAACTTTAAAGAAACAAACTTAAATCGAGGCATAGCAATGTTATGATATGACTTAAAGCGCTATAAAAAAACTAAACCTCTATAAAACTGAAGAAAACGTTAAAGTTTCTCTAAAATGAGGAGACTAATGTCTAATATTCTCATCTTATCTATGTTTTCAATAATAATGTTTGATATTTTATACTACATCTGGCGTTATTCGCCTTTGTTTCGAGTCAGAATACTTTCTTGCTATTGACAATTTTGAAAAATGACTTTATTACCAAAAATTTTGTATATAAATATTTTTACAATATTTGCATATGTTTTAGACTGAATATTTTTGAAGAACTATAAAATTTCAATTAAAACTTAAAAATGTTTAGTTCAAAATTGCTAATTATGGATTTTCATCAAATTTTGGTTCAAAAACTGTAAAGAAACACGAGAAACTACAAAAACCGTCAATTATAATTAAATTCATATGACAAATGTTTCTCAAACTTTCTTGTAAAAACTACAATACTTACAATACTTTTCATACAAGTATTGTAAGAATTGTAAGTATTGTAGGCATTGTACAATACTTACAATACTTTCATATATATTGTAAAGTATTGTATAATACATTACAATACTTTTGGAGTGTCTGACCCTTGTAATTTCTTAAAAATGATCGACATTTTAAAAATAAAACGACCGTTATGCTATTTTAAGAACGATGTGTTTACGTTTTGCACTAGCATTCGTTAAAAAGTTTGAATTTAAAAAATACGCTACGAAAAAACAGACAATTTATTTAAAAATAGTCAATCTTGCGATTTGCATGACATTTATTAGCTTTGAAGTCATCCTCGACAGTAATCTCATATTTATAAACCATAACCTGTCATTTTAGTCCACAAAAATATCAATAAGCTTGAAAATTGAATGACTAAGAAGTTTGAAATTTAGAGGAGAAATGATACTCGCATGCTAGTTAAAAATGTCTTTAAACACTTCTTATTTTCATGATTTATCATGACATATTTATTTTGTATATTCAGTGTTACATATCTCAGAAGAAAAAAATAACATTTCACAAACAATAAATAATTTTTATTTAGGTCTATATACAATGACAAATTTCTATCAGTAATTTTCAGTCTTTTTGATAATTGCATTTCTTGTATTGCGAATAAATTAATGAAAAAGATTATCATTCTACTTAAATAAATTCCTATTTTTTGTCAATCAAATGATGTTTGAAGATTTCTAATTTTTTGCATTGCACTTTTTATAGATTTCTAAAATCAAGATGATCAAAAGAATCAGATTCTCATATTTTCATTTGAATAAATGCAATGGCCTTATATGTATTTTCAAGTCGTATTTTGCGAATGAATTGATATTTTTGTTCCACTTTCGTATGGTTTGAATTTTATTAAATGCTGTGGTTCGGATAGTGGAGATTCATCCAAATATTTCATCATTCTGTTCCAAAACCAACAAAGGTCCCAAAAATCAATTCACTTGCATAATACGAACCTTAAAATATGTGTCTTAGTCCTCCATACTAATCAATTTCATTTTCACAAAAAAAAAATGTTTCTTCTTAAATCTAAATGGCAAGAAAACAATATAAAATGTATATTTTCATATGAGAGCTTAGCAATTTCGTGCGATGATCCAAAGAAAAATAATAAATAAAATTCACTTGGTAGATCGCTTAAAGTCTAGTAACAAAATAATTTTATAAATACAATATAAAAAAAAAAATGTTTGAGACGTGAAAAATCTCATAAATTTCAAGGTCTTTCAGAAAAATAAATTTTTATAGTTTGCGTATTTTTCATCCACAGGAGAAAAATTATTGAAATTCTTGATCATTCATAATGCACTGGTGCACTCTTCGGGCGATGATCGATTTTTGTTTTTATTGAAACACATCGGCACATATTTCATTAAACTTAGTGTACTCTTTGATATTTCTGTAGATCTTGGACTATTTAGTAGTGGCTGGATCGGATTATAGTAGTTGCCATTAGGCAGTGTTGATGTTAAGTCTGGAGTGAAGTTGTAAATGCCATTCAAACGTTTTGGTAGTTTCATATCAAGATAATCAAATTCATGATTTCTCGTCTGATTCTGTAATGCTGATGATGAGGCTGAGGGTCTGAGAAAGTCTATTGTTACAGCAGGTGTATGTGATCGTTCACGATTCTCTATTAATGGATCGAAATCAAAATCTTCATTTATGTCGCTATCGATGAGATTCACTTGTTCATCCAAGTTTGGTTTCGGTATGTCACTCATGCATGGTGTCAACATTCGCGGATAATTTGTAATGAATTCAACTATGGTTGAAGCACCTGGTCTCTTCTTTGGATCAATATTGAAACATGATGACATCAGTGCTTTGAGTGGCGGCTTCGATTGAGCTGGTATTTTTATTGATTCTCCTGATTTGACAAGCTCCTGCGGACAGATAAACAAAAATGATTAGTTAAAGTTGTTATTTTTAGATTAATTATTTTTAACTTACAAAAACTTGATTGTTGTTCAGTCCTTGGTATGGGAATCCACCCAATGTGACAACCTATTAGAATAAATTAACATATTAATAGAGACATCAAGTTATAAGTGTAAAGGTTGACTAACCTCATAAAGGAAAACACCGAATGACCAAACATCAGATGCGTGCGAGAACATACCTCCCTAATAAGTATAAAATAAAAAAATGCAGATCAAATAAAGTACTAAACTTCATGTAATCAAATGATCTTACATCTATAGACTCAGGAGACATCCAACGAATCGGTAGCATTCCCTTTCTCGTAAAACGATAATAGTCGTTTTCACATGTTGAACGAGCCATACCAAAGTCACTGTTAAGCACAAAATATTAACTTTAAAGTTAAAATATTAAAAACAAAAATTAATTCATACCCAATTTTAATAATTCGTTGTGCATTTATCAGGCAATTTCTGCATGCAATATCTCGATGAACAAAATTTAAGCTTGCAAGATAACTGAGTCCACGTGCGACGTCAAGTGCCATTAAAGTCAATCGTTTTGGACTTATATCATTTGTATCCTCATTTGCTCTATCGTCGACTAAGTGTCTACGTGATAATAAATAAGTTTTTAGATCGCCATATAGCATAAATTCCATCACGCTACAAAGAGGCTCTTTTTGTAAACAAACAGCTAGCAATTTTACGATATTCTTGTGATCGAATCGTTTCATGATTTCAGATTCAGCTAAAAAATCTAGTCGATTTTCTGGCGTACTTCCAGCTTTTAAAGTTTTAATTGCAACTGGTCTCCATCCATCATCTTCATTAATTAAAGCTTCACCACCGTAGACGGTGCCAAATGCGCCTTCACCAATCCGACGATTAATAATGACATTTTCTCGAGGAATTTCCCATTTTGATAATTCAATTCCATTCACGACACGTCCGTAATTCATCATGATCTGTGCAGATTCTTCAAGTTTTTTCGCATATTTGTGCTTCCAAAATAGGAATGAGAAGCCTGAGCATGCAAAGACGATCAGAATGCATAGGATAACTATTATGGATGTATTAATTGTGCTACATTCGATATTAATTGCATTAGCTAAGAACATCAAGGCACATGTCTCTTTCCCATCATCTGGTACTTCATCTGATCCCCACTGTACCATTTTTTCAAACCATTCAAAATCACCATCGTTTGATGACTTGTCGAATATTTTAGGTCTGTACATTCCAACAACTTCAAAGTTATTCTTTTGCCATTGCAAGACGCTTACATTTGTGTATCTAGAGCCAGCTGAATTAAATTCAATTTTTCCTGACACTCCTTGAAAACTGGTTTCATTGAGGATCTGTTCGAGTCGCAACATTGTTTGATCTTTGTCCAAATTCTTCATATACCAATATTTTGTTGCATTCTTGCCCATCTCATCTGTTGAAGCGTGAAGTGAAAGGAAATTAAAGTTGTAACAGTTTTAATCCAAACAAATTTAAAAATTTTGTATGTCAAAAAATAAATTTAAAAAAACCAAAGAATACCTTCTTTAATCAGCTGCATTATTGCTTTTGCGTACACCCAAATTGCGTCGTAAACATAAGGTGCATAATCGGATGGCGATAAAGTCTGAATGTTTCGTTTCATTTTGTATTCATCTGTCCAATTTTTAACTGTCATATTTGTAGGTAAAATATCATAATCGTTACCAAAAGCTGCGTAGGACATTGAAAAATGTCCATTTAACGCTTCTCTCAGTTCATTCGCCGTGCATGAAATGTTATTGTCCATAACACTGGATTCATTCATTTTAAGTGTGACTGCATGATATTTATATATTAAATAAGGTCTAATGAATCTTACTAACTTAATACTCACCATAAACTGGTAAAAACCACACGAAGCCATGCTGTAGTGTCATCTATTGTGCATTTGTGTATTTTAATTGGAATTTGAGGAATAAAAGGCATAGAAAGAAAACAAAAATATCAAATTAATTTGCAATTTAGCATTTTTCTTCGGAAGAAATCAACAACTTCATTAAGGTATGTAGTAAAATTTAATTTACGTCAAAGTATTTTAAATTTCATTAACGCAATCACTATTCTTTTTAAATTTAATTGGTTGTAAGCACTTTTCTTTTATGTTTCAAATTTAAGGGTTTGCAATTTAATTATTCTTTGGAAAAATATAAAATTTGAACTGATGTTTAACATTTTTTTCTTTAATATCATTACATATGAACCATCAAATTTTAATTATTGCAATAAAATATTCAATCCATATTTTGCGAACACCAGGCAATTAACATCGTTTCAAGAAATTTGAGTCTTTAATAATCCCAAAACCTTATTACATCGGCAATGTTGACGTAAAAAAGCTCTAGCAATTAAAAACTTAATTAAATCTGATCAACTATAAAACTTGTCATTAGAGTCAGGATAAATTAAAATTTGAGATTATTTTTTTCGTGTCATCAGACACTTTTCAAGTTATAGAGCATCAAATTTCTGTTTTTAAAAACATATTCAACCCTAATAGCTATTTTCAAGTGCACTCGAGCAAAAGCGTTTGTAAAAAAAAGTAAAATTGATCTTTTTGGATGCTCTCAAATTACTTTATTACTAACATACCTTTAATTTGCTTGCAGTGCACATTAATGTCTTCATAATAGTATGATCGTGAATATCGCTGATAATGATTCGTGCATGATAATTATCTCTCAAATCTTTAAGATCCTATGTTTTGGGAAAAAGTGTTAATGAAAGTTTTTATGGATTTTTAAGAATAGGTAAATTTTAATTTGGTACTTTTTCGAATCTTTCGGCTTGCTTCCTTTCATCATTTTCACGCGGAAACTTTTTATTGCTTAATATTTTAATTGTGTCATTATGCTCCATTCGTGTAATGTATTCTGTGTATTTCTGTCCATCTTCTGTGATTGCTGCAGCTCTCTGCCATCCAAGCTTTTTGAATAATTTAAAATAGACATCTTCGTACCTAGAAACAATAATAAATTAATGAGGTCGATTAAGCTACAATCAAGCGTCACTTAATTTTAATACAATAATTAGCCTAATTCCGAAGAACTGTCATTGACTGTAATCGATTGTTGTTTACTTACTGTCTGTTTTCGCCAATCGTTCTATAGAAATATGGGAAATTATCGCGATTTTCAAACGAAATCCCTTCAGCGCTGTATGTAATGGCACTCAATTTGTAATGTTTTGATATTGCTGCAATTGGCTCGATAGCTTCACTACACGCAGGTCCCAAAACACCAATTAAATTTTGTCGATGAGAATAAAAGCTTATGAATTTACGTAAAACCAAGTCAGGTTTACATTCGGATGCAATACTCATTATTTTTATACTATAATTTGGAAATAGCTTCTTTATTTCGGGATTCTCTTCAAGTTCCTCTCTTGCCATATCTAATGCTGTTTGTATTCCATTATACTCTTGTCCTGAATTCTGTACGGGATAAATTCCACCAATTTGAATTTCTGTATCAGCTACTGGATTATACCAACGATGTTCAGGTGAAGATCCATAAACTTGCTTATTTTCACCCAACCATGTACATGCTATTCTATTTAAAATATCATCAATTGTTGTGTCTTCATTTGTACTCCCTTTTAGATCAGTGGATAATAAATTCATGTTGCGAATTTTTTCAATATTTAAATATTCTTTCTCGTAAAGCTTTATTAAAGGCTTTAAAGAATCAAATTTGAAGTTGCTGGAGTGATGACAAGAAAAAAATGGTAATTTTAAGATTGGATTAGATTTTGGAACATCTTATATTTGTTTTCATTTTAGCTTTTAGCACTAAACCTACCTTAATATACCCTTCAGGTCCTCACTCTCCTTTGAAATAATCTCATTAAAGAACACAGCAATTGAATTAGCTTCAAATTTACAACTAATATTTGCATTTCTATAAAGTTCACATCTTGGCATTGTTACTTCATCAAATTGGTCATTTCCATCAATGATCTCAGACGGTGTCCAATGAAGTACCAAGAACAATTTGTCTATTTTCTTCGATGAACTTAAATTTTTACTAGCTTTAATAATATTGACTAATTTTCGTATTGAAGGTTTTAAATTATCTCCTAAAAAGTAAACCTTCATTTTAAGTTTTAATGTTTCAATGTGTTGAATGAAAAATTTGGTATCATAATAATGGGAAGTAAAGACAGTAGCGCATGGTTCTGAATCAGAAATACAATGATCAGGAACGTAAAGTCCATAGTTAATGTTTTTCGATGGTATATGAATGCGTGCTTCTTTTTTGATGTTCTCCAAGAATACCGACTCCTCAGCAAGTCGGAAAAATATTTCAGTCCTTTTGTAACTTCCATCAGATGTAATGAAATTATTGTATGAAAATTTGGCACTTGGTTTTAAATCTTTTGGTATATAAAGGCCATAACGTGCAATATCGTTTTCAATTAGTGAATTTGCCTCAATGACAGTACTTGGAAACATTTGTTGATGATCTGGTGTCCTCCATATTTCTAAATTAATTGATGCACTTCTATCATTAAAATTCGATATATCATAAAGGCTGTACCATTCCAATTGCTTATCTATTAATTTATCAATATCTTGCTTTGATTCAAAAAACTCATCAATATTTTCCAGGTATATAGGATGATCATAGTTCATTACATCTTTTAGATATATTGCAAATATTCGTGAAACTAGCTGATGTGTTACACGACGTGTTGTTCTAAGATTTACTGAATCAAGATTTGTGATTGAAGGAAAAGAGGCATCTGTGGAATGACAGAGACAGGAAATGATTATGTAATCAATCAAATTTGTTTTTAAAATTCCAATAAATGTAAAGAGAAACAAAACAGACATCATTAATTGCATCGTATTACTGCATTCAAGTACGGGATGATTTCTGCTTTACAGAAAAGTCATCAAGCACGTGGAATGAAGTAATTTTCGTTTGGTTTTATAAATTAACAAAGCAAAACTGTCGATATGAATGAATTTGCACGTCCATAAAATCTGATATTTCACAAGTTTTTTAAAGCTTTTAAGTTAATAAAGTTGAATCAAACTAGAGACGATTCCATTGATGAGTTCAATAGCTTTAAAATTTGTTAAATTCATTCATTTGAGTAAGAAGAGGCAATGTTTGCATTTTTGATTTTATGTCTCAATAACTTTATTTTTGGATACAAAAATTGTGATTTGAATAAATTTTAGATTTAAAATATTCTTTTATAATGTTTTTAATAATCTTGTTTGATGACTTTAGAGTGAGTCAAAGTGATTGCAGTGTAAATAATCTGCACCTTGAGGTCAACGATCTAAAGATAGATCAAATAGACAAAATAAGCAAAGGAATTTACATATTTTGGAAAATTTTCCAACAAGATCTTAATCAGAACTCATTGAATGATACAATTTAACAAATGTTATGACAATGCGCGATAATCATTCACTTCCGTTGACCTTTCAACATTTGTTTTTGCTTTCTCATCACATCTGTGCAAAATTCAAAGTAAAAGTTTTTCTAAGCGGGATCCAGACTTTTATAAAATATTTACAGAAGTACTGTAGATTGAGTTAATTCCGTTTTTGTAAGCACTAAGGTACAGTTATTCATTTAGTGCCAGTTCAAAATTTTAAACCATCATAATTTTTATGAAAAAATAATCACATCAGTAAAAACTAGGTTATTAAATCTACTGCAACAAAGTATGAATAAGAATTAAAATTGCATGCGATAATTTTTTATTGTAAATTACAGTCATCAATGAAGCTTGCAATGCTATTTCAACAAGTTGTAGTAAAATGTGTACACAACGTAATTCGCATTTTCTTATTGACGCTGCATCACGCACATGTAAATGATAATTTACAAGTTGTCGATCCGGAAAAGGAGAAGTTAACACGAAAGTGGTAAATGATTTATTTTTATGGGTCGATAACTTAAGATGATGTGTGCGACAAATGTGAAATTTAATATAATTGATTGACTAGCGAAAAGGTCCTTAATGACTCTGTTAAAAATGACTACTGGTTTTTAATGGCCAACTAATAACATAAACTTAATGATACTTTACATAACGTAAGTTAACGACTTCTTTCTTCAATTTAAAGAAAAAACGAGTCAACCTAGTGCAATTAATATTTGATTTATTAAATTTCATATTTCTGAAAATAATCACGAATATTTCACAAAGTCTTACATTTATGAGCTGCTATACGATGACGTAAAATATTGCACTTCTTCAAGTCAGAGTCATAAAAAGTTTATTTTTTAAGTAAATGTTTTCCAATGGAAGTTTTCAAGTAAGTCACTGAAAACAAAATCCTTGAGACTACAAATTATTAATATGTTTTTTACTAGTGACGATTGTTTTATATACATTGCAACATTTTACAGTCTAGTTTCATTTAGAATGCAGTAATACGTCAGTTTTTATTGGAATATGAACAAGTCAGAATAGCAAAAAAGTTTAAAAACTGATAATAAAATAAAATAATAATGAAAAATTAAATACAAATTTAGACTTACCTCGCTCGAACACATTAATTTTGTTACATTTGTAGTTGAATGGTTTTAGCTCAGCAAAGACCGTTGTTATAGATATTGTCAAACAAATTAATATTACTGAAAATTTGTTCATTTTTATCTTTCATGTATCTGGACTTGAATTTCCGAGAAAAATATTTATTCAGCTGTGGATGAGAAAAGATGACAAAAAAATTATGAAATAAGAATTTTTTTTAAACGTTTTTGATATAGAAAGAAAAAGAGTTTTAAGCATCTAAAAATAAACGTTAATTTTTTTAAAGAGAATCATGACCTTCCTAAATAGATTTTCTAATATGGTAATCCTATCACTACATACTAGGTATCACACAGTTTTGGATAAAATTAGCAGACTTGATTTTTATTCATTCATAAGATTGGAAATCTTCAAATCAAATTAAATAATAACAATAAAATTTTAATTTGATTCTTTTATGAATTTGATGACAGAAATGCATAATCAATAGAATCAGCAGACTTGTTAAGTGCGAAAAATTAATAAAAGTGTCATTTTAACAGTCGTTTGATATCAGAATCACCTTTTTTTTATAAAGAAAACTCGTCTTTTTTTTTCATTGATGGATCTTGAATCAAAATGCATTTAGAGGTGCCAACCATTCACTGCTCTTTTTGGTTATAAAATTTGTATTTAAGGAAAACAATCGTCTCAAAAAAGTGATTTTGAATTGAACAAACCTACTCAAATTTTCCTCCTGATGCAAATATCAAATATATAGAACTTATAAATCGTTTCTACTATAAGATTTCCAACTGAATAGTCAACAATAAGTTACAAATGTAAGCAAACAAAGAATGCCTTTACTAACAAACAAGATGCTGAATGAAATATATCAAATTAAATTTGTAAACATATTTTTTTAAGCTAGAACTGTATTTGCGTATTTTTGAGAGTCATCAGATAGACAACAATTTTTATGGCATCATATCCCACATGATTCGGTGTCTATGTGAATGTGTGGTTTATTACGCTATTTTACGTTTATTTTTATTTTTGTTTGCTTATGAATTCAACTACTTATAAAATGAAGATAAGTGCTGTAAATTTTTTTTTAAAAAATAGAAAGTTTCTTTAGTAAGACAATTGATGCAGATAAAAATGCAATTAAAACTTCACATAAGAGAGTCAACAATTGCAGATATAAGTGAATAACATCAAAGATTAGCAGCCGTTTTAATTTTTGTCTTTGTTTTACCACTACTAGATACATTCCTGATCAATTGATGATGACAGCTTTATACGAGTTTAATATATATTTCTATCTAGTTAAAAACATTAAAGCATTTTATAGCTCGCTAAAAAGTTATATGCAAATTGATTTGATAAAGGATTATTTTTTCGAATTTAAAACAGTTTGGGGGTTAAGGATTAAAAAAATATTTTTTTAATGGACATCATTTGTGACAAATTAAATAAAATTTTATGTTTTATGATAAAATTCGTGACCTTAATCTAGTGGTTATTTTTACATGACTGTTTTAAATTTTACAAAACCACAAAAGTGATATTTTTTGATTTGCAAATTGAATTTTTGCAAGTCTTGTCAGTATTAAGTTACAATTTATTATTGTTGACAAAATATTTTGTATTGACTTTATGAAAGCTTTAAAAATTGATTTTGATGACGAACATTAGTTTTCAAATTTCATCATAAATAAGCGACAAAAGTGACTCTTCTTACGTCACTTAATCTGTTACTGCAAGATTCATGTCCACCATTGTCTTAAATTTATTTTTCTTTTAACGATACAGTTTGCAAATTAACGACACTATGTCGCTAAAAATAGCTGCGCTTAAAATAATGAAATGCAAGAAACTTGATTTTCGGACATTCCATTTTAGCACCTCAATATTTCATATAGCGACGCATAAAACTTCAAGGTATTTATTACACCAACTGTTGTTTAGTTTATATTCACCGAAACAACTCAAAGTCGTGAAAATTAACTTTAATCAAAGAATTCTGTTCTTTAAAAAATACAAAGTAATATTCATGAATGTATGAATTTTTGGATGTAAAGGTTGTGTAGATTGTACCTATATGCATGATAATAGAGAACATTGAACTTGAGAAACGGCGCCATTATTGCAGAAACAGCTGTTATCAATCGTTTCTAGTATGTAATAATATTTTTTGTACGTAATTATTTGTCGTATTTTTGTCGCTTATAAAAATGATGAAAATAAGAGTTTATAAGAAAGCTTATAAAGCAGCTAAAGCGCATTTGCAATTGAATATTCTAGATTTTCTAGTTAAGATTGTAAGATCCTTTCAGAATTTAACATTAAAAACTTGGTTCTAATTTATTTGCATCCTTAAAGAAATTATTTATGCACAATCGAACCTGTTCTACAAAATTTATTGTGGCCCACTTTAAAATACTCACGAAAAATACAGTTTAGGCTAAAAAATTTGACCGAAGTGACATTTAGTATGTATCAAAATTCGGTTACACTTTTTATGTATATTCATTCATTTCGTATGTGAGAAAGACCTTGAAATTTTTTTAAAAACAGCCACACAAAAAAAAACAACTTTTTTAATCGGACGAAAGAGCGTGAAGAGTTTATATTCGTGGACATAGAATGAAATTATTTTTTTTATATGCCCCAGGATATATTTCTCCTCAAATCTGATCACTTTTGAACGAAGAGAAGAGAAAAAGAAAAAGAAAAACTTATAGCTTTTTAAAACTTCCAGTATGTTGCTTCAATAAGCTTCAAACATTCCTTGAGTTTAATAAGAAATTTAACAGTTTAAATTCCATCAAAGGAGAAAAGCAGATAATTGCAACATTTGTTTACTTCCAGCCTTATCGAAATATGAAATCATTAGGTTTATTTTTGGAAGTTGTGCTGAATACTTTCATTCAGAAATTCTTGTATGTAATAGCAAAGGGTTCAGTGGAAAATTCAGTATAGTTTTTTAAATTCATGAAATATTTTTGATTAAAGGAATTTGAGGATTAAGATGCTTAGTAGTTGAATATTAAGAAGCAAAGCAGAAAAGATGATGTAACATCAAAATGATATCCTAATGACGGCTAATGACATAACAATCAAATGAAATCTAATGAAAATTAGATTTGATAAATGAACAAAAACAGCTCCTTAAACTTATAAAGAATCAATTAAAGCTTTTATTGTCTAGACATAGACGTAAGTCAATGGATAAAATGCTTTTTTTAAAAATTCCTTCCAAAAATATCCACTGAAAATCAAGCGATGTCGATTTCTCGTCAGAGAATATTTTTAAAATTATTAAAGAAGGCTTTGAAACCAAAAACAATTTTGTTGAAACGACTGAAAAAACATTACAGGAAATTTGTTATCACTATCAGTGCCAGACATAGGAAATTTTTGTAAACGAAGATATTTATTGGTTTGAACTGGAAGTTTTTACTTTGTATTTAAGTAGTATAGTTATTGAATTTTCAAAATATTTTGTCGAAAGGTAAGTTTCAATATTTAATAATTTTAAAACGATTTTGAGAATTATTATCAATACAAAATGCACATCAAAGTGCTCAGAAACAAATCAAAAAGTTCAGCAACTTCAAATTGCGGTTAATTATTAAAAACTTTAAGAATAATTTTGTAAAAACTTTGAGGCAATAAGCATAAAGACGCTAATATGACATAAATCCGAACTGAAATTGCATAAAACTTAATTAATTCGGTTAACTTTTCCCAGAATTTTATTATTATTATTATTTTTATTATTATTATTATTTTATTTATTACTCGCAAGAATTCTTAATATTTCCGGTGCAAAATTAATGAAATCATTTCTGTTGGGTTCAATGTTGAAATTTTTGTTATTAAAATGAAGTAAATGAAAATGGTTACAACATAAAACAGTTCTTTGTTTACCATATGCTCAACAACGTATGCCAGCATTAATAGGATATATAATTGCTAAATTGACTTGATTAATTCTGAACATTCTTACTGTTCTTAAAGATGAGTCGCAGAAGTTTTTAAATTGAAAGTATTTATAGTAATTTTGTACAAAGAGGATGGTCACAAAATTGATGCTTAAGCCATTAAATCATTTAGAAGAAACATTCAAATACCAAATTTACCTTGACATTAAGAATCCAAATGCAATAATCTGTCAGATCCTTGGTCAACAATATTTCAAAATTTTAGACACATCAAACAAGGCACTCTGAACTTTAACAGTTACTTCATCTAATTTCTTCAATATTTATAAATCATAAATTAAAAGACCAACAGCTTAACACATCCCATAAACAAGCAAATAATATGAAGACAGAGAGGCACAATGTTATATTGAAATCTAATTAATTAACATTAATTTTTGGCATATTTTTCGTGAATTTATTTTATTGCCTTTCTCATCGTTGCTAGTCACTGTCAAAACAGGTATTGAAAATTGTTCTTTTTTACGTATTTTAAAGCGCTACAACGCAAAATATTCAAACGATTGGTGCAAAAAAAAATTCAGGAAAGCCTCTAATTAATAAAATCACGGAACTCGTTGAGTTGGATCAAAATAAATTAAGTAATTTTGAATTCCTTTGACATTCCAATAAACAAATTTAACAAGGATTAGATATCAGTTACAAGTTTTAATTTTGAAATTAAGCCATGCAACTCGCTCAGCACTTGTAAGCATAAATAGAATGAATTGCGAATAATTAACAAAGAATGAAAGAATTAAAGTTTAGCAACGTAGCAGTTTTTCTAATAAGTCATTAGTCATTAACATAAGCTAGTAGATTTGCAGACACTTTTTATTTGTTTTTCCATTCTGAAAGTAAAAAGTCATTTTGAATTCATATATTTTTTGGATAGGGATTTAAACTGGTTAATCTGACATTAAATGTTTGCAAAAAATCTCGGAATTTAATTAAGAGTGGCTTGTTCATGCTGCCAAAAAATTATAATTTCTACGGACTGTTAGTAGTACAAGTGTTTTGGAAATACAGGAATGGCGAGTTGAGTTTTTGGAATCATGAGAAAGAGATTGAGTAGGTTAAGAATTCGCATGCTATCTCAACAATTTATGTATTTGTTACTGATCCAGAATACAAGTCAACAAAAAATTACATTCTAAATCCCTGGAAGCTACATTAAGGTCATCAAACCGTAAGAAAAAATAGCTTCATGCAAGCATTAATATGGAGAATAATTACTTGATTTTTAATAACAAACAACATGATCGAAATCGCACATAGATCATCCATTATAATATCAAAGTCATACAATTCAGTTTGATTTCCAAAAAAATAAGGAAAGCTGAACAATAATTGAATTTTCGAAATTAACTACACGAAGATTATTCGGCTCAACATCCGTCATGCAAAACATAATTTAAATGAGCCCATACATGAACTGATTGAAATCTTGTTATTGGAATGTTATTCGGCTCTTTTGCGTCTTTAAAGTTCGGAGATCAGAGGTCGTGCATTTACATAAAAGGCTAAGAATTTGGAAATTCTTTTGTAAAATAACTTGATTGAGATAAACTTGGAATTTTGAGATAAAATTGGATGTTAATATTGACCTCTTTTTATTGTTGATGGTTTGGCGAACCCTCTTTTTTTGTCATTCAGTATCAGCTATTTGGAACCTGTTGTCTTTAAAGTGTCACAAAGTTTCAGAACTTCTCAAGATTCTTAATGAAACTCTTCACATGCAACTCATATTTCAACATAAATTCAATTAACGCATCCGAATCGTGTAAAGTTCGTGCAAAAACTTCCAGAATTGCCTCGTGAAAATTTAAGCAAATTTTCTACACAAAAAAAAATTACAATTTATCTCAATTCCAAAATCTGGCGTCTCGCATTCAGCAAGTTTATTGACCCTAACGTATCAGAAAATTCTTATAAATTCTCTCAAGTTTGCCTTCTTCTTAGGTCCAAATAAATCGATACATTTACTTCCATTATATTCGCAAAACGTGATTGGATTAAAATAATAAAAAGATTTTTTTTTCTCCTAGCAAATTACTCGCAAGATTTAAAGATTGACATTGTAGGCTTATTAATCTCAATTTGAAGGTTGAAGTTATTTTGTCAAAAATGTCACATAAATTGATCTTGACCAAACATGAATGCAAATATTATGACCTTGACAAAAGTTATTATTTACGTAAGAGTTCAAAAATTTTAATACTGCGCGTCCTCTAAATGATTAGGAACTGCCGCATAAATCTAATTAAATATTTTCTTTTATACTCTTTGTTTCTTTTCATTCACGAATTTCTTATTTTAGATTTACAAGTTTATATTTGCGGAATTTTAATGCTTGTGTGAGTTTGTTTTGAACTCCAACAACGCTTGTATATGTTCACATGCTGATGACTATTACACGCATAATTGGAACAATAAATTCACAGTATTTTTATCAAGAGCCCGAAAAAAAAGCTTTAAAAATAATAATCGCAATTGTTTTGGTAAAAGGAGAGTCATTCATTTATGAAGCAACCATAATTTGTCTAGAGTCGGCAGACAGTCTAAAATTAATTTAAGCATATAGGCAATAATAATTTTCATTTTTTTTCGCACACTTGTTTCTCTTTTCATGAAATTCGTCAATATGAGAGCAAAATAAGATGAAGTAAAAAAAAAGAAGAAAGAGATTCCGCGCGTACGATCATAAGATACACACTCAAAGAAAAAAAAAAAGTTATAAAGCCAATTAGGCGCTGATGATCACATCAAAAAAACAAAACAACAAGAACTTTATTCTAAAATAATTGATTAGGAATGTTTGCTTAAAAATTTTCGTCTCATTTTATTATATCTGTCGTAAGCATGAGGAGAAATGAAAACAATTGACTTGCCGCGAACATTCGTGTCATATTAAAGCGACAAAATTGCTGTTATGGCAATTAGATTAAAAAATATTGTCGTGAAAAATTATCAAACTTGTAGAGTATCACACACCCTACATATTTTTGCTATTTTTCTTCTGATTCTTCTAGACTGTTGATATAATTTTCGGACGAGATTTAACTTTTTGAGCGTAGTTCCGCACAGAATTTGATTTGATTTTATGACCTTTCAGAAATGCATAATTTATTTTTTTATTTGGCGAGAAATGTGACGATTGTATACGGATTTGAGAATAGAAGTGATAAATTTTATCAACCTCTGATTTATTGATTCTCAGAAATTTTTTTGTTTTGTCAAGTTAGTTCCATTATAAATTGTTAAAGTATAAAATTCTTTAATATATTTCCAAAATACACTAGAGTCATTTTTATATAATTTTTTCAACCATTATGGAATTTACAATTATTAGACAAGGAGAGCTGGATATCATCAGAAGGAAATCGATTCCACGAAGCTACTCTCTATCCAGTTTCATGCAATTTACTGAGCATCTTTAAATATAAAATGTTTTTCAAATTGAAAATTTATTGACATGAAAGTGCAACATTATTAACATGATTTACAATGCCTATAAAGTTTTAATCCCTTTGAAGTTAAAAAAATCCTCAAGTAGCCCCACAATAAAGTGTGTTTAATGTCAGTTTTGTCACTTCAGGCACGAATAAGAATGCTTAAAAAATATTCAAATTAACCCCCTCCAATTTAATTACGGACTGTTATTGAACAATTCACACCCAGCAATCATTCGATACACATTTGCTCTGAAAAGGCTATTAGGATGCAGACAAATTAGCGAACTTACTATGAGATTTCTTTTTGACAGCGGGAGATTATTTTTTGCTAAAACTTTGCATTTTTTTCGACACATTTCAAAATTTCTTTTGATTTTTATTTAAACTTTTTTTTTTGTGTTTGTTGAAAAAATATTTTTGTGCCTTAAAAAATATGTGCGAAGATTTTGAAGATTAATGGCAGCATGAATTTTTACTGATAATTATGAATTACTAATTTGTGAATTTTTAAATACTGGGGGTCCTCGATTTGAGTAGTTGTTTTGTTCCAAAAAATTTCTACTCAAATAGAATCTACTCAAATCGAGGACCCTCAGTAAATCTCCAAACACTTTTTTGCATTTTTTAATAAAACTCATCAATGCAACGTATCAACAGACTACCGTCATTTCATATAACATCCGTTAAATTTATATTCAAAAAAATTCAAATTTTTTATGGCCGTTATAATATTCAAAAATTTCTGACGGTTAAACCAGATTTTACCATGCACTTACTCATTTTGCTCAAATTTTATTGTTAATAAAGTTGAGAATGGATAAAAAAATATAAAATTAATAATTTATGAAGAACTTTGGGATTTGTGCAGAATTGGTATTGATTAAAATAATTTATTGTTTACATAATGTAACTGTTTTTTGAAATTTGAATTTTCGGCTCTAATATCGAAGAAATCGAAATTAATTTCGAAGAAGTCCGAAACGAAATGGCGGTAGTCTGCGTATCAAAAATATCATTTAAGGCTAAGCGACCCCTGAGATATTTTATTTGTATTACTTTGGAACCGTAAATTTTATTACAAATGACAATTTAAGTTATATGGAGCTTCTTTTCTTCCCAATAATTTTTATTTATTTTTTTAAAAAAATAATATTTTCTATAACATCTCTAGTTGCTTGATGATCCCAAAAGTACCATACACGTCTATAAATGACCCATAAATAATACAATTTAAGTATAATATAATGAAATAAATCAAATAAAAAGAAAATAAAGCATCAATAATTGAATAAATCGAATCTGCAGACTGATAGGTTAAATAAAAGCATAAAATGCGATTCATATATGACACTTGGCTTGTATCAAAACAATTTTTTTCTTCATTTCTTCATTTTCTTGCATAAACTCACATCAAAGTGTTTTCGATTTTATTTCACTTTCTTTTTTTTTTCTTGAAAATTCAATTTGGTAATAAAAAAATGCACAAAAAATATTTTAATCTAGCGATTTTTTTTTAAAAAAATGTTAAATTCGTTTTATAATTTTCTATATGTCATATGTAAATGTCCTGAAGCTAGAGCAATGTAATTATGAAAATATTTTTACTCCATCAGTGCCTTTTTATACGCAATATTACATTAAGTGGGATCGCGTAAATTTTTATCAACTCATTTTATGAACTCGGCAAATAAAAAATGATAACATAAAGAGTGGAATATTTAATTTCTGATTACTCATAGCAAATGAAAGTTCTAATATATGATGTCATAGACATGGAAGTGATAATGAATATGCAAATTAAAAACGTGATTAGACTTCAGCCTGGTTTGTGTTCATTTATTTGGGAAAGGATGGAGTTTTGGTTGTTTATTGTCTGCAAAGCTGTTTACTTAATGCCTAATTGAGGATTTTGAAGTCTTCATGTAACATTTTAAGATCTAGAACTACTGAAACCGATGAGATTCTCCAAACACGACTTAAAAGAACAAAAAAACTTAATTTCGCTTAAACGCCGAAAATACTCGCTCCGCAATTGTCATTAAATTTTGGAGTAAAATAGTGAATGCGCCTATTATTCTGATTAGATTACTAGCTTTCTTACTCGTGACAAAATAATTAATGCCGAAGTTCTTTTTAAAATTAAGAAAAAAACATTTTTGTAGGCTAAAAAGAAGCATTCATCACTTTTCAAAAAATATGTGATAGCAACGACCTCGCAAAAAGTGAAAAAAAAATTTAAGAATGACACTTGTAACAAATATTAGAACGAATCTTTTGAAGTAAAAATCGAGCTCACCTCTTTGAATTTACGACGAAAACCACAAAACAAAAATATTTTAAATTTTTTGTTGTGTGTTCCTCAGCGCGTGTATTTTTTACGAAAACAAATTAATACATATTTAACGGATGATTATGCTGATAAAAATGGCTTGACAAGAGCATTCTTCTTTCGTATCTTCTTGTGAACTTGTAGAATTAAACTTGTTTCCACCTTGTATCCACTTGTTTGTGTTCAAACTTATACTTTATTGCTATTGTGTATTAAACCAAGTCTCTTTCGTCAACAAACAAAAAACCAAAATCCAGTTTACAATATCTGTTAATGCATAAAGCCAAAGAATAAGATGATCTGTCTGTATGTGACAATTGTGTGCCCTGAAAGCATTCGGAAGCACAAACAACACTTTAATATTCGTTCCTTTTTTGTGCTGTCGACAAAAATAAATTCTTATCAATTAACACTATGTTATTCTTTATTATTATATTATTTTTTGGATTATCACTCTTTCTATTTTAATTTTTACAAATTTTTACTATAGCTCAAAATCTTAATTAATTTTGTTGTACTTAAAAACACTTAACTGTTCACGATTGTATGGTAAAAAAATTGTTTTATTTCACAAAATAATTTCTTTTTTTTCACTCTTCATTTACTGACTTATGATTATTTTTATTCATCTACTTTTGATATCTTTCGCGCACGGGGAAAAAAATCTACTTTTATTTTACCACTTTTTCCTCTAAAAAAATCATCGTCTTCACATTAAGTCCTCTACGAATCATTTCTTACTTTTTTCACAAAATAAATTTTAGGTCTATAAAAAAATTTTCTCTACAAATTGAGCCTCCGGAACGAGAAAAAAATTGAACCTTCACGATCGTCGTACGACAGCGAAATAAAAATGAAAACAGAGAGGCTTGTTTTTATTAATGCTGAGATAGTTTTGCATTTCTACTGAGCGAAGCTTAAAGATGTTTGAGAAAATATGAAAAAAATGTGAGAAATGTTGAGAGAGAGACTCACACGCGATGAGTGTAGCCGTGAGAATATTATTTAATATGAAGAAGTTTTGTAAATGAATTTCTCATATTTCATCGTTTCGCTCAAGAAAAAAAGGCGGAAAGTAAATTTGCAATATTGTCATAGAATGTATTTTATGAGCTAACCACGGGAGAGTTTGCGAATAATTTACTTAATGAAATGATTTTTGTCTTAGTTTTTTTTTTTGATTAATTTTAATAAATTGTTCCGTATACGTTTATTGGTTCTGAGATTAAATAAATTCTTTAACTGAATTTTTTTATAATGAGGTCTGAATATCTTAATGGACGTCATAAATAAACAACCCTGCTCTTATCTTCAGATTTGGATAAATTTATTAACTGAATTGATGCTGATCAATTTATAAGATCAAACGAATGAGTTCGAACATCACTTAAATGTTATTATTGAGAATGAGATTCAATTCAGCGTGTCTAATTAACTGCTATTGTGTAATTAGCTACGGAAATTCACGAGCAAATCATGTGCACATATTCGTATATTAGCGGCAGTTCAAAAAAAGAAGAAAATATTAATTTGAGAGCTTTCTTCAGATAAGATCCTCTGAAATTTAATTCTCCTGTGGGATTCGTTGTAAAAATTTGCTTAGCATATTTTTAATGACATAAGGAGTTTATTAATGTTTGACGATCATCAAACGAATTTTCATCAAAACAACAAATCCCCAATGAAAAATTTTACAATCCCCTCCCACGTTGTATAATTCCTGAATACACCCCTGATTTAAAGAATAACATGAATCTCTCGAATGATTATCAACCGATTTTATATATTATAGGAATCTATCAGGTGTTGTCCAACAATTTTTGAACAAACTGTTAATTTTCTCAAAAACTACTTTTACTAATAGCCTTAATTTATTTATTAAAGCATTCAGTTGACAAAAATAGATTAATCCAAAAAATCCGAAGGCAATACAAAACAAATATTTCGTCATCATTAACTGGTTCATTTTGATTAAGTATAAGAATTTTGCAGAAGGAATGAAACAAGTTTGATTCTAGTGCACGAACGTTATTAAAGGAACTGTCAAAAATATTTATTTTTGTTTGATCAAGGTGAATCAACTTTAAGTATCAAGGAAAGAAAAGATTCCTACAATAATTGGGTTATCTCTACTCTAGGCGTGCATTTTCTATTTCCGCCCCCCCCCACCTCTCCTTCATCCTAAAATTTTCCTAAAATTTTAAAATGTCACACACCTACAGACGATGTTAAACATCATTTATGCTATGATGTGCCAAGAGACGTTGTCAACGTTGATTCGAAATAAATTCAAACTCGTTTCGAATGTTTTTCGAACAAAATTTCGCAATACCGAAAAACTTTTTTTTATGAAAATTTCAATTTTTCGCAATTTTTGACTTAATTTACTTATGATTACAGATTTAAATCATTCTACTATGTCTTTTAACACTAATTTAATCGTCTAATCGGTGATAAATGCAGCAAACATTAGTTTAAAATGCTTTTTTTTCAAAAATATTATAAATTTTTTTTGTTGTTTACATTGGAAATAAAAATGTTATTAATTCACTTGCACTAATTGTTTAGTAAATCAGTAATGGTTCATTACATTTGAGTGGATTCGTTTAACATTTTGATGATGAAAAACAAATATTTAAACTATTAATTAGAGATATTAGACATTAATAATTTAACGTGTGAAAAAAATTTGAACTTATGCTCGAAAATAAGGTCCCAAAAAAATTCAATATCGAAAATAAGGACTCGTTGGCGTACCATAGCATTTATGATTATCTTCAAGGATTTTTAGGAAACAACAGCAGAGTTGTGACTAGTGGGTAGCTACAAGCTAGATGTTCGTTTTCTTTAATGACTCATTTTACACCAAGATCAAAAATCATTTTTATAAATGGGTAATATTTATATTTAAATAGACATTTACCGTACGTTATAAAATGTACGCACTCCAAGAGTCAATGTGCAAAGAGATAAATAGTAAAATTGTGAATCATAAAATTGATGTCGCACTACAAACGTAAAACTACTTGTTGCGCAAATTACATTTATTTTTAAGCCTTTTTCTAACATGGCACAAGTGTTTCTTGGAAGCATAACTAGGCAAATTACTTGACTGGAACTATCATTGACGCAATTTTCTAACCTCTATGGATGCGTTGTAATATAGTTGTATATTTTAATAAGCAAAAGATATGTTTTGTTTTTATATTTTTTTTTATTGTATTTATTTATTTTATATTCTTAAATAATTTCTACATAGGTATTTATTTTTCTTTTGCAAAAATTACCGCTTCTTCCCTAATTATTAAAAAAATTATTTTCATAAATGATAAAGTTGAAAAATTAGCATACATCGAAGTGAAAATTCATTACAAAAGTAACAAACAACAAGTAAAATTCAATATTATTAAAAAGTTAAAAACTATAAATTTCCCAATTTTCCCTTCGTTAATTTAAAATGAAGTAGAAAGAATTCCATTCATTCAACAATGTATCGTTTCTTCTTTATTACATACTCTCTCATATTTCTATCATGTGGATATCTGCGTGAACAACAATTATTAAATTGATTGTAAAATTGTACATGTCATGTTACTATACATATGTCAACAATGTAGAAATAAATTTTATCAATCAACTATGTTTTTTTCATTAATATTGTTTATTTCATTATAAATTTAATATCACCAATACTTCAATCGTTTTTATCACTTGCTCTACTTAAATTAACGAAGGGAAAAGTGCATTCAGAGTTGTTAACTAGATTGTGAGAAGCTATAAAAGTAGCATTGTGTATAACTTAGTTATTCATTCTGATTAATGGCCATTTTTAGTATTTATAATGATCTAAGCTTAGTATTCAAATCTATTTTATCAAAACAGTTCTCAAACTTATATAAATTCGCAATTCAAAGTGATTGATGCATAAAAATTTTCATCAACCCACACATTTTGTTTCTCGTCCACAAAAATCTTCTCTCAGATTCCCTAGTAACAACTCAGAGTACAATAGAAATAAAATTTCTTTTTCTATATAAAAAATGATTCAGGTTTTTTTCAACTGTTTTATTTTTGATTTTTTAATCAGATACCTAATCTTATCTTTCGTGAACATAAGGGCATCCCGTTTTTTGATTTCGACAAAATCCTGTTCGTTGGTATTGATGACACATGCCACGACGTAATGTTGCATTTCCTCTTACCCAATTAGATCCGCCACCACTATTACTATTGCTACCCATTCGATTTCTATTGTTATTACTATTATTGTTGAAGTTTTCTCTATTATTAAAATTACTACTATTGCCGCTGCTTGATCCACGATTCTGATAAGGGATATTGCTTTGATAATTATTTTGAATCATGGGTGGTGGTTGCATGAACGGAGGTGGAAGTGTAGGTTGAACTATACCAATACCCATTAAATTGATTGCAGCAGTATCTTGTGGAATTGCTGGCAGTAATCCAGTAAAATTAAGGCCAGCAAGTGGATTAGTAGTTGCATTTGTTGCAGCTGGCGGAATATTAATACTCGATGCAAGATTAATGTTGTTGAATAAACCACCAAAGCCACCTTGTGATATATATTGCGGTTGATCACCTTTAGGTGCTGGCCATTGTACATCTTTAAAATTATTTACAGAATCAGGATTGCCAGTGACGTCTTCAAGTGGAATTATTTGTGGTTCTAATGTTTCATATTCTTCTGGATCGGGTTCATGAGGTGAATCGTACATTGATCGATTATTAAAGAACATTTCTTGGAGTGTATTTCTCTCGCGCTCAGCTTGAACAGCTGCTTCAAGACTCTTAGAGCCATAGGGGATTTCAGGCACATTATCAATCAGCTTTAAAGCATGCCACTCACTATATTCAACAACTTTAGACCGCATCATCATTCGCTCACGAGTATGTTCATCTTGCTTTTGTTCACTAAATGTCTTTGTCACATTAACACGCTCATTTTCATCAAGTTCAAAGTATCGAACCTCAGTCAGATCATTGTCAGTACGCCAACGAAGAGAACGTTTTGGTCGCTTTCGTTTTGGAATTGAAATAATTCCAGGAGGTCCATCAGGTCCACATCCAATACCTGGCGGTCTTTTTTGCTCAGGTTCATCTTCATTCTCTTCTACAACTTCATCAGACTTTTCTTTCTCAGAATTTTCATCAGACTTTGACTCGTCTCCTTTTGTAGACTTTTCATCTGTGCTTGCATCACCATTAGTAGTATTTTCAATATCTTTTGTTGGTGATGACGAGCTTGTTCCATTTGTTATCTTTTCATCCTTCTCCTCATCTTCCAAAGTGTCTTTATAGAATTTGAGTGGCTTTGTTTCAATTTTAGGTGACTCAGGTTCTTCCTTTTTACTTCCCGATGACAAACGTTTTCTCTTCTTCGAATCTTTTTTATGAAGCATAGCTGATGTTTCAAGTGCATCCAAAAAACCAGTCGATTCCATTAACATGGCTAAAATATATGAGAAGAGAGAGAAAGAAGAAGAAAAAAATACGTTAGAATGTTTGCAATACATGAATATGATGAACATCATCATCTATAATTGCATTCGATGGATTCAGAATGTTTAATGAGCCTTTCTTAAGTTTTCCTTTAAAAATAGCGTACGGTTGTGTAGTATCGAAAAAAATAAATTAATAATCAACAATATTTTGATGAAATATGCAAATTTGCCACATAAAGTGAAAGAATGTGTGCGACATTACGTCAAATTGTTGTTATGTGATGTGTTATAAAAGAGAAATAAGAAGTGATTTTTCTCACTCGACCTATATAAAATATTGATGCCATCGCTAAAATAAAACCACACTGCCATTATCGTTTAAGTCAAAGCATCATTTAGCAGATTTTTCATCTTCTTATTATTCATTTTCGCATATCACAAAAAAGATTGTCGTCTAAAATTTTATTTTTAAAACGAAACGACAAGAAGCATGTTTTTATCCTACTCAATCTATTCATTATGTTAAGTCCATTTTTAGTGTTTTATCTTTCTCTATTCATTCGCTCTCCTGCCTGACGATTTCTATAGACATGATCTTTATAGCTCAATAACAATTTCATCATTCGCGGTTTCATTTGAATGGGAAGTTTTGGCCTATTTTAAATTCTTATTTTGCCGCGGATGTAGATGGAATTTCGGCAAAAACATAATAAAAATCATAAATCTATCACGTGTGCCACAGATAATAAATCCAAAAATATCGATATAAGTGAGTCGTTCGTCAAATTAATAATGATATGACGATAATAATCATGATTCTCATTAAAATAAACATATAGATGAGAACTCTACGGTCTGTGTTTGCAAATGTAATAAAATCAGATTAGGCAGGAGTCGGTCATAAAAATATGAATTTAACTGTTCAACTATAGTAAATAATCTTCAAATTCACAGAATAAAACGCAATATTAACAAATTCATAATCTTATAAAACAACTTTCAAGGAAGCAAGTAGCTCAAATCAATAAATGTAAAATTCACCTTCTTAACGACTTTAAAATCTCATTATAAATAAAAGGGACGCATATAGTCATGTATATATTGAGAATAAAAAAAATGATAAAGTACAGAAAGTTGCAAGTATCTACGAATTGCAGTACGAAAAATCCGCTCATAACGATGCTTTTGACCCCAATTCAAACGGCAAATAATTATCTGCAAATCGAAAACGCCACTTTTTTGCGCTTTCAACAAGCAATAAACTTTATTTGTCATCACTTTATCTTATTTTTTTTTTGTTTTTTAATAAATAGTGTGAAAAAATAAACGTTATTGCAACTATATCTTCAAAATCTTGAAGACATATATATTTATAAAAAATATAATCACAATTGCTATCATTAAAACCTGTAAAATGGAGATAGAAAATAGACACAACACAAAGGAATATTAAGAAATACTTATTAAAGCATAAACACTGTCATCTCATGTTTACGATAAGAAACATTCTGATTCCATTGAAGCTTTTATAATCTATAAATAGAGTAAAGAAATTGTAAATTTAACGTATATGAGATACTCACGTTTTGGTTTTATCAGTTTGACGCCTCCAACTCGTTCAGGAACTTCGAAATCTAAAGCTTTTTCAAGGTGTATTCTTTTTGCGGGTGGGGGAGAAATAGGTTTAGGGGATTGCATAGAGGGGGTTGTAACGGGTAAAATAACAGGTGCAACTGGAGCAGGCTTTTTAAGACCCTTACGGGAAGGAGGCGGTGGAGGTTGTTCAGCCAATCCATGATCCCTAAATGTAGAATTATGAGTTTTAACAGTCTTAGGCTTATCACCCTTTCGCACTTCTATTGAAATTGATGGCTTTTTCTTTTCGATCACTTCATTGGATTTAGCACTTTTAGATGATGGATCTGAATCTGATTTCTCACTTTCACTATGTGGACGTTTTGGAATGCGTTGAAGTTTACTCGATGGTAGTGGAGCTAGAAAGCTGAGAGTTTCTTTATCCTTTTCTGCCTGTTCTTTTTCTGCTTGTTCCTTCTTTCGCTTTTCACGATCTTTATCCTTGTCGCGACTGCTTGATGACGACGACGATGAATGTTTGCTTGAACTGCTCGATTTACTAGAATCCTTGTGTCTATCCTTACTTGATGAACTACTACTACTTCTATGTGATGAGGATGAACGATCCTTATCTCTATGTGATGTCTTTGAAGATGAACTAGATTTGTGTGATGAACTAGAACTACTTGATTTTTTAGTTTTATCCTTATCAGATGAAGATGATGATGAGGATGATTTAGATTTATGCTCAGATTTAGGCTTGGAATCAGGAGATTTTAAAATTTTTGTATCTTGTTCATTAATTGGACTTGTACTACGTTTAATTGAAAGTATCAAGCCACTTTCCTTATTGCTAATTTTGTACTTGACATTCTCACTTGATTTCTTGGGAGAATCTTCATCTACAGTTCCATTACTAATTGAATTGTTATGATTATTATTACTAGTATTATTATTATTTATATTATTTTCAGTAGATGGCGATATTTTAATATCTGATTCAGATTTAATCATTGCTGAGTCATTATCTAATAAACTTTTGTCATCGGAATTTATATTATTAAATACAACAGTGCCATTTGAACCGTTTTGCTGTTGTAAAATTTGTTTCTCTTGATGAGCTATTTTTAACCACTGCTCTACTAATTTTTTAGACAGTGCTGTAATCATGGCATTTTGCGATAAGTTTAATGAAAGATTTTTAACAATTTTTGGTGTATGATTAGATTTCAAACGATTTCCATCGACAGGGCAAAGCAACAGCATTTCAAGGATCTCCTGTACAAATGCCCAATTGGATGAGTTTACTCCATCATTTAACCATGTGTGAACTAAATTCCATCCACCAGCTGCCATAAACTGTCCCAATAAATCTGTTTCTGTACATTTTAGGATTTGTATGTAAATACATTTTGATACTAATTTTTTGGAATATTTTTCCATAAGGCTGTAAAAAAGTTTAAAAAAACACATGTTAGGAAAAAAACACATTGCGATCATGTTTTTTGATATACTTACTTTGCAAGTCGAATGACTTCTCCGGAACTTTTAATTCCTCCATTTACAGCTAACAATGGAGTTAAACATGCTAACAATTGTTGGGGATCAATTCGAGGCTACAAGGAAAAGTAATTCTCAATAAATAATAGATTTTAAAAAAATCTTGTTGTTGTTATGTCTTACCATCTTTTCTGTTTGAGAATATGTTCAGCCAACAAATTGAGAAAAAAATTACTGCCTATAAAAATATACGGAATTGTTTTATGAGTTGTTTTTTCTCTCGGATACAATCAGGTTAATAATTTACACGAATTCAGCGACAACTTAAAAAAATCTAGTCCAATACTTGAGATACGTATTTCAAAATAATCTATTACTTTTGTACTTTCACTAATTTTGATCTTTTCAATTATGTCCTTTTCTTTGCAATTTCAGCTATATCTTGATTCTTTGTTTTTCATTTACTTATGATCTTTTATATTTCTTGACAATAACATTAACAATTTTTAATTCTAAAACTTTTAAGGAAGCGTGTCTTTTTCGTATCTACGTAATAAACTGAATTATCTCTAAATCTCATTGGAATTTGTACACAAACTACTCAAAAATGTCATAAACGTTGCCAAATGATAAAATAATACACTTATAATATGATTTTATTAGAATTTAGTATAAAAAAATCGATAAAAGTTTATGTAGAAAAAAATATGGCCGACCTTTATAAAGAAGAAAATTTTAAAGGCGATTTTAAAGCATTTCCTTTGCTTTTTGATGATTCTTTTTCATATAAAACGTTTGAATCGATTCTTTATTTTGAGAATATGATATTCAAATAGATTTAATTAAATGTCCTTTTTTGATGAAATTATTATTGGTAAAATTTACAATACATCTGCTTTATAAGAAAGCTAACAAACGACTGAAAAAGTTTACCGAGGTGAGTAAGTAACGAACCTTTTGTAGACTTTCACAGAATACAGCTTTTTTTGATTTATAGAATTTCGGTATGTAGCATTAATTGCATAAACATCAAGTACTGATTGGCCTTTGAGATTTGATTTTCCTTTTTATACATTTTTAGATTGCACACACTAGCAATCTCAATGTTATGTTTAATAAACTTTTTGTCACTGTGCAATTTGGAAAGTTTTTCAAATCTCCAAAAATAACGTTTTTCTAAAAATTCAAAAAAATATCCAAGCTTGGAATTCAAATTTTTTCTGACAGTTAACAAAGCCTTTAAAAGCTACAATTCCTTATCAACTTTATGTTTATTGTAGCTTGATTTATTTATATTTTTACACAGAATCTTGTGCCTTATCACTAGTAATTTATTAATACACAGTAAGATCACATAACTTAATAGTCTAAATTAGTGCTAAAACATGAAAACAATGTGTGTTATTCGCAGAAACAGGAGAAAATCGCATGCGTACTGATCGCAAAACTTTTAGTGCTGAACAAAGTATTTTTTTGGGATCTTTGTGATTGATTTTTTTAGACGTGTCTGAAAAAAATGAAAAGGTTGTGAATAATTTAATATATTTTTTGAGCGGAACTAGTTCAAATAAAAAGGAATATTGTATAATAATTCAAGGTTCGAGGATGAAAGATTTTGATGAAGATGAAAAGAAGAAAAAAGAGAAAACTAAGCATCATAAAAAACATAGTTCTGGTAAGTTACAGGTAGTGTCAGTGGATTAAAAGTTTAATAAAAACTACATCTTACATTTCAGATTTTAAATTGATTGCAATTGCAGTCTTCTTTTGGATCTTTAGTCCAAGAAAGTGATTCATCCTTATGTAGTGCAATTTAGTGACTTTATTTCATTATTAAATGATTAATTTATTTTTTATGGATTTATAGTTTAATTAAAAACATTGAGTTACACTTTTATACTTTATTAAAAATACCAACAAATTAGACCAAATCAAAATTAAATAATTAAGGGAACGGCGAAAGTGCAAAATAAGTAATTAATATCATAATGGGACAATCGCATTCATCAGAAGTAACACAGCATAATCAATCAAAAAGAAGATCCTTCCTGATAACACCCAAAAAATTGATCAAGCTACGTAGGCAAACATCACATGAAAATTCAGGAACTTCTCAACAGGCCAATAATACGCAGACGTCATTCTTAGGGGAAAGAGATTATCACAAAACAGCTGATAGACACGGTATGTATATAGATATTGTGCAAGTCTCAATCAAAACAAAACAGCATGCTTACCATTTCTTCTTCTCTGCCTTTACACTTTACATCCACAACAACTCTTTTGCTATGCATCTCTTCTTATTGTTCTTACATCTATCATGGTCGTGTGAAATAAATTTTTACTTTTGTATATATCCACACCTATACACCGAACTGGAACTGACTTTTTACAGAACAAACGACGACCAAAACAAACCATGATATCGATATACAATCACTACCAACGTACGAAACAGAACCAGTTTTTAACCGGCATAAAGAGACAACGCACACAAATGCAAATGTTGAAGCATCAAAGCACAACGAAATAGCAGCGTTCAGTCATGAATCGACTACGAAAGACGAGAGTTTGATTGAAGAAAATTTATTACAACAATTGCGTGAATTAATTGAACATTTATTATGTGGTGGCGATCGCATAGATGGTGATATTGTGCTTGAGATAGATTCAATTGAGAAGACATTAAAAATCTTGCCGCAACAAAGTTCATTGGTCAGAGGAGAACTTGAAGGTAATTATTTCTCATTTCTTATTCTTTTCTTCCGTTTCGTTCATCTTTCGCTTATTCTAATGTTCTATATATACGTGTACACTTTTTTTTTCTCAACATTCTTCCCATTTCCCTTCTTTCTCGACGATATATAAAATATTATAAAAGAGAAAAGTTCGAGAGATCAGCGATCGATTTAAAAAATATATACATGAACGGGACCTTGCTGGAAGTTAATTGTGCATTAGTGGTACTGCTTTTTACTAAATAGTACAAAATTCTATATTAAATGAATTTTATGATTTGAAGTTTAACAGATTTTTAAAGTTTGAATATTAACGGATATTTGCCATTTATTATTATTTATTTGTCGACATTACCGTCCGGAAGAATTAGTATTTATACATGTTTTACTTTTTACATTGATTAGTGATACATTTCATATCACTATGGGTGACGTAGAATCATGCTTCTAATCTTCAAATCTAGGTTTCGATTAAATTCAGGCTCTCGTTTCAATCTTCTGTGGGCGTGACGTGATACATTTCAGGTCCGTTCTGACAATATTCCATTATAAGGTAATCTTGTAGCTCTCGTTCCTATTTCTCCCGCTACACTTCAAGTTCCTGATCCGTTCCTTGATCCAACGTTGCCCAAAATGCCCAATTATGGCTTGATCTCGTACATTAATCAGTCAAAGTATCTAAACTTCTGAAAAAGAACAAATTTGGAAATGGCTGGATTCGAACCGACGACCTTCGAGTTACCATACCAAATTTGAGTCAAGCGCCTTACCTATTCAACCAGCAAGACACTTAACTGCATTTTATAGCAGTTTTGCAACGGCTTATCAAAATTTGAATTTCTAGCAGTTTGCAACATAAAATTTGAATTTCAAACGAGCGTTAATTTTCCTAATTTTTTTGTCCCGGCTCAGGCTCAACAACACATAAAACCAGTTTTCATTCCGATGTATAAATTAATGCATTCCAAAAAAAATCAGTGGCTACACAATTATTATTTGTTTTTATTTGATTAAAATGTAATTTATAACTCGAAACGATAACATTATGTCACAAATCCATATCAAAAGAAACAGTTTCAATAGTCATAAATTTCGTGAGCCCTTTCGGCTACAAATTCAATCAAAATATCACTGTAAAAAACATGAGAAGAGAAAAAAGTGAAAACGGTGAATATATTTTTATTCGAGTGTCGCTTTGATGATGCAAGTTTATCATTATTATGCATATTTGTATCCAAAAAAATTTGTGTCGATTATGAAATTTAATTTAAATAATAATTTTTTTGTCTCATCTTTAAAATCAAACAGAAATTCCACCATCATCGGTATCATCACAAGGGAATTTCATTATAATTCGCGAACACGTTACACCTTCAAGTGCCGATACTGTTTTCACAGATGCTGTATCGACGGTATCACAGCAAAATAACAATAATTATATTTCGCAAAATTTAAGTGTTACAAAATTAGAGCAATTTGATATTGCTAGTGATATACTAAAGTGTGAAATTGTGCGTAATGAATCATTTAATGTTGATGGAATAGAACGAGATTTTGAGGACGAAGACATGCCGATTGTAAAAAACAGCACATCAAATGGACAAGATGGTAGTGATAAAGGAATATTCAATGTGTCACGTATTAAGAAAGTTGAACTGTCGGAAATTCCATTGGCATCGGATATCTGCAACAATGCATGTAAGTGATACAATTCACATCTATACGCTTAATCTCTAGTGCTGGTTGTGCTTATTTTATGCAAAAGTAATAGTTTTGTGGCTCAATTTGTCTGGATTTGAAATTGACTTTTTAACGGGTTTCTTGAAATTTGAATTTTAGTGCTTGAAATTTGAATCTCAAAAATCTATCAAAAGTATAAATTTTAACTCAACATAAATATTTTTTGCTTATAAATTCGCACGACGAATCATTTAAAGCAAGAACGCAATATGATCATCCACGATAATCTTACCAGTTCTTTTTTTTTGACCGTTAACTCTTCTCACCATTATGTGAATTAAAAATAGAATGGAAGTAGAAAGACGATGCTCGTGTTTTTAGACAATTGAGTAATTTATTTCTAAAGTGTAAATAGAATACCATCATATATATGCATAAAATGCATGACCTTCCCCATCCTCTATATGATCTGTATTATTCTCTCTTTTTCTAGCACACTAGCTTATGTGTGTACTCATAACATTCATTAACGACTTTAATTTATGCTTAATTTTTCATTATTATAAATTAACAGCGTCGTCGACAATTCCTGAACAGCAAACTGTAACAGCACAGAAATCAGTAACATCGAATGGAAGTGGAAGTAAAGTTCTACATCGAGTCATTTCCCTAACGACTGCTAATCACAATGACAGCAATAATTTTACAAAGCAAACGACAAAACCTCCATTCATTCCTGAGAAATTGCAGTTTTCTGCATTCGAGAAATTTGAAGGTGAGTTTTTCACAGCGATATTATTTAATTAATGACATTCAACATTCCACTAGACACATAGTTAACTTAACTTATCTAATGAGTTTTGTTGTTTGTGTAAAGGGAATAGGAAATATATATTAATACACGTTTCGATAAGAAATGAAAATGAATGAAAACAGTCGTAGGCTTGTTTTTTTTTGGGATGTAAGGTGTATGATGGAAAGTTTGTGCATTTGGGTGGTCGTTTTGTCTTGTTTGACATGCATTTATTGCGGATTAAATGGTATAATTGGATCGCACATGAGTGCAATTTCTTTATTGTTGATCAAAGAGATAATCATGATTTTATTCAGGATTGGAATCTTGTAAATACGAGTCAATAAGTCAATTGTAAATTTAACAGATAACGGATATTAGAATTTGAATTTTGTTCAATCGTTATCTAAGACACCCTCTATGTGTTTAGTAGAGGCACATTGTAGCTAATAAGCTATGACACACCACATTATTAGAGAAGCAAAGTAACACTATTAGCCAGGACACGAGTCAACTCATTAGTCAAGACTCGTTATCACATACTAGTTCAGACACAAAGTTACAACAGAGAAACATCTAATTAGATAAGACACATCATACCATCGAGGTTCATACCATTATCCGAGACACATAAATGTTATTATTTAACGCGCAATGCTATTAGCTAAGACATCGAGTTATTGACATTGATCATAAGCTATAACACTAGGTAAATGTCCATGATAATGACAATCTTTTAGACAAGACACACCACAAATTTAATATCAGCCAATTACCAAATTATAAGTAAAGACACTTGTCAAATAGGTTCATATTTTAGCTTCTCTTAGCAATTTTAAGCATCAACCATTTATTGCCTCTGCTACAGAAAATCTCTGCTTAATCTTGATTTTCAAAAGTCATCTCAAAATAATCTTCAAGGCCGTTACACTCAAATCTTTATGATTTTTCAACTTGTTCCTTGTTTCAAATCATATTATGAGTGTAACAGAAACAAAATCGATAAAACTCTATCATAAATTTCCATTAAGGCATTCGAACATTTATCGGGTAACAAAAGTCTCGTGGGCAGACTAATATCGCACATAAATAAAGGTGCGCACACAACTTATGATAAAAAAATATAATAATAACTATATGGCATACAAATGTAAATAAAAATAAAGTAGCAATCAATTTTGGTGAGATAAGAGGAAGTTTCTTGTGGTTGTACTGTACAGAGATAAATAGATACACGTTGCGATTATATATTTTCTAAATTAGTAGTGAGATTTCTTGTACAGACTTATCAGATATAATAAAACATCGCGAAATTCCCCTTTTTGAATAATGTTAATTAAAGTTATTACTGCAATTTATTTTTATTCGATGCTCGCAGTACAAAAATTAATAAAAAAAAGCCGCAAATGTCTTAAAGTATTAATAAAAAGATCTCATGCATGTCTGCCAAGTGAGTAATTTCATCCCTGAATGTTGTGGGTGTAAAAATGTAAAGGAAAAATTGCTTGTTAGTAACGTTCAGTTCGCGAAATAGTCAAGATCGCGCTTAAATAGTTAAAAGTAATAATTTTGGAAGTAGACAAGCTGGATTCATTCGAAATTCAATGCACAGTTACGTCTTTGAGATCGCAGAAGCGAAAACGAAGTTACTTGAGAAGAATTTGGTATTTACGGAATTTCTTAAGTCTTTTGAGAATCTATCGGGCTTATCTACGATGGAAGTACGATAGACGGAAGAAGAAGAGACTTACATGGCGCAAATATGATGCAATAGCATGGAAAACGTTTAGTTTGCGTTGGAATCAAAATTTTATACCTCAAAATTCATTTACTGTAGTTTTATTTCGCTTTTATAACTGTCAAGTGACAGCCACTTTCCTTATCAGTAGATTGCCTTTCCAATTCATTACAATCGTCGAGAACTTGTCAATTGATAAAATACTTATAATATCATTGAAGCACGAGACTGTTTACTGGAAAAACAATTTTGTTGCATTAAGTGGATGTAAATAATAATTATTATGGATATAATCCAACTATAGCTAATTCCTTTCTTTATTTTATGTCTTTTTAGGTCAAATGCTGATGAATTGGTTCATTCAGTCGATTCCTGCATCACTCACAACATCACTGAATGAAAGTGATTTGAACGCCCTCACCATGCAATATTGTACTAATTTATTAATTGCCGGTATTATTAAATCGCTGGATACGACAAATATTAACAATAGTAATGGCATTGAAGTTTTCAAGGTAAAAAAACTGTAGCTAATAAGCTTAAAGTTTGATATTTTCGCAGTGCATTTTTGAAATAATTTTTGTTTATTTTCTGTCTTGTGAGGCTTGACAGTTCATTTGTTGACTGGAATTATACTCTAATTGAGTTTTATAAAATTTACCGTTATTTTAAATTTGAAAGAAATTCTTAAATAGATTTAAATTCTCAAAAACCTCTACCAAATTTTTGATTCCAAAACACCGTTAAATTAATTGAAAGATTTAGTAAATTAACAAATAGTTTAAGATCCCAATCTTTTTGACATTTCACTTCCTTTAATAATGCGCTTTAGTCTGACAACATCAACAGTTACTTTCTTACCATAACTTTGTGACTAATTTAAAAAACATTAATTTTCACATTTACAGTCAAACTTAATGTATCAGTGGACATATAAAGAACAAAAACAAACAAGTGGACCTGGAAAATTAGAAGCAGGAGCCTTATGGCCACACAATAATAACAATAACAATAATAACAATGAAAAAAAGGTGCTTAATAGTAGTTCAAGTCCTACGAAACGTCAAATTGATGGCGAATCAAAAATTCCTAAATTGGTATCAAACTTTACATCAACTCCAAAGCCTCGCGTTCCACAACCAGCCAGCTTATCCACACCTGAAAACTCATTATTGCTCAATGGAATCGAATTTGATCAAAACTTAAAGATTGCCGAACTTAAAAGTAAGCTGAGCAAGTGTGAAACGATACAGGAAACATTGATGCTGATAAGATGCTTTCTTAGTGAATATGCGATGCAGTCGTCAGAATCTAGCACGAATAGTAGTGTTGCATTGACAAAATCAATTTTGAATGGATCTGATTCGACGATATTTGATAAGAACAATGAAGAACAGACATTGTTTAGTATTACTCAAAAGCCGGAAAGTATTATGAAAACTCCCGTGTCATCTCGAACATCAACAATGGCAGTGAGAAGTACAAAATCTCGTACATCACCAAGTACACCGACATCAAATCGCAATGATATAACATCAAGGCAAAGATTTCGTCGGAATTTATCAACAGATTCAGTCTCAACGCTGCCAAATAAAGAGACTAGCAATAACAATAATGTCACTAATGTCAATAATACTGGACTGTGTAAAAAATGCATGCTTATATCACCAGCAAGAACAAGTACAGCAGCAACAACAACAGCTCCTATAAAGCGATTTGTCGATAAAGCGACAGTTATGGATGTTGAGCCTCTTACTATGATAGAGAAACGTCCCGATTTCAAGCATGTTGAAATTCAGACTGATGATTTAGTGATTATTGAAGAAAAAGATATGAAAAAGGAAGAAAATGTTGAGGAAAAGAAGACTGAAATTTCTACAAATATTCCAATGCCACCACCTTTACCTTTTCTACAGCCAAATTCTTCAAATTCTACAATACCTCCCCCTCCTCCCCCGATGCCAATGCCTATACCTCCCCCGCCAATTCCTCCTGCCCCACCTATTTTAAATGCCCCAAAACCCCCGCCAGGTAAGAATTAATACTATTTTAATTATTGCTTAAAGAATGAACTTTATTTGAATTTTAACGGTAAAAAGTAATTTAAATTTCTGAACCTGTTCTATGGTTTTGGTAAAAACATTTGTAATGTTTTCAAACATTTTTAGGGGTTTATCTATCAAACTATGCTAAATTACTTTAGGGGCCGTTCACTATTACGGGGGGGTGTTGAAAAATTGTAACAAAATGTAACATGGGGGGGGGGTGTTGAATTACATATTATAACAAGGGGGGGGAGGGGGTGTGAAAAAAAGTAATTTTTTGCGTAACGTAATAAGTGAACGGCCCCTTAAATAAAGATTATTTAATCTCAAAAAATAATTATTATGACCTAGAGTCAGTAATATTTCACGCGTAATTTAAAATATTAATTTCAACAGCTTTTAAAAAAATTTTTCATGTACTTTTAGGACCACCTCCACCTCCAAATGCTTTAAATCTCCATAAAGGACCATGCCCATTGCCTCCACCAATCTCAATGGCAACTCCAGGTAAATCGCAAATAATGACAAACTCATTCAACTCATCAAATTTGACAGCTAATGGAAATAAGCCAAAACCCTTGCCCCTACCAGCTTCAGATTTTTATCAAACGAATAGTGAGTCAATATGCGATCCAACGCATCCGATTGCTATCTATTTTTCTACTTGTTTTATGCCTTAAACTTGATTTATTTTACTCTCGACTAGAACGAGGAAATTTAGAACTTATTTCCTTCCTTTTTATCTCTTCTTAATTTTTATAATCGTAATGTAGATGCGACACTATTTTTGTAGCAATTTTCTCATCCTTTTCTATCTTTTTATATCCTTTATTTTGCCTAAATCAATTTATTGAGGTTTTTTCTTGTGAATGGGTGCACGCACGTTTTGTTATTGTTGATATTTTTGTAGATAGGAGTTATTTAGGATTATCTGATCTGAACTTTTATACTTGAATGTAGTCAGTCTATAAGCAGGGATTTTTGAAATATATTGGATTAGTTGTTTTGGAATTAAGGATTTTTGTGGATATTATTTGGGTGTGAATTGATGATTTTTGTGGGCTACAGCTTTGGTGCTGTTTCTTTATTACGTTGTAACTTAAAACACTTTGTCACAAATTTAGCAATTAAATTTATTTTTTTATTAATTTTTGAATTTGTAACGTTCTCTTTCGAATTTGTAAGGTTTTAAAACAAACTTTGATTGTCAAAACATTTAAATTCACCAAAATTGTTATAAAAACCTTACAAATTCTTTAAAAATGTCTCGAAACAATACAAATCCTTCAATGAATGTCCCAAAACCTTACAATTCCATTAAAAGTTGACACAAAAACCATTCAATTCCTCTAAAATCGATATGAAACCTCACAAATGCAAAATTTTGACATAAAAACCATTCAATTCCAAAATTCAATTGAATTTCAATTTTCCTGCTTGAACTTATTACAAAAAACATTTCTTTAAATCTTGTAAGATCTCTTATTGGTAATTTGGTATGTTTCAGACACAGTCAATTTCTTTTTCTTTTAAATAGTTTCTTTCTCACTTTACCTATTATCCTCATATATTAAATCTGTTGATTTCCGTAACTAATCAATGAACTTATTTTCTACACACATGAAAAAAAAAACACAAAAACATTAATTTTAGCACTACGAAAAAATGCTGTAAATCCGCCAAAGCCAATGAAACCATTGTATTGGACAAGAATAGTAACGCCAATAATCATGCAGCAGCAACAGCCACAAGATACAACAGATGGCAAGACATCACCTGATGAAATGAAGGAAGAAAAAGATGAATTATGGAAGGAAATTGACGAGACAAATCTAGACAATCTTGATGAATTTACTGAGCTGTTTTCGCGTCAAGGCGTCGTACCAAGAGTTTTGAAGGAGACGACAACAATGCCTAAAAAAATTAAAGCAATTAAGATATTAGATAGTAAACGATCTCAAAATGTTGGAATATTTGTGCGTAGCATACACGTTGATTTTGCTGAGATAGAGCATGCAATTTATCACTGCGATACATCAGTTGTGAGTCAAGAGACGTTGCAAAGTATTATGGCAATAAGAGCAACAAATGAGGAATTATCGATGATTAAGGAAGCAATTGCTTCACATAATGGCACAGAATCGCCTCCGCTTGACGCACCCGAACACTTTTTATTAAGAATATCTGAAATCTCATCGTCGGCGGAGCGTATATCATGTATTGTGTTTCAGGATGAATTTGAGGAGCAATGTATTATGGTATCACGTAAAGTACATATTGTAAAGAGCTTATGTGAATTTTTATTAGAGAATGAACGCTTAAAGGAAGTATTTTCGATAATTTTAACGCTTGGAAATTTCATGAATGGCGGCAATAGACAGCGTGGACAAGCAGATGGATTTGGTTTGGAGATTCTGGGAAAGCTCAAGGATGTCAAATCAAAAGATCCAAAAATTACTCTCCTTCATTTCATCGTTAAAACTTACATTACACATGCCAGAAAAAGTTGTGGGTTGACTGAGATTGAATTGCCTATACCAGATCCAAATGATGGTGAGTAATGTGCTGCGAATTGCTTTTGACATGCCTAATTTGATTTCTTTTTATGTGTGATTTATTTTACAGTCGATAAAAGTCTTCACATTGATTTTGTTGAATGTCAGCAACAACTGAATGCATTGAAGAATAAAGTTGAAGGTAAGTTGATTGCTTGCTGTTTATGGCTGTGCATTGAATTGGCAGCAACAAAATAAATTTTGACAGTTATTTTAAATATTTTTTGACTGGTAAATTTCAAATATTTTTTGTCGGTTATTTTCAAATATTTTTTCACAGTTATTTTTTCCAAACAGAAAGTCCAATATTGTGAACCACTGTTATTTCTATTAATTCTACCCTATAAAATCCATTTACATTTAATTAACTAGACCAAATTTATTGCTAATTTGCAACTTCATTTATAGCCAACCCAAAAGTTCTATCCTATAGCTCAATAGTTATATTAATTGCTTTATTCTCTATTATTGCCTATCTCATCACATAACCACATCATTTTCTATACCCACAGAATGCAAAAAGACAACAGAGAAAGTAATTGTAGCATCAGCCGTAGAACACGTCCAACCATTTAAAGATAAAATGGAAGCATTTCTAAAAATGGCAACGAAGAGGATTGAGAGTCGATTGCTGAAAGTCGAGGAATGTAAAGTGCTATTTATGAAGACACTCAAGTTCTACAAGTACTTGGCAAAGAGTGGAACAATCGATGAAACGACACCAGCACAATTCTTTGAATATTGGACCTCATTTACCAGTGACTTTAATATGATTTTCAAAAAGGAAATTGTGATACTTACTAATGAGCTGTAAGTTGATTATGTCCCTTAGTGATTTGATATTTGAGTGCTGAGTGAATTGACTTTTATGCTGCAATTTGTGCTAAATTGGCATTTTCATTTTAATGTTTTGTTGTGTCGAGGATTGATTTTTACTTCAAATTTTAAAAATTGTGTCTTAAATAAATGTACCAAATCTAATGACAGTTATTAAGTCAAGACACAGCATAGATATCATAAATTTGTGGAATTTAAATTTGACATGAGTCTTAGCTAAAATACAAATATCCAAATCTGAAAAATTTGTAGTTTATTTGACACGTGTCTTGGCTACAATTTTAAATTTGAAAAGTTCGTTATTTTTCCAATAACGCTCATGTATTTTAATAATGAACTCACAAGACGTTTTCCAACCAATTAAAGCACTAATGCGATCCAATTTGAGAAAGTTCCAAATGTTTCTCATTAAGAGCTTTTATATTCTTAATTAATTACATCAGCACTAGTAAATTAATTTCTCTTTCTCTTCTTCTGCTTTTTTTTCTGCTTTTGTCTCGATAGTCTAAAGAAATCACGTCAACAGACGAAGCCACAGTCGAAACCATCACAAGGAGAGAATAATTTGAAGGCACGCATCAATCGTCTTAAGAGTCGTGAAAAATGAATGTTATTAGAACTGAATGTAACATGCAATGTAAAAGGCTACAATTTTTTTTTAAAAAAAGAGTGAATTTTAGGCATTTATAGGAATTAATTTATATTTCTGTGAGAAGAATTGAAACGCAATGTACTCAAAAAAATAATAATAATAATAATATTGTTCATGTCGTCAAAGTTTTTTGGAATTTTATAAAAAATTTATTGTGAAAAAGTGTTGATTTTAAGAAGATATGAACAAAGCTAATGTATTTTTAAAGTCACAGATGTATTTTTTAAATGAAATATTTGTAAAATTTAATTTTGTGAAATTTTTTGAATCAAAAAATCATAAAAAAAAGAAAACTAGTGCACACTTACAATTTTAATAGAAACATTTATCTACAATGAGATTCACACACAATATCCAATTCAAATCTACCTTATAGATCTAATCTATTCATCTCTATCTCTCTCTGTATTGACTCTTCCTTACTGAGTTCGTCCTCAGTTCGCCTTTCAATCACGTACACGATAAAATATATGATAATTTAGTGGACTCGTAGTGATCAGAAAATTTCAATGAAATAGGATATATTATATTTAATGAAAATCTAAATTAAATGAATAAAAAATTGATAGAAAATTCTAATTAAGTTAAAAAAAAACAGAATCAACTTGAGTCATTTAATTAAAAATTTTTGTTTTGCAGGTTCTTCGTTAATTGGTAACTAGGCTATCCGAAGGCGCCCGTGGCGCCTCTTATCTGAGTTAAAAATTTGATTAGTATTATGTAAATAACTGTAAGACGCAAATAACCATAATGTTTTTAAGGTCAATCCTACCACAAAACTTCGCAATGCCTCACAAACCTCCTGGAACTCGGACCCCCTTAATCCCACTAAAACTTTAATTCCCCCGAAACCCACCATGTCTTTTCACAAAGCTTCGCATGGCTTCACAAAACTTTACATGGCTTCACAAAATTTTTTATATTCCTGACACCAAACTTTTCCCACAAACCCCCTCAAATTTGGACCCACCCCCCCAACTGTCACCCACCTTGTCAGCACAATTCAAATCATTGGCTTCACACGGCTTCATAAAATATACCTGAAAACTGACCCACCTGACACCCACTTTGTCACCCCACACCCACCTGACAACCATTTGTCAACACTCCTTAAATTTTTGTCTCAACACGGCTTCTCAAATGTCTTCACATTGCTTCCGTTCCAGAGTCAGTGAATCAGTGAGTTGGGCTTTAATATATTAGATACCTAGATATGTTTTAAAATGCAATTTTAAGCATTTTTGGTTTTGATCATAGTAGGCTATTTTCAAAAAAAAAAGATCGATTTTATATCTACATTAACATTCTTTATCATTTATAATACCTAGATATGTTTTAAAATGCAATTTAAAGCATTTTTGGTTTTGAACATAGTAGGCTATTTTCAAAAAAAAATGTCGATTTTATATCTACATTAACATTCTTTATCATTTATAGTGCCTAGATATGTTTTAAAATGCAATTTTAAGCATTTTTGGTTTTGATCATATTAGGCTATTTTCAAAAAAAAAATATCGATTTTATATCTACATTAACATTCTTTATCATTTATAGTGCCTAGATATGTTTTAAAATGCAATTTTAAGCATTTTTGGTTTTGAACATAGTAGGCTTTTTTCAAAAAAATATCTATTTTATATCTACATTAGCATTCTTTATAATTTATAATACCTAGATATGTTTTAAAATGCAATTTAAAGCATTTTTGGTTTTGAACATAGTAGGCTATTTTCAAAAAAAAAATATCGATTTTATATCTACATTAACATTCTTTATCATTTATAGTGCCTAGATATGTTTTAAAATGCAATTTTAAGCATTTTTGGTTTTGAACATAGTAGGCTTTTTTCAAAAAAATATCTATTTTATATTTACATTAGCATTCTTTATAATTTATAATACCTAGATATGTTTTAAAATGCAATTTAAAGCATTTTTGGTTTTGAACATAGTAGGCTTTTTAAAAAAAAAAATATCGATTTTATATCTACATTAGCATTCTTTATCATTTATAATACCTAGATATGTTTTAAAATGCAATTTAAAGCATTTTTGGTTTTGATCATAGTAGGCTTTTTTCAAAAAAATATCTATTTTATATCTACATTAGCATTCTTTATAATTTATAATACCTAGATATGTTTTAAAATGCAATTTAAAGCATTTTTGGTTTTGATCATAGTAGGCTTTTTTCAAAAAAATATCTATTTTATATCTACATTAGCATTCTTTATAATTTATAATACCTAGATATGTTTTAAAATGCAATTTTAAGCATTTTTGGTTTTGATCATAGTTGGCTATTTTCAAAAAATGTCGATTTTATATCTACATTAGCATTCTTTATCATTTAAAGTACCTAGATATGTTTTAAAATGCAATTTAAAGCATTTTTGGTTTTGATCATAGTAGGCTATTTTCAAAAAAAATATCGATTTTATATCTATATTAGCATTCTTTATCATTTAATTATAGGCTATCCGAAGGCGCCCGTGGCGCCTCTTATCAGGGTTATAATTTGATTAGTATTATGTAAATAACTGTAATACGCAAATAACCATAATGTTTTTAAGGTCAATCTTACCACAAAACTTCACATGGCCTCACAACCCCCTCAAACTCGGATTTCCTTTATCTCACAAAACTTTATAAATAGCTTAACAAACCCCCTCAAATTCGGACTCACCCCCCCAACTGACACCCACCTTGTCAGCACTCCTCAAATCATTGGCTTCACAAAATATACCTGACACCCATCCCTCACCTGACACCCACCTTGCTCCCCCCCTTTTCCAACTGACACCCACCTTGTCAGCACCCCTCAAATCATTGGCTTCACAAGGCTTCACAAAATATACCTGACACCCCCCTTGCTTCCATCCCCACCTGACACCCACTTTGTCACCCCCTTACAACTGACACCCACCTTGTCAGCACCCCTCAAATCATTGGCTTCACAAAATATATCGACACCCACCTTGTCCCCATCCCACACCTGACACCTGACACTCACCCCACACCCACCTGACAACCATTTGTCAACACTCCTTAAATTTTTGTCTCAACACGGCTTCACAAATGTCTTCACATGGCTTCCGTTCCAGAGTCAGTGAATCAGTGATTTGGGCTTTTATATATTAGATAAATCTAAATGTATGAGTTCTTCATAAAACCGTCGAAAAATAACTGCCAAAAAATATTTGAATTTAAACTTTGCGGGTCATGCAACCAGATTTTAACTTGTAAACTCCGTTAAAAGTTCATTAGCAGCTGATCAATATTTTAATCTCCTTTAGTATTTATTAATGGTCACAATTAATATTAATAAATATCCGCAAACAATGAAATTACCGATTCGTTGATCCTCGAGCAAAACCATGATTTATTATTATTCATTAATAAAGAATTATTGCACCACATATTTTTTTCATCCCAGCATGTCATGAAAAATAATTTCAAGCAATTTTCATTCGAAAAAGTTTGTGGAATTTCAAAATTTCTATTTTAACAAGCAGCTAGTCAGCATTAAAAATTCATATCAGCCTAATAAGTCATGGCAGCATTGAGCGATGAGCAATTGAGAGCAATAAAGACTGAACAGTTTGCTAAGGAATTTAAAGAAGCAGCGAAGGAAGTGATGTTTAATGCTGCAAAATTGAAGTCAGCACAAGGCAAGACACATATACGTTGCCGACCTACATTTTAGCCTGTCAATTAACATTAATTTGTCTCTTCCCTTTCTCACAGATCGTGTACGAATATGTGAGTGGCTGCACAAATTAAGAGAATTGCGAAATGATAAGCTTGATGAGGCAAATATGAAGAATGAGTACATGCAATATTTGAGGATGAGTTTGTCGGGTGAATATTATATCCTGACGAAGCCCTTTTCGTCACAACCCCCCAAGAAATTAGTTCCATTTGGCGAATGTATCGCAAATAAAACATGCGATTTTATTCCCAATATTCCACGATGTGGACAAATACAGCCAATACTCTGTCATAAGTCAGATGATAATCGTGCCTTCATGTGTGTCAAGAGAACACCAGATAATGGCATTTTGTGCTATATGGCTGTCAGCCCCGATTCTTTGTCAATCAAGGAATAAAACTAGTTGAAACGTTATTTTCTTTCGCATTTTACTGCCGATATTTAACCGTTTTTAAAAATTTGAGCAGGGTTTTCAAAAAATTATTGACAATTATTTATTCAAATATATTTTGGCAGTTATTTTTTCAAATCATTCAGGATCCAGTAATAAAATAATAAGGACATCGTCCAAACTGGAAGTAATGCAATAAATAATAAATTTTTCTCTCGTCTGATTTTGTGACAATTCACTCAATGCTGTGTATTTTTCTATTAGGAATTATGAGAGTCATGCTTCATGCCTTATAGTTCCATATGCTGTACATCCATTCATATAAACAACAACAATGCAATGGACGGGTTCTCTCTTCATGATTATGAATAAAAAATAGAGAAAATTTATTCCATTTCTATTTTTGTTGTTCTCCTTTGCCTTTACATCCTTACGGCATTTACTGTATAGTTAGAAGCTTCATAGTACAGTGCGTATGATTCGTTTAGCCGCACTAAGGAAAAAAAGTATTTTCAGTTGATATTGTAAACAAATAAATTTAATTTGTAAGTAATTTTAATTAAATAGATTATTATCTATAAAGTAACGCTATTAATTCATTACATTACTGATTAAAAAAACAAAAATTTAATCATGCCAAAAGGAAAATACTTAAATGAGACTGAAAAGGCTGTAATCGAATCGGGATATTGCGAAGCGAATTAATAGAGACGAAAAAGTAGTAAGAAATTATTTAGCAAAAGGCAAAGATTATGGCAAGAAGAAGAAGACAAAGGGCAATGCAAAAATTACAAATCGTGACAAAAATCGTGCAATTTAACTTGCTTATACGGAAAAATACTTTTCTAATGATATCATACGTGAATTAGATCTGCCTATTAAGAAAGCTCAAGTTTGTAAAATATTGCGAGACTCTGGCCACTTTAAATATGTCAAAAAACTGAAAAACCTATGTGGATTCCTGAGCATATTGTAGAACGATTTAATTGGGCAAAAAGATACGTTCATTGGACTACGGAGTGGGCAAATGTGGTCTTTTCAGATGAGAAAAAATTTAATCTTGATAGACCTGATGGATTTCATTACTACTGGCACGATTTAAGAAATGAAAAGCAATTCAACTACTCTAGAAATTTTGGTGGGGCTCTTTAATGGTTTGGGCAGCATTCTCTGAACTCAGACAACTATATTCAGCTCATGGACGATGTTTTGATTCCATTTACGGACGATTTTATGGATGGTGACTTCATTTTTGTCCAAGATAATGCTTCAATTCATAAAAGCAAAAAAACTATGGAATGGTTTAGTAACAAAAATATCATTATTCTCGACTGTTCAAGCAGATCACCCGACATGAACCCAATAGAGAATCTATGGGGAATACTTGCCCGTCGAGTATAAAGTCGAGGTAGTTCGTAAATTTTCATCCATTCAAGAGCTTGAAGTTGAAGTCCGTAATTGCTGGCGAAATTTATCAACACAGATATTAGAAACTTCAGTCAATTCCATGCAAAATCGTCTAATTGAACTTATACGTAAGAATGGACACGAAACAAAATACTAATTCATCGTTTTTGGGCAAATAAAATATTATTTTCCTTAGTGCGGGTAAACAAATCATACGCACTGTATGGATGTTTATGTATGATGATAATAAATTTTCAATAAAGTTGCAAAAATTGCACGTACGACATAAACTTATATGTGCTATAAAAAAGAGCAAAGGAGTAATTCGTGAATTAAGGATTATTAAGGCTTGTTTTTCTAGAATTGACATTATGTTTGCTGGATATTGTTGAAATATGACTTACGAGGAATATTTAATGGAAATTTATTGCTCCTTTGCTTCTGGAAACCATGTGGTCAAGATTTCTGGGTACTAAGTTAGGATGAAGACTGTAAAGAGATGAAATTGATTGCTGTAAATGAAAATTTGTTATTTTTCTTTGCTGGATCTTTTGAAAATGCGTTCATTATAAAGATTATGATGTTATTGATAACTCTTAACTGTTTGTGGTGGCTGAAAACAGTTAATTTTGGTATAAAAAGCACAAAAAATATTTGCTGAAAATTTTAAGAAAACCTTACAAATGTTTTTAAGTCTCGCTGTTGAACGGTTTTAAAGATTCAAATTAAAACTGTTAAAATTTGCACTGCCACATTTTGTGTCAATCATTTGCTCCAGCTTCACAATTAACATTTAAAAGAGCATATAACAACAGTAAAAACTATTCACAACCTCCTGAAAAAACACAATCCTACATGATAATCTCCTCTTCAGCATTCATCCAATTATCCTTCATTCCCACCTCAAAACTTAATTATTGCAGCCGGAGAACATTCCCATTTTGTGATTAATATTGCTGAAAAAATTATATCCGCTTCATTTTCCCAAGGAAGAAGTTCTAGCGTGCGTGTTAAGTGCTTTCTAATTACGCTTGTTCCTCGCCTATTTGTGCTCCAAACATAATTATATGACTGAGATTCTGTCGTATGCTGAAAATGGAGGATAGGAAAATGTACCAATGATGCATGGGGATCGTCCATAAGTGATGTATGAGAGTTTTTTGAGGGGATTGGGTTTCTGAAATTGTGTGAGACTCTTAAGATTTTAAAGGGGCGGAAGGGGATCTATAAAATTAAATTCTCTCTTGACATCACTCATGAACAACTCCTTCAAATAATTAAAAGGCAGAGAAATTTATTTCCTCAATTTTCTTTTAGTTCATACACGTTTTTATTTCCTTTTTAGATAATTTTTGTTCAGTTTCTTTGGATTTTCACGCTCTTTTGTGTGGTGACCATAGTTAGGAAGAAGATTAGGGAAGGGGACATAATTAATTAACAATTATAATTATCTGTCTCTTTTTATTTGGTGGTTTTGCTGCTTTCTGAATGTTAATTTTCATCATTATGAGAAAAAGTTCAAGTAAATCGATGGACATATAAAAATATATTCATATTAATTTTTGTTTTTCGTTCTGTATTAATTATTTGTTTCTTATTCTGTATGTGTCAGTTATTTGTGCTGAATGCTAGAAAAATTATTATTTTTATGTGGAATATTTAATGTCAGGGATGTAGAATAGCCAACAAATTCAGACTACCTATGCCAAATAATTTTGGAGTCTTCCTTTGGGGCTGTTCACAAATGACTTCCAACATTTTAGGAATGAGGTGGGATAAAATCACATTTTGTGACAGGAAAGGGGTCGTTTTTTGGTGGATGTCATTTATTTAATTTTGTGTCTCGAAAATTAATGCTTTAAAAATTGAAGAAGGAAAGGAATCAGTTAAAAAATCTTGGAACCTAATGACTTTTTCATTGATATTTGCTTTAATTCTTATTTCTTAAGCATTTATTGGTTGCATGTCATCATTTAAAGCTTAGTCTATGGTTTGCCTATTTTTATATTTGAATATCTTTAGTTTTAAGTTTTAATTAGGGATCATTCATAAATGGTGTCTAAAAAATAACATACAATCAAGGGTGCGGAACTGATCAAAATGATGAAAAATGATCAAAATCTAATTTATCAGTTCCACATCCTTGCAAACAATATAACTGCAAGATGATCTAATTGTCCCATCCTGTGACGTCATTTATGAAAGACCCCGATTTTATGTTAATTTTAATTTTTTTATGAAGCTTTAGTAAAGGCAGACCAGGATCCAGTGTCTTGAGCCAATTTAGACACTAGACACGTTTAATACAGTGATTCTGAAGCTATGTTCCGCGATACACTTCTGTGTTGTCAAATTCTTCAGGTTTGTATCGAGCACTGTTGATGACATGATCAAATCGAAAACAACAAAATTGCATCCCAAACCCCTGACATTTATTTCCCCATAAAAAATATGATTTCCATTTTATTCGTTTCCAATATTTTTATGTTCCTTGCCAACATATTATTCATTACTATGTATGACTTTACTTATCATAATAATAATTATCCATCATCAAATATAAGATGAATTTAATTAAATCTTTTAATTAGATTAGAAGAAAATGCGCAGTACAGACGGTGGAGAAAGGAAATGACACGGCAGAAAATGAATTTAACAAGACGAGCTGAACTGGATGTCAAATGGCCTTTGAATAAATGAATTTAAAAGAGTCCATTAAGACATGGAACTCCAAAAAAAGTGATGACAATCTCGTTATAAAAATTGACATTTCTATTATCAATATGTTAATGGTCATGATGATGATTTAAGGGCAGTAAAGAGATGCTTCATAAAAAAATACTTTTTACGATCTGACAAAAAATTGAGGTTAAAGCTTGTTTTATTGTCCAATAATCTCGATCGTTCCAACCTACTTACTTACTTATCTTCTTACGATATATTGTATCTTTAATAACATTGTTGGATAGACCAAGACATAATAAATACAATATTCTCGTTTCTGTGCATTATTAAATCTAATCTTTGCATAGAAAATGGAAGAAAGCTTCTTATCCAAATTTTTTTTTAATAAAATGCGGTCAACCTTGTTCGAGACTTGGCAAGATGAAAATCACCATCAAATTTACATTAACCTCAATTTTATGCACGGTTTTACTTGACAATAAATCAGATGAAAAATTTAATAAAAATGTCTTTTAAGGAAAGAGTCGCTGATTGTACTTTAATTTGAACATTTTTTGAGGCTATCGAGGATTAATCTTGTAGGGATGAGCTTTTTTGAACACATTAAAGCTAATGGAGGTGCAAGGTTAATAGCATAGCCAAGAAAAATTCAGGTTGTTTTGGAATTCCCTGTTTGGACCTTCTTGGCTTAGTCAATAATTCAATTAACACACTGCAAAGTGCTTCATCATTAAATTTGAAAGTTTTGCAAATGGAACCATTCAATAAATATGTTGCAGAACTTTCAAATTCAAACCTTTTCAATGTCCATCGGAACCAGAGTAAAGCATCGAAAAGGTCTTTCTGAAAAGTGATTGAAATTGCAACTTTGCAGTGTGGTACTTGAAAAATTCTATGGGAGTCATCAAGAAATAGTGGCTTAATATACAAGCTAGCATTAAGCAAGCTTATAGCAAATGAAAAATTCATATAGGTTTGCTTAAAGCTAGCTTAAAAGAGCCTAGCTACTCGAGAGCTCATTCCGTATTCGATACAAATTGATTCAACTAAACCCGACTCAATTGGACTTTAATGAATCAGTTTCTAATCAACTCAAGATGACTTCGAGAGCCTGCTAGAAAGGAGTGCCATATCTAATCTATATTGAACCACCATATGTGCAACTAGGGTTATAACAAAAGGTTATCCATTCAGGGTGGATTAATACTATGATTCTGCAGTTCATTTGTGGCTCAATCGTCTAGCTTGAACAAATTGTCTGTCTGCGTATTGAGCTAAGGTTAGTTTTGTTTATCTTAGCAACAGAATTGGAAGTAAGATATGGGCGAAAAGTCACTTCGATAATTCAATTTGCTAGGATTTTTCGAGGATAAAATGCAAAATCAAGTCCAAGCTTATTGTGTGCTTAGTAGTAAACCCAAACAAGTCAAGAGTTCATTATATTTATTTTCGGTTCTAGGTTAGGATACCTAATAAATAGCCTAGCAACAGGTATCAAATAATCTCTCATCTTTGTTCAACACGATATAGCTTTAGAAGACAGCTACTCGTAGCTCATAGCCATCATTGTTATCGCATAAAAACAAGCAAATGTTCCAGGATCCACAACAACAACAGCTGCTCAAAAAAAAAAAATAATCTCAAGATGTTAAATTCAAAGAACATATGACTCCTTTGTTTCTAGCTCCTCAACAATCACATCCAGATACATTTTCTCCAAATTGCGCACAAAGTGAAACATAAAGAAGCAATTTTCATGATGAAACGTCACAAAAATATCCTTATTACTTTTAAGTGTATACTTCAGGGGTTTTACGATTACTAATTCTTTGTAGTCACGAATCATGAGTTGCGAGATTGCAGAAGGTGGGATTCTCTTAACTGTCATTTCGGTTTTAATTTTAATTTCTTCTAAAATCCAGTAATTGGATTTCTATTTGATTTTCTTTTTATACTCAATTTACCAATTTATGGTACCTAAAATTTCTGATTCTAGAAATTAAAAAAGATTTTCTTCAATAATTTTTGATCTAATTTTTTTAATGACTTGTTTTTGGGTGTAGGCGGTATAAAGCTAAGGGATGAGCTGATGCTCAATTCTTTTATTTACTTGTGGTTTCAGAAATATTCCAGAACCCCAGCTTGCTTATAAAACATTCTTATAAGCCCCCTATACTTGAGGGGGAAACAACATAATGGAAAAATATTTTGATGTAAAATTCTCATAATTTACAACCAAATTATCATCAAAGCTTTGGTAGAAATTGATAAAAAAAAAAATTCATCTATTATTTTTCCCATCATGTTGTTTTCCCCCTCACCTACACCCTCTCGAATATTCTTCTAATTGTTTTCAAAAATTCAAAAATTGACAGTTGGAATATCGTATCTAAATCAACTCAAATTCTCAATATCAACAATTTTTTTTTCTCTGTCAAGCAGTTGGCTGGTCTGGACTTAATTGATACATGTTATTAAAAATTTCCATTAAAAATCTATTTTCATTTTTTTTTCTCAAAATTATTCTTGTTCATTCTTTTATGCTTGCGACAAAATGCTGTGTTCTGCTTTATCATTTTGTATAATATTTCTTTTTTTATTTTTATAACATTGTGTTTTGCAAGACAGATAATAAAATTTAATTAAAGTTTTTATACTCGCCTTATGCTTTTTATGCATAATAAATTGTATGCTGTGTGTATTCTTTAGCGCTGTTTTTATAGAGCATGTAAGTTGATTAAGATTGTTTCATAATTTTCTTTTGGCGGAAACTGATCATATTTCACAAAACTTGAGTTATTTTAAGTATTGAAAACTTCAAAATCCGTTAAAAATTCAAAAATCAGAGTTCGTTCAACAATTTATTTAAAATTCAAAATTTAAAGTATAAAAAATCAATTAAAGTTCAAAATTTTAAAATCTAATGAAATTTCAAAATTCAAAAATTTCGTTGAAATTCAAAATTTCAAAATCCGTAAAATTCAAAATTTTGAAATCCGTTGAAATTCAAAATTTTGAAATCCGTTAAAATTCAAAATATCAAAATCTGTTGAAATCCAACATTTTAAAATCCGTTAAAATTCAAAGTTTTAGAATCCGTTGGAATTCAAAATTTTAAAAACCGTTAAAATTCAAAATGTCAAAATCCGGTCCTCAAAACAAAAATTCTAAACTCAGTTCTTTTAAACTACAAACTCACATGCCCTCAAAAAGTGCACTTTTTGTCACTCCAACCTGGATACATTCCAAAAAAACAGCTTCCCTGCTCATCATATACCAAAACCACATGTTAAATCTGCTTTCTCAGTTAATAGTTTGTTATATGTATAGATTTTTTTGTTATTTTCAAATATATAGTTATCCTTAAAATTCATGTGTTTGGATTCTGGATTTTTTTATTTCGGTTGTGCAACATTAGATTTCTAAGGTTGAGATAGCAGTACCAATATACAAGACACAGAAAAAAAAGTCACTTAACATTTCCTACGGTACTGCATATCCGCAATAAAATTGTATTTTGTTATCTCAAAAAAAAAAGGTTATACATTCATTGACCCGTTGTGTTATTTTTCAATTTCAGTTAATTTATAAAATAGTACATGCTGTACCATGAAGGACTTCATTTACGAACATTGGAGTGCCTGTTTGTTAATTTTAACAATAACAACAACATCATCAGCAGTAGAAGCAAATTAGATTGGCATATTGTTTTCCATGATGACGATGATTATGGCGATTGAGGATTGGTTTTATGGATTAAAATTGTACAACATGATTTTTCGATTTGCCAAACATCCCAACACATGTACAGAAAGTGATTAAGGAAGAGAACAAGAAAGAAAATGAAAATCAATTAAAAAAGTACTTCTCATGCCCGTGAGGGCACATCCAGTGTCACACACAGTACCATAATTAAAATTACCTGCTCCAAGACCACCGTCTGAATGATCTTGTCTCGTGTCATTGTCATTCTGATCGAATTCACAATCGAAATATCTCGATTGGCAATCAACGCATCTGTTGTTGGATGTAGATGGGAAAAGGAAGAAGCAAAAATTGGAGATGATGATTTATTGGACATTGATTGTTATCTATTTTTCGTGTTTACAGAAATCAGAGTTGGTAATATAATAGTGACTTTAGTGATTATTTGAACTAGTTGATCTAAACCTAGATCTACTGATCTTATGCTTAGAACAGTCAGTCCGCATTCATCGAAATACTTAGCTTCAATACTGTTTGATCTTAAGAGTCTGAATTAGTTTTCGATTTGATCTAAGTCTTATATTTTGAGTTCAAATTCTGTGTGATTCTAGTCTGTTTTTAGATCAAAGGATCTAGCTTTCATCAAATAGCTTTAAGCTTATTGCTATGTTTCTTTCTTGGATGAAGATTGGTGAAAAACAATTAAGAATTCACAAAGACATTCAAAAAAGATGACCCTAGCTGATATATTACTAAAACTAAGTTAGATCTGTCTTAAAATCTTTAAATCTATATCAGGGGGTGGTTAATTGATACATCAGGGGTATCCAACTATAGTAAATTGATTTTCAATTCAATATAACCATCTTTCAAATGCCAGCCTCAGTTGTTTATATCTGATTCTTCAAATTGTCGATCAACAAAATTGCAATCTTCACAATCCAAAGACCTTTAGATTCTAGAACTGCTAATCAAATCTCATCAAATCACCAACTCTGCAATTCATACTGTAACTAAGTTAAAGACCATTACTCACCGACAAGTGTCTGTCATTTTACAAGTAATTCCACACTCCCTAGCGACAACTTTATAAAGCTCCTTTGTTGATTTATACAAAAGCTCCGGTCCCTTTGCCGGCGCCACATCTGAATAATTAACAGCCATTTGTTGATGACCATCGTTATAATATTGATTCGTATATTCATTATCGTGATTTTGATGGCATTCATTTGAGTACTCATCGGAGCAATTGTAATTGTCTGTGTTATTATCATCATCCAAACTGCATCGTTCTGCGTGATCGTTTTGTAGGCATCGGTCATTGTATTCTCCTGCGGATGGATATTAATAGATATTGGATTTTCATTTTGTGGAAATGGAAAAAGAAGAAAGAAAATGGAAGAAATTAATGAATTGAAAATCAGAATCAATTGAGCTTGATTGTGAGAGGAAATGATGTAAGCTTTTGTAAGCTGTTTCCAATTAAAAGTTTTTAAAGTTTTCTCGAGGATTCTGTTTATAAACTTTAAGTGGATTTTGTAGAATTTTTTTTTTAAATTTTATAATCTTAGTAAATTGGTTTTTGAAATAGTTTAAGAAGTTTAAAGTAAATAATTGGCAAATTAAGTGAAACATTTTGAAGTAAGTATGGAAAACTAGCTTTTAAAGCTTCAATTTATAAGATTATCATTAAATAATCGATCAGTTTTGCAAACTTTTGATTCATTTTAATTCAAAAAAGTTAAAAATCCAGAGGGCGAAGTCGACTCGAAATTTGTATGAAGTCGAGTGAACTCAAGTCGACTTTTCCATACAAAATTCGAGTCGACTTCGCCCTCTGTAAAAATCTAATATTTCATTCACAAACGTTTCATTATTAATTCTCAATTCATATTCAAAACACAAAAAAAGTTTAGCAATTTGCCAGCAAAAAAAAACTAGAATAAAAAACAGTAAACAAATAGTAAGGACAACAAAAACAATCCAATTCTGGATGTTTGTTTTTTAATGAAAGGCAAAGTTGGAAAAATATTTTTCATTGTACCCAGCATCAATATTTTGATTATTATACGACAAGTGAGGATTGAATGAGGGGGAAACAACATGATGGGAAAAAGTTTAAATAAGAAATTTCAAATTTTTCTATCAACAGCTTTTCTCATCACACAAAAATTTCGGAAATTGATGAATTAAAACTTGTTCTCATCATGTTGTGTCCCCCTTTGGATTTGGTACATTCAAGTGCTTCGTATCATTTCTACAGAACAACTTCAATATGTTTTTTTATTATCAATATATTGATGATAGCTACGGATGTGATGTAAAGCACTCTTAAATACATTTTCATCCATCTCGTTTTTTTTCGATTTTATACATTCGCAGCAAGGATGTAGTCAGTATTTTTATAAACAGAGGTGAACAAAAACTTCTTGTATTGAATTTTTTTCAAGTCGCCTGTGGCTAAAGACTTAATCTTATTCCTGGCTACGGTAATGTTAAAAAGTATTTTTATAAAAAGAAACTAAGGACATCCTTAGCTACGCTTCTGTCAGAAATGGGTGAAATATATTGAATAATAAAGGAGATCAGATATTTATTGACTTCAATTCTTACCGCATATATCAACGTTATTATTTCCACCGACATCCGTGCTCATACTGCATAGTTGATTACATGAATCGCGATTACATCCCGTACATTGTGAATTGTCAATTAATAAATTTTCTCGAGTTGGTGACGCCATATTCTGCTGTATATTGTTAGCATTATTTGTGTTACAGCTATTGGTGCTGTTGCTGTTATATTCATTCATTTCACTAAACAAATTATTGTTACTGCCGTTCGGTGTCGTATAGAAGCTTTCAACCAATAAATTTGTGTGTATTGTAGTTTGTATAGTGTTATTCTCTTTGTCTAATGCCAGTAATTGATTCTGCACAGCATACAGTTGCGATGGAAATTCATTCAAGAATTATTAAGATGTAAAATATACAGCATAAAAAAAATAGAATAGAGGGAAAAATGCTTATCAGAAGGAAACTTTAAGTTGAAAAAAGGAAAATATAATCTTGTTGTCGGCATAAAATTTATGGCAACATAACTCGTCTCCATAGCATAATGACGACTATGTGTTGTGAAATGGCGGAAGGAAGGAAGCAAGCAAGGGGTTTGAACTAATATTTTTCAGTTATTTTAGTTGAATTAAGTTTTTTGGGGCTGTAAGTTAGCTAAATTGAATTTATTCTTGGCTCTCAAAAGTTTATGTCGTTTCAATTTTGCTGATAGTGTCAATGCTTAAGGAAAGAACTTATTGTTATTCACCAATCAAGTTTCAATTCTAAGTTTTAAACGTTTAAAGGACACCAAGGGGCCGTTCACTTATTACGTTCGCATTTTAGGGAGGAGGGGGGGGGGGGGGGGGGGGGTTGAAAAATTGTAACAAAATCTTTTAAATTTTCCACCTTTCAGATTCCTCCTTATGAACGTTCAGGGGGGGGGGGGTTGTGAGTTGTAACATATTGTAACAAGGGGGGAGGGGGTGAAAAAAAGTCTTTTTTTGGTCTTTTTTATTTAATTTATCGATGAGTTTTTTTTTTAAAGTGTCAAATATCATACAGTTGTTGGTTTGATAAGCACAATGCTTATTTATTAAACTAAACAAGGAGAAATCAACTAATTGTAGTTGTATACATAATTTGAATATAAAATAACCGTTAATATATTCTCAATATATAGATTCTACATATTTAATGCATTCTGTCGATTTTTTTTGTTACACTTGCAGTTACTTGTAATTCTGAATCCACAGAAGGATACTTGAAACTTCAACCAACTGCAATCAAGTACTAGACACAAGCTGATACTTCAAATTGCTACTAGGCAAGAAACGAATTGAACTTGATTTTATGATCATATTTATTCTAAATCATGTTACTTTCTATCAAGCTTGTAGCCTTACACAAACATAAATTGAAAGTCCGTTATTGAAAGCTCTCAAAAATATACTTTTATCATTCAATTTATATTAAATTATAGAAATGTGTTTTAAAGTTGTTTATTTTATAGATTAAAACTCTATTGCTTCGGAAAAGCTTGAGCAAATTTATCTTTCTTTTTAATTCTATTAAAATTGAAGGTTTTTCTCACTGGTTGATGCTGAAGCTTCAATCAATTTATTTGATAATAATTTTTTAAAAAAAATTGATATTATTAATAAGAAGCTTAAGATTTTTTTTTCAACTTTTGACTTTTTTACCAACTTGTGTAAAATCATGCCAGTGTTAGCTGAACATTGATTACTTATAGCAATATTACAAGTACATTCATTAATTGAAGATCTTTTCTCTATTTAAATTCAGAAAAACTTTTAAGTAAGCCTGCGCTTCAAAAAAAATTATTCATAAGAACTGCTTACATTAAAAAAAATTGACGACGACAAAAACTCTCGTTACTCAACACTTCTTCCGTTGCTCTACTTACGATAATGTTGTTTACAAACAAATTGCTTTTTCTTTACTTACCTCTTTCATTACGGTCTCATAGCTCGGGGGTGGACTTATAGGTATCGGTGTATCTGATAATTGCGGACTTGAGTATCCTGGATAAAAATATACTTTATATAAAGTTATCGATTAAGGCAAACAAAATTAAATTTTATATTTTCTATCACGTTAAATCATCATCTTTAGAATCGATTGAAATAAATTTTTTATGTTTGTTCAAGGAACGAGGAATGGGATTTAAAAAATGAAAAATAAATTTAATGGTGAATTATTTGCGAATTGATAAAACGTGTCTCATTCTGCTTCTTAGAAAAAAGCTTCAATACCGAGACGTTTATTGCTCTCCAAGTCTTGCTTATTTTGATAATGAAAAAAATAAATAAAATGACATAATAAATTTTGCAAATAAAATAAAAAAAATTCTCCGCTTTGTAAATATCAAGCGAATTCTTAGTCGGCGTATTTTTGTCGTGACTTTTTCACTTTATCTGATACAGAGTTTGGATTTAGACATCTAGGCAGTCATTTTTGTTAAGAAAGTTGTAAAAAAAGAGCTTTGAGTTTATGATCTATGGGATACAATAATGACGCAGATTCATTTTAATAGCGATGCTATGGAGACTGTAATTGAAATAATTTTGTTTTTATAGATAAATATAAATCAGTTTGTAACGCTTGAATTGCCTTGGAAAATATTCACTAATTAGCTGATTGTTAGATAAAGACTTAGTAACTGAGTTTCTTATAGAATTGTAGTAATTGCGATGACTAGAAAATGCAGACATGCTGTGATATTTAATGTCATGATCATGACAACGGGAAAACTTTAAGTTGTCATTGCAGTCTAGGCAACAAATATTAAATGTCTTGGAATTTCTCAGATCCTTGAGTTTGAAACTTATTGAAGCTTATTGTACGACAAAGGTTTGATTCCTTTTCACCGCATGTTGTATTTCTACATCTGAATGAGATATAAGGCGATGAAAACTTTTGGAAAGCATTACTAAAGGGCCAGAGATATATAAGCAGTCACGAAACTTCCAGAAGGAAGCTGGAGTTATCCATCAATGGAAATTGAGCAATTGTTGCTCTCAGGATGTAAGACAAACAGATGCAATGACGTGAAGCCTATGTATTGATCTAGAAATCGATTTCTGGTGGGAATCAAACCTTTGTCTTCACAAAACTTAACAACTTAACCGAATAGATCCACTTGATTCCACTCTGACTAGACACCACCACAGACAACGTTTAACAATAAAAGAACCAGATTGATATCTGAAAGATTTGAGAGTCTTTGGATTACAAATGATCTATTTGAAATCAACTCTGGCATTAGACACAAGAAGGTGGAAAATTTCAACTCAATACGACAACAACAAGGCGGAACTAATTCAATTTTTCTGTGTCTTTATCAAAGATTGTTTTTGTCATTTCTTCTACACAGGTTTTTAAGTCTGAGCAATGATGAAGGCATTTGTTGTTGTTATTACTTTCAAATTGTCATAGAACGACCGAGAAGTTATTCATCATTGCGATAGAATTTTTTCTAGCTGAGTTATGCAAAGGTAAAAAATTGAGTTAAGAAAAATTCCAAAAGTTCATTGAATTCTTCGTGCTGTTCCTCATTAGATTTCAATTTCATTAATTATGATAAGTGAAAAATATGAGAAATAAAAGGAACAAATTCTTCTTTTCATTCATAAACATTCTACAACATTCTTGAACTCGATGTCGTCAACTTAAGAAATTTATTGCTGATCCAAGAATTCCTTCTTGATGGGAAATATTTCTCTTTGCATCCGATACAATTTTATGAGAAAGAACTCAGCAGATAATTTAAAATTTGAGGATAGAATGTAGAAGATTCCACTCAATGATGTTGAGTTCCAATCGAGTAATTTTTGGGATAGTCACGTGTTAATGAAAAAAACACGACCGTACTTTCTTATTTTGATACCTTAAAAATCACCCAAGAATTTGAGTAGGCAAACAAAAGGATCTTCATTTCCTTCGGGCAGGTAGATAAGACATTTAGTAGACAGAAAATTGATTGCAAAGCTTTGTAAGCTCTTAGAAAATTTTATACTCAAAAAAACAGCACTTGTAAGGCTTTTTGTAAACAACGAAATTCAATATTGTCGCGCAAGGTGTTTATTGAATATAATTGAGACATTTCGTCAGTGTTGTTGTTTTAGATGTCTTAGCCAGAAAATGTTGGAGATGCTTTATGATATTTTATTTAAATCAGGCACAACATTGGTCCACCATATAGCTATTGTAGTCAAATTAATAATTTAGTTTTAAGATTCTGTTCATCCTAGTCCAGGTTCTGTCTGAAGTCTCTTAAAATTCATTTAAACGAGCCTTAACTCTGTGTCTGAAATGATTTAATCAGATTTTGTCAACTTTAGTCTAACTGGAATCAAATCCTCATATAACAACACTGAATTTATATTTTCTTCTTAAAGAATTGAGTTAAAAGGCTTTAATAGAAGTGAAAAATGTGTGATTAATAAATTTTGTCTTTTTAATTTTTATGAAAAAATTCGAAAAAAAATCAATCCTGACACGTGTTCAACAACACAAAAGCATTCGATTTTTTTTTCAAAAAAATTCATTAAAGATCCTTTTTTAACGTCTTTTTCCAAGAACACAGCTTTGTCTTAGAAAGCCGAAAGAAAAATATAAATAATCCATGCTTCATAAATAGATTTTTTTTGCGTATCAAATAATGAATATATTTTGTTGGAACCAACAACATCATTATTATTCTCATTTATTATTTTTTTATTTATACTCTTTGATTGATCCGGATAAATTTGTTTTCATTAAGTAGGAAAGCTCGAGGCTATGCATTTGTTGAATAATCAATGATGTGGGTGTCCATGGATTTTAAGCATGTAAAAATTGATTTGATTGAAAACTTAATATGTAAATTGTGAATTGTCTATTTCTATTTTCATGACCTAAGGGGTCGTTTACTTATGACGTCCATCAAAAAACCTGATTTTTAGACCCTCTGTCACAAAAATTCTATAAAAAAAAATTTCCATTGTTTAAACTGTCATAAAATCCTAGGCCCCCCCCCCCACTAAATGTCGGACGTCATAAGTGAACGGCCCCTAATTTGAAATCATAGATTTAGTTTTGTAGACATCAAACTTAAATCAGACATCATGCCTATAGACATCATAGGGTTTATAAAAATTGATTTCATCAACTCAACAGTTTTCAATTCTAATTTTACTTCAATAGCACTGTTATCGAAAATTAACTGACATCTAAAAATAATATAAATACTTTTAAGCTTTATGCTTTACAATTTTGACATTTCGATTGTTTTGAACATTACAAATCGTGATTTTTCTTCGAATTATTTTTAAAACTTACTCACAATTACTGCGCAATATTTTCATGAAAATTTATTTTTGATTTCAATAACTGCGACTTCATGATAACTGCGTCAAATGCAATAGGACATAAGCACAAGAGTCTTTCATTGACAGTCTAAAATTATATTTAATTGGTTATCACTCTTGGAGACTGGAAACTCCAACTAAACTCAAGTAAATGAATGTCGTGTGCAAAAATAAAGGAAAGCAATCAAGATTGTTGCTGTTTTAAAAAATTTAAATTAATTTTATAATTAGATTGAGATCTGTAAAGCTTCAAGGTAAAAGTTTTGAGAATCTACGATGAAGGACTTTGTGATAAAAATTTGTTTTTATTCATGGTTTTGTCAATATTTGACATTGTTTTACTTTTAAATGTCGATTTTAAGAGTCGTTAGCTTGTTTTTTGTTTATAAACAAAAAGGTAAATTTGTTACAGTAAGAGCATTCCTAAAGTTTCTAATTGGTTTATAAGAAAATATTTTAAAATTTTAAAAATCTATTTAAATATCCGAACAATCCAGAAGGAACTATTTATGATTAGAATTTCAAAAGAATCACAACAAATGTCATTGATATTTCAAAGTGAAGGAATTTTTTAAAGTCAAGCTAGATCCATGATGAATATTCAATAATATAAAATTTCCTAGCAAACAAAAATTCTTTCAAAACTCATTTTTCTTTCATCTTACAAATATTGACTCACCTAGGCATACAACAAATAATAATAAACTTATATACTGTGAGAACATACAAATGAAATGTTATGTATGGATTGTGTTGAGTGGATACTAGAAAAAAAATAAACAAAATATGTAAAAACATGTTTGTGAACAATAACAAGACAACATGACAACAAGGAGTACACAATAACATAACATAGAGTACAATATATACACAAAAGTAATATAATAGAGATAGAGGAAGAGATAAGGCAAGTAAATGGAAACAATAACAATATTTTGACCTAGGATTGTTTTTGCAGTTAGGGAATAAGTCATTTCTGGGTGTCTGGAAGATTGATTTTTTTAAACTTTAGCTAATTAGCTTCCAAGTATTTACAAAACTATTATGTATGTTGTCAACTTGGATGTCTAGACAAGGTTTGACTATGCGGAACTGAAAAGTCACCATTTTTCTCAGATAATTACACCAAATCTAGATCAGTTTAAATCAGCCTTAGTTTGGTTATCCAGATATTCAAACTAGCAAGCAATCAGCCTAGGCTGGCATTTGAGTCTGATATCATGAAACGTTAAGCTTTAGAATCAAATGGACACGCAAGCCATAAACATCGACTAGCTAGAAATATTGAATTTTCTCTCTCAATTCCTTTGTTGATGCTCACGTAGCTTAAGGCACAAAATAAACCTTAGAGATCGATAAAAAAAAAAACAAAAGCCATTCATCATTTTGTGTCCATCTCATATTTCACCCAAAAGGACACTGTCGCCGTTAAGTAGGATGACGAATTTTCAGCATTATCATCATCGTTCAATATACAATATAGCTGTGCCTGTATAAATTTCATTTTTTCTTCTTTGTTATCTACAAAAATACCCTTCAGTGCCTTCTCACTAGATTTCGTGTTTACCAAAAATAAAAATTATATAGGAACGAGAAGAAGACATTTGATGAAGGGATCAACCGTAAAAATTACGTTCCACGTCTGTTTTTCTTCCTCTTTCTTCTTCTTGTTT